GCACAATGTCCTGTACATTCCTGGAACCGTCTCAGATAAGGGGACAAAAAGATGAAAAATGCAAACTCACGTCTGGCCCTGTTCCAATTGTGCTGGATCAATAAAAGAACTTGGAATCTGCTTTCTCGAGCGCACTGCAAAACCAAATGAACGTTTCTACAAGATTGTTGTATCTTCCACCGTCTGTGGAATCTTTGATTATCCATGTCAAGAAGTGATCGTAGTTCTCCAGCGATGCTCCTGCGCCCATCTCTTTTATCAATAACTCGCGAAATCCAGGATTGTGCCACATGCAAAATACGGACTTGAACATGATGCCAGCGAATGGACATTTTTCACCTTTCCTGTAAGAAAATCCCGCATGGCATGCTGGTTCCTCTCCATTTCTATTTCGTGATTGCGGAAGGCAGCATTGAAAGCAATATGTGAAGCGTTCGAATGAGAAGCCAAGCTTAAAAGGTCCATAAAAGTCCATTGGAAGGGCTGACTCCATTGTACACATGTGGTTGGCTGCTGAGACAAACGACCGCCGTTCCCAAAGTGTACTGGACACTTGTCTTTCAAGACCTTCATGTATCTGTCCAGATGGGCAGTGGTAGCAAGGCGATTGGAAAGTGAGGTGTTGACTATGCTCGCTCTTGCGACGAATGTGCGAGAGCCACTGGGAAGTGATAAAGACGATGGCATATCAACCTGTAAGGCGCTTCCTGTACATGGCTGCGATGTCGTCTATCAAACCAAGTCAGTATAATTAAATGCAATAAGACCGAATTCGTACGGTGTATTGATCGCTTGACGATCCAAAAGTACCCTGTGCGATGTTCAGAATCAGCTCCCGTAAAATATCATCTGCGACACACACTCACCGTCCCGTGGACGTCCTCCATGGCATTTAGCATCATAGTTTGAAATGCAGTTAGTTCTGATGTGCCCTCGTCGTATAGAGCGTCGCTGGACTGGAGTGCTGTTGGGTGGGCGCCTGGGCCTATATCATTCGCATACGTACACAGACTGTAATCATGGGTACTCACAGTCATACCACGCGAAATAAGCGAAGAAGCTGGTACAAATCCCATGGACGTGTGCTGCGGAGCATTCGCGAGTCCTCGAAGCATGGATCCACTAGCAACAGATGAGGTGCCTGCGCACTCGGACACCTCAGGTGGCCTCAATGGATTTTCGATGGATGTGATAGCAAGCCTCTGCATTAAGCTGTTTGGATCGCAAACGTCGCACTTTATTCCTGGTGGTTCAGCCGTGCATCTGACGGCGAGCTTGTTGCCATCCATGCACATCATGTTGGTAAACCGACGACATGCCGTACCGTGGACCAGATCGTCTAACTCACCCATACACTGGTCAGTCGATGGTCCCCTGTATGTCTTACCACGTCGATCTGTAAGAAAAAAACGTGAGACTCCTTCCCGTCCCGGCCTGCGCGTCCGAGCATCTGGTTGTTGACAATGAGTCCGTACGAAGGTTTGAAAATCACGACATATCGGACATGAGGCCTATCTATACCCTGTGCAAACGCAGTTGTGCATGCCATAACCTTGTCTCGCCTGAATCCCAGCGCTCAAGGTTAGACTCCCTATTATTCCCAGCCTCCCAGAGATCGCTGTGGTAGACGCACAGTTTGCCTCACTGCAAATGCCTGTGCGTCGCTCTGAGAGCCGCAGAATACCAATATACGTTCTTCCTCCGACAGTAGTTTGCACAGAGCAGAGACGAGGTGGCCCAGGGATTGCATGGCTGCAATAGGCTGCACCTGGACGACATGCATGCCGATCTCTGGGCGGTTTTGTATCTGACCGTACTTCGGTTATCATACTTGGATTTATGCCAAATGGTTGATGATGAAATTTGCGATACGGTGTGGTGGTCCCGTCCCTGTCATGAGCACGATCCTGACGCGAGTCTTGCCGAATTGCTGCGCAAGATTCTTCCATGGAATAACTCGGCCTGGATGACAGTTCGCGATGTCGTGGAATTCGTCGACAAACACCCTGTTAAACTTCTGCCCGAGTGGAGATACAAGGAAACTATAGATAAAGAGTTAGAGCCATCTACAGACCGCATAGATTTTTTTTACCTTGAAATGCATGGGACGAGCAATGTTCCACCTGCGCAAACAAGATCTGCGCATTCTCCGGAATGTCCTTGGAACGCAGTAGTTGTGACATCGCAGACCAGTGGCAGCGGTAGTTCTGTACTGTTGATCCAACAAAGCGACGAAAGGGCACACCACTATAGATCTAGCATCCTCATCCATTACAGATGGAACCATCCACGGACATACTTTTACCTCCACCTGTCCTCATTGTAATGACGAGGTCTGTACATGCAGTCATGATGGCAACAAGCACGTTCATCTGTGCAGCACTCTTTTCTCTAGCAGAGTCGTCCTCCTAATGTGTCTTATCGCACATCTAATATCCTCTCGAATGTCGTGAACAGCGCTCGGGGACAATGATGGTTTACCGCAGTCAGCGATCGAGGATTTCGACGTGGTTGCAGTCGCCGAATAGCAAGCTAGCCACATCAGTAGAGGCCTGATGGACTGAGGCCTGTGTCCTATGGATATGTTTGCATCGGCATATTCTCGTCCGGGCTCGATTCTTCGTCACTGCTCGAGAGGCTAATACAATCGATGGGTGCATTCGTCACCATGGTTCTGGGTCCACGCAGGCGTTTCAGCGATATTGTATCAAGACCCGACAGATCTTCGTCACTAGATGTGTCCGTCACCTCCACAGACAACTTACGAGCGCGTTTGGGACGTCCTGAATATTCCTCGACGTCTTCCAACGATCTTTTTTCATGCGCTGCACGCTTGTTAGTGCGAGATACAGTGTATTTGACTGAGTCTGGAATGGACGTACATTTAATGGACCGGTGCTGCGTGACACTACGAGACGTGGAATTTCTTGTGGAAGCTCTAGTTGCGTCGGCGGAGGATAGAGGATTTCTTCCCTCATAATCCCTACGTACCTCCTTGCTCCTTGTGCGAATGACAGAACGTGATGTTAGACGGTATATGTGCTGCATTTCATGCTCTCTTCCTTTCCCTTTACGATCTGTGATTGGAGGTAATTCGCATTGATATTTTGCTGGAATAAGATCGGAAAAACGTTGTGGGCTCTTCTAGGTATTCTGTCTGTGAGATGGTTGTTATCGAAGACGCTGGGAGTGGGGAGTCCGAAAGTAGTTCTCCACATGGAATATACCCACTTGCGGTGGGCGACACAAAGACAGAAGATGTATCGACTTATCAATGGAATAATGTTTGAAATCGCACAGAATCCGAGTTAGTGCGCGGACTTACTACTGTTGTTGTTGTACCCACTGGGTCCTGATGAGGGAGTACGACCACGCTGAATACCTGCTGCATAACATCAGATATTGCTGTTGATACAGTAGATAGTGATCCTCACATTCACTTTGATCGTAAAACAAGTCCTCCAAATTCCCGCTCAAGTGAAATGACCCCCCGTTCCAGGTGGTTGGAAGTGGTGATGCAATTTCTGGTGTAGAAATCATATCTATAGCCTCCTTTCTGTGTTGGAGTACTGCGGTAGAGTAACTGCATCCTTCAATATTTTAGCGTGGTGCGCATCCAAAAATTCTTTGATTGTGTCTTGCGTGGTCTTCCTGACGATGTCCGCTATGGACCTGAGCGTTGTCCCATCGGACTTATTCTTGCGGCTGATCCTTATTGCCTCTGGAGGCGGGAAGGGACCTAGACCAAGAACGCTATGCCACTGATCTCCAAGCCATCTATGCTTGCACATGCTATTGTTGGACAACCGAGGGACGACTCCTTGGATGACGGCGTAATGACTATGGTCCATACCAGTGGAGTGATCGGCAGATTCAGCGAGGATATTGTCTGCTTGATCATAAGAGTCGTCTGGAGCTATGAATTCGCGACCAATGGTTATGGCGCCTTGCCGAAAATCTCTCACTCCCCATCTACAGTCGAAGTAATTATGGTTCCACTGCTGAATGTTGGCGGAAAACTGTATAGGACTGATCCTCTCGCCCTCACCGACACAGAGGTACCTGAAATAATAAAATTTACACGTTAGATATACGTCAATAATCCTGAATTATTCGGAACGGTGCTCACGTTCTGTACAAATGTTCCGCATCAGCACCGTATGCAACACCAGCCAAAATTGCTTCAGCTGTGCGAAAACCACCTGCAATCATGTTGAGGACTAGTAATGCGATGTCCTTGGGAACGAAACCTGGGGTACACGAGTCTCGATCGGTGATGCCGGTTTTTTTTGCTGTACCCTGTCAGGAGGAACATTTCCTTTCCCTGCATGAAGAGGTTTCGATTCCTGTCCGCGTTACTGATTTTGTGGTCGATGAACTGAGTTCCGCGACATGAGATGTGAGTTGTTATATAGAGCAAATGGTAGATAGGTTCCCAGACACGCGACGAGCGTCTGAGAAGATCCTTTATTTCGGGAATGTTCCATGCGAGTCGTCCTGCATTGTCGATAATTGCCAGGTTATAGTGATCTACCAAGTAGAAAAACAATGCGTGTCGATTTTTGAAAAAAGGCGCTTCTGATGCAAGTGAATAACCGCGCGTCGAGTTGGTGAGATCGTCCTTGACCTGCTCGACAATTTTCAATACGACAGTATCATTAGTGAGGGCAGAATAGCGCGACTTTGACTCCTGGAGGAGCCTTTGTATTCCGCTTCTCAGCTTGTCCATCTGCATGGTGTGGATGCCTATAGTGATGGATTGAACATCAGGATCGACGTAGACATTGGGTTCTCTCGTTTGATTAAATACCAAAGACGAAGCGTACTGCTGCATCTCATACACTATGTTAAACGTTGTGGTACGACCGAGTCGTAGCACCCGTTCATGAACACGAGCGACACGGCTTGAGATAAAAAATCGCGATAAGTACATGGAATCGAACGGATATGGAGGCTTGCTCACTCGTGGTCATCTGAATGGACAGAATCGGTATCCTGGTCCTTGTCCATCAGCGCCTCGAGGAGGGAGGTAATGTTGCAAAGATATTTGAACTTTGCGAGATCTGGTGTAAGGACGGATGCTTCACAGAAGTTTCCATCCGCGCGCAACGCCCTGAGCCAGATGGCTCGTTTGATTGGGTTTGCCCATCGCTCTCCCAAGCAAAGACTCGGATCCGTATCAACTAGGGACCATGAAAAATTATGGTAAAAGATCATCCTCTTTCGTGGGGTAGCATTTTTGTCGCGAAGGACAAGCACAAGTTCCTCGAGACACAGGGTCTGCACGGCGGACAGCTCGAACGAAAAATCGAATGGGAATCCGAGGTGAATGCGCATGATCGCCCTCATGAATTGAATCATAAAGTTTGGATACTCTATGTTCTCATCCGACACTGGCCTCCAATGACTGTCCCTGGACGCATCGATGACATTAAATTATGGCATTATTGTGGTGTGATGGAACTGCTCACGTTTCTCGCGGAATGGAATCACCATACACCAGGAGTTTGGACAGGCTCAACCTGTGAGGATGACCATCCAAGATGCTGGATGCCCTCGCCATGTGGTCTCGCACAGCATTGGAGAGACAGGTGATAATACCACCGAATTCATCGTCGGTATGCTTTTTCTTAATCTGTTCCGCCGCCCGTCTCTGGGTTGGATTCATCCGGAGGTCTACCTGAAACTTGTCCCAACCCATGAAGCGCATCAGTGGAGTCCTCTCTCGTTCTGTATTGGCTGGAACGACCAATGAATGCTCAACAGCAGGTATGAAAGTGGCCTGCAGGGCGGATCTGACATCTGGTCTGGCAGATGGAACAAAATTATTCCCGATCTCAAAATATGAGTTGCCCACACTTGAAAATATACGTTGGACCTGACAAGATCGATGATGGATCTCCATCAAGCCAGTGGCTCCGTGCGTCTCTCGTCCATGGCGCTGCATGGTGAATAAATCCTTGACGGCATATGCGCAGTCGGAGGATGCAGTGCATGCAAAACCATCGATCGGATCCGCAATCTGCTGGACAGGAGGTCCTCCTGCAGTTGGTAGTTTGACATGCTCTGGCTTCTCATAAACATTGGCCTCTAAACAATAGTCCAGGAATGACTGCAGAGCGTCTGGAGGTACCTGGTTGTGTCGGATGTTCATTTCAAATTCAAGATCAACTATACAAGAGGTTCTCGTACCCGATACGACTTGTGGCGATTTTTCCTGTGTCCGGATATCATCCCAGAGGTCAATGCGACCCGGCACGAGTAGCAGATGAGAATTTTCAAACGGCTATGGAGGCAAACGCCCAGCGCATCTAGAACTTCATTGGACCTCAAGTAGTCTACTGAAGACAACAAAGATACGGTCCTGCAGTCCGCATCAGGAGGATCATCTGCATACGTGAGATGGACACCACATTGAGCTGTGATCTCGAAATTTCATTCTATGAAATTCACCTCTGTTTGCAACGTCCTGACAGGACGAGAGTTCCGGAACTAAAATGTCGGACGAAATATTTGTGGCTCCTTGATCGATATGTAAACATGTGACAGCACAAGATCAGATGCCATGACTAACCTTCTACAACAATCCCCTCATAAACAACTCCGTGCTGGTCAAGAACCTGTTTGGACGCCATGACTAAGGAGGTCAGCTTGACTCTATAGTTGTTTGAAATATTATCAAACTCACCGAAATCAGGAGTATCAAAGACCTTGATTTTCGCTGAACTATTGTGGTCTTCGGTGACGTGTGTCTGCATATTTTCACGCTTTTTGAAAATCATATTACACCCCGAGAACGGGCAGGCATAACCCCCATCGCACTGCCTCACAATATACTCGTGATCATTAATCATGAAGGGTATGGGGACGGAGTGGTACCGGTATCGGTGCTTTCGCGCAGCGTCGCAGGTCAAAAATGGTCCCATTCCGCATCCTGTATGATCACAAGCATATGTTGTAGACATTTATATCAGAAAGAAGAGTATATGTGATGATAAATGTGGTGTTTTATCGTCGAAGGGAGGATGAATGGTGCTGGTGAGGTCTTATATTATTTCGCACATACGAAACTGCACCTGCAGGGATGAAAAACCAAGAAGGCGTGACGTTGTAAAAAAAAACGAGGGACTTATGACAGCATCTTTGAAAATGTCAAAATGCAAATGAGAGACGATCGTCCGAGGACGTGAGGCACAGCGATATGAGTAACTCGATTGCAATTCTCTTTGCTCACTCATGTCATTCCAGATTAGCATATTCACGAAATAATGGTTGAGAATATCCAAAAATGAGTTTCGTTTCATCCGCATAAAGACACTTGCTTGTCTGCATGTAGTGAGTGCGATTGAGGGGCACAAAAAAATTTCTGAATGGTGGAATGAAGGGAACAAAAATGAGACGCGACGATCAGTGATCTTTGAGTCATAATTGCATAAAAATCATGTTCCGGATGACAGGGACTCACTGGCTGCCGTGAACATCGGATGAAAATAAATGTTAGTCAGGAACATGCGCATTGCGCCCAACGGTGGAGTAAACCTATTTTTGGATAGTCCCGCATCTTTCATGGCTGGGTTCAGATTTCCTCTTAATTGGTGACCAATTTTTCAGAAGAAACGCTAAATAAGTGTTCACAGCCGCGTGCGATTACCGGGGAGTCCATACCGAGTCACCTAATTGTGCGATGCGCACTAGCCATCAAGCCCTGCTAAAAGGGTTGAGTAGCGCGATGAAAAAAGGGAGCTAATACGTGCAGGTATATCATAAGCTGACATGCATTTTTGTCACATGGTTCAAAAAATGTGTTGACATGTGATGGAATATTGAGGACACATGTTTCGGACACTTGGTGATGGACGTTTCAGGACCCTGCGCGACTTGATATGGACGCCCATTAGTATCATGAAGGACAATAATCCGAAATAACCCTTCAGGGCAAGCCATCATGAAAGTTTTTTGTGTGAAATTTTCTGGCGATTAGGAGGAGACAAAAATAAGAGAAGCATACACCGCTTTGATCATTTTTTTAAAAGTACCGACACAAATTTTGAAATTGTCCTCTCAACGGACCACAAATCTGTACTATGTGTTTGCATTTCCTTCACGCGTGCTACGTATGAGATAGTGTTAGCCATGTTGAGTTGTTTCTATCTTCAAATGCATACCTTCAGTGATGCCAGTGCTAATGATCACATGTCACCCTAGCCGCAACAGCCAAAGTTGTATGTAGAGTGTTCTTCCAAGAATCTGAAATACAATATTAGAAAAGTGCCCGCATAAAAAGAGCAGGCCCCTTGGAGATTTACCATACCGTCTATCATGAATAGACTTGAGCGTCTAGGGTGACTGGGTGACCATTGAAAGTTTATACATGTGAGAGTGACGCCTAAAAGTGTGGAGAAACAAGGGTTACGCCTGTTGCTGAAGTAAGGGTGACGGGGTGACGCGCCCAAAACTATCTTGGACGGGGTGACACCTGATGCTGATGTAAGGGTGACGGGGTGACGCGTCCAAAACTATCTTGGACGGGGTGACGCCTGCTGCTGATGTAAGGGTGACGGGGTGACGCGTCCAAAACTATCTTGGACGGGGTGACGCCTGCTGCTGAAGTAAGGGTGACAGGGTGACGCGTCCAAAAGCAAGTTGGACAGGGTGACGCCTAATGCTGATGTAAGGGTGACGGGGTGACGCGTCCAAAACCGTGGTGGATGGGGTGACACCTGCTGCTGATGTAAGGGTGACGGGGTGACGCTTACGCCAACGCCAAGATAGAATAATGGCGGATGGGAAAAGAAGCGAGGGTGACGCACAGCCACCATGGGAAAAAGAAGAGGTGACGCTGACAGTGCAAAGGAAAAATAATGGCGGATGGGAAAGAAAAATGAGGGGTGACGGACAGCCACTTACGTGATGGACTTCCTGTTTCGGACGGGGTGACGGGGTGACGCTTACGGGGCTGCCCCCGTCGCACCAAATAGATAGTCCGGTTCGGAAGGGTTCGCGTTCGAACTGAAGTTCCGAACCGGACTCCAGCATCACTAGTAGGTTGCTGAAGTTGCCGACGCTCTACACTACCTCCCTACACTAGCAGTAAGTATTTGCTACACTCAAAGGCTTTGAATTATCGAGTAATTATTCATTTGGGTGGGTACAGCTAAAAACCGGTCGAATAAGACCTGCCATCAGGCCCAGCTGTCATGTCTAATTAGATCAGGTACGTGGGAACATCAGGTGATATTTGTTGACATATTGTCTGTGAAAATATGGTTGCGGAAGCTTGATATTTTGGATTACACATAAAACACTAGCAAATTTTGAAGTTGTCTACCTAGTTTTATGTTACTTTAAATTTCAAACGTTTTCTTCGCATTTTTTACAACATATAAACCTGTCCTAAATATTGATAACCCCGATGTGTAAGTCATCACGCCCTGACCGGATTCGCCCATGGGACCGTCTTTTTCTCGCTGAAGTTGGCTGATATTTGATGGCTTCGACAAGGCCGAAACCTTAGGTACCCCAAAATTCTCAGCCATGAGCCATCTCTAAGCCGTCGGAATTTTTGGACAACATGCAGCGAGGACTCATCGGTTTTCTGATGGCTATCCGAGAAGAGCTCGGCGTTCCAGAACCCACGAAGGGCAGTCGCATGCTCTATATCCTCGTATTCCGCAAGCTTCAGCCCATTACAGAGCTACAAAACACAGAGTTTTTCGATGTGTGGCGCCAGTGTATCATGGGTACGTGTTTTCATAGCATTTACGAGGTTCTCTATTGACACATCACGCAGGCCATATTACTCTGTGGAAGGAAGGGGTGTATCACCAAGATGTGAGCCCTGAAAACATGATGTGGTACGGGAAAGACGGGAAGCGGATAGGCATTTTAAATGACTACGATCTATCCTCGTTGCCGGATGACCTAGGTCCTCGAGGCAACAAACGCATGGGCATGGTGCCGTTCATGGCGCTCGAGCTTCTCACCAAAGTGGGTCTACAGGGCAAAGTCAAATATTTGTATTACCATGATCTGGAGTCATTTATATGGGTTTTCATCTGGATTTGCTTGCATTACAGGCATGGAGTCCTTCTTCCAGTGGGATCGCGCCCTTTGGATGAATGGGTGACCTTAAACACTGTGGCATGTGGCATGCAGAAGCACTATTTCCTAGGTCATCTACGAGTTTACTACCCCTCAGACATCGATGACAATGTGGGGAGATTCCTTGTGGATTGTGTCAGGGTGCTTCGACAAAATGCTGAGCGTCGATCTTCTCGCTCCGAGGAGCTACTACTGAAGCGAGGGGCAACCGAGCAGTCCGATGATGAGGAGCCAGAGGATGTCGATGGTTTTCTACAGGTGTTTACAACTAAGAAGAGCTGGGTCAAGCTCACCGAGCTTAGCAACCCTTCACAGTGATTTCTGTACTCATTGAGAATATCAACTAGACCTTTCTGTGGAAGTCATATCGATCGCACCTGATAGCGCGCCGCCCCAGGATGATCCCTCCCCGACTCAGAATATTAGGAAATTTCAGGCATCGGAGCGATAGATATAATTTGTGGGCTCATGAGGTCGACGGCCCACATACTCCGTCGCTGCCTGTTGGGCACGTCTTCTTCAAAATGTCTTTGAACAGGCGGTCCCTCTGCTGTGACTAATCTAGGAGGCACATTCTCGCCTAGATGCCATGCAAGTTTTGCCAACCGCTTTCTCCGCAGTCACTGCGAGCTGAGGAAGGTGAGGGCAGTAGTGATGTACAGCGGCGGTGGGGCTATATGGTCAGTATAGTACCTCTATGATTTTTGCGCTTTCTATTGCATAGGATGTGCAGTAGAAGATAACTCACGTCGAACACGTGCGATGAAGTGGGATTATCATTATTGTGAGTACAACAAGGTCACCTCCAAAATTCATGACTGAACTATCGATACGGTGTGCTTGCAGTTATTATATATTGGTTATTTTGATGTGGAAATCTGCAACCGTCTACCAGCTTTATCCAGCGTCGTTCCTTGACTCAAACGGTGATAGAACTGGCGATCTCGCAGGCATCATATCGCCAAACTCGACTATCTCAAAAATCTTGGTGTGGACGTTATATGGCTCAGCCCGATCTACCGTAGCCCATTGGCTGATATGGGATATGATATGTGAGCGCTAAGTGTTACTTTTTTGGTTCCGGTGGTTGATGCTTTAACCACGACAGCTCGAATTATAAGGACAGTGATGCGCGCTATGGCACAATTGAAGACTGGGACCGCCTTCTGGCGTACACACACAGGGGATGAAACTCATGTGTGTATCATTCGAACTCTAAATTGTTTTCCTGTGTTAACCCGGGTCTTTTTGACAGGATGGATCTGGTGGTGAATCATACATCCGACAAGGTAAGCCCTCAGTCTTCTATCTTTCTAGCCTATCTTATGGTCCTTGTTTCTACCAATTTCTTACGATGACTTCCGTGCACTGGTCACATACATGTATATATCGCCAGCACGCCTGGTTCGCCGCTTCAAGATCAAACAAAAATGACCCAAAGCGCGATTAGTACATCTGGCGTCCTGGTAAAGTTGTCGATGGGGAGCAACTTCCGCCGAACAACTGAAAGAGTGTGTTCCAGGGTAGGTTATCCTGTCTTCCTTGACCTCCTTGTATTGTGACAGCGGCCGTCCCGTTCTTCTAATTGTGTGATAGGCTCTGCCTGGGAACACGACTCTACAACCGGGGAGTACTATCTCCACCTTTTCGTATCTAAGCAGCCAGACTTGAACTGGGACAATCCTGTTGTGCGTTCCGACATCTGGGATAACATGCAATTCTGGGTGCGCAGAGGATGTGACGGGTTCCGCATAGGTATATCTTTCCCCCTACTTTTTTTTCATAAAACAGCGGGCATCACCACAGATTGACGTGATCAATTGCATCTCGAAGACGGATGGTCTCCCCGATGCGCCTCTGGTGGACCGCATGCAGTATTACCAACCTGCCAGCATGTACATCACGAACGGGTGAGTTTATTCACTTCTAGTCGTAAACCGCTTGACCTCCCCAGACCGCAGGTCCACAAATACATCAAACAAATGCACACCGAGGTTCTCTCCCGTTAGTCATTTCCTTTTTCCCGTTTTCTCTGATTAACCATTGAACGGAACTCCTACAGAGCATGACCTCATTATGGTCGGTGAAACGCCCTTCACACATGAGGCATCCGGGCTCGCCGCGTACGTCCTTCCGCAAAACCGCGAGTTCAATATGCTCTTCCAATTCGAGCTCATGGATTTTGACTCGCGCTCCGAATCGCCGCTCCTCAAGAATTTTTGGACACTCGGTGAGCTCAAGGCAATCATCGGTCGCTGGCAGCGCTTCATGCGCGATGATGGGTTCTGGAATGCGTGAGTTCTGAGTGATATTAGGCCAAAGGTGGAATAGTGATATTTTATCTTGTTTGGCTATCAAAGGGCTTACATCGAGAACCATGACCAAGCGCGGTCAGTGGTGCGCTTTTGGAACGACACGGCCCAGTGGCGCGCCGTCTCCGCCAAGATGCTCATTATCCTTGAGATCACGCAGATGGTGACACTATACGTCTACCAGGGGCAGGAACTTGGGCTCAAAAATTTCCCACGGACATGGAGGATTGAGGAATACGATGACGTGGCGAGTCAGATTTATTGGAATTTGTGCGTTGCATTTTTTATTTCTCATATGATGGGCATAAGTTCTAAAGGTAGAATACATCAGCGGGAAGTATTGCGCTACAGAGTGCTACAGGGTGCTACAAAGCACTCTGTAGCAAATTATGTTTCCCTGATGTAGGACCGAATACCAGAGACAGAAAGCACAGGGGAAGGAGGCTGTTGAAATGTTTGATATTCTCGACAGTTTCGCACAAAAGGCGCGCGATCACGCGAGGACGCCAATACAGGTAAGAACATATTTAACTTTTTCTTTCCTGATCTTGTTTTAATGTTACAGTGGAATGCAGGTGCACATGGAGGCTTCACGACCGGGACACCGTATATGCGCGTAAACGACGATTACCCAGAATGGAACGCTGAACAACAGATCGGTGATGAAACCAGTGTGCACGCATTCTGAAAGCGCGCACTGAAAGTGCGGAAGGCACACCATGTTCTCGTAAGTTCGCAATATATTATCCTGCATCATGATGCAGTTCGTTTTAACTCAACTTAAACCATATATTTTCATTTCTATCTGTATTTCCGCATCTACCCCTTCCATTCCTCTAATGCTGACGCGTGCCCACGTCAAGATCTACGGCGACTTCGTGATGCTTCTCGAAACATATGAACAGGTGTTCGCGTTCATGCGGAACTATGAGTCTACGTCTGTGATAGTGCTGCTTAAAGGATGGTTGAGGTTGACCTGGGGGAGGTCATCGGAGGAGTAGCAGGTACACATTCGTCTTGTGCAACTACGAGAACGAGGCGATCGGACTGGAGGAAAAGGTCACTCTAAGGGACTATGAGGGGCGAGTGTATGTCCAGGAGGCGTTGTTGAATTGATTAAATACGAGTTGCACACAGGAAACGTGTAGTACACATGTTGACACAACGTATCGTAAAATTTCAAGATATCAAAGCTCTGACGACATGGCGCTAGACCAGCAGGAAAACATAAGGGAGACAATACATCAACGGTAGTACTGGGGAAGGTAAGACCGGTTACATGATCGAGAAGAAAGCAACATCTAGAATGCCACCAGGGCCGTCCACCCGAATAATGGAATTCACGCATGCGTGAATGCTGAAAAAGACTGGGTATAAAAAGCATCAGAATATGAAGGCATTCTGCACAAAGCATATAGCAATTTCGCTAGCAGTTAATCAATAACTGTAAAAAAGACCAGGGGATGAGCAGAGTGCATCCTCAGAAGGACCGACGCTGGCGGTGTATCCTCGACACGAGTCCCGTAGGTTCGCGCTTTGCAATAGTACCAGTGCTGTTTAGCTGCCTCCGACATTTTTTCGGGGTAGAGGATGGGTAACTGGTACCAGTGGAGGATGCTGCGGCATTGACATGGGTGGTGGTAGGTAAATTCTTCAGCGAGGTGCCAGGGCTTGATAGAGTTGTCACTGTCGATGTCGCAGTAGTTGATGGCAAAGAGGCGCTCGAGATGGTGGAGCTCGAAGGGGCCGAGGAAGGGACACTCCCGCCCGATATAATATCGGATGCGTCGGCACAAAATGCAATGAGGAGGTTCACCTGTATCACCACTGATTAGTTGATGGATACAATATTTCAAAGCTACATACATTATCAGCTTCACATTGACGTTGGGCATACCAGTCTTCTGGGGCATAGAAAGCTACGGCGCAGTTCGGGCCATCACCTTGAAGCGAATTGTAAGCATAAATACGGACCCCATATCAGACAATACTTACAATCGGCTCCAAGTCCGTCGCATCCGTTGTAATACCTATTTAGTTGTCAGGACGTCAATATGTGAAAATCTGCATACTCACGCAAAAGAAGCTTCCACGTTGAAACGATGGCTGAGTAGAAATGGTGAGGGTAAATCTGTGTTCACAAGAAAGAAACTTACGGGTCAATGAGTGAGATATCAACGCTAGAGCCACACCCCGGACAGGTCGGGTTGACCAGGTTCATCTCGACTAGCGTGCACTCTTCGCCATTAGTGTCACACTGTCCTGTGTAAACATATGTCTGATTTAGCACCATTTGTATATGAGTGCATTACTTACCGGTCTGTAAGTATCTGATGGGCATAGGTTGAGTCGACACCGCATGACAATGAAGAAGTGGAGCTTACGCGATTCCGGAAAATAGGCCATCGACAACGTAGTCCTGTCCAGTAGATACGTTGCGACCATTCTCAACCAAGCATGGCTAGATAATTTTTGAGCTGATTTTTTCCCCGCACGGATTTGAGAGTTGTAACTCACGGTTCCGTGACCACATCTGTGATTTATGTCAGAATTGTGGGGGTGATTCTTTAATGTGTGACATACTGGTTGATAAACTTTATGGTGTGTGTTTCTGACGCACCAACTCCAATAGCCGAAAAAATAGCAAGAAAGAACGAAAAAAAGAGAGGGAATGCCATGAAACCCGGCATTGTGAAAGGAAAGGGAGGGAGTAAACGAGTGAACGGAGCGGTGGTAAGTGGTAGAAAAGCAAAATGGTTACTGGGCAGCTATTTGCATGTGGCTATACAAACTTAGTTGAAAGAAAACGCTTCTTTTTCGGTCACTGACCGAGTCTACAACGAGGACGCTGAAAGCAGCTTCATCTCCGCATTTTCTCCCTCGACGGAGAGCTTGTCCTTGCATTGCATTTTTTTAATCTGTTGATCCGTCCCTTTTTCAGGCAAAAACTGTCGCGGTGTTCATATAGATTTAAACTCTTGACTCAATCGAGCTGCAGTATGCAACCATCCAACGCGGGTCCGAGGATTTCGATCTCCAACTCCGAGCGTGTTGGCTTCGAGACGGAATGTATCTGCAGGGCTCCTGGCTCAAGTCGTGCGAGCAGGTCGTATCTTATGATATCAAGAAGGTATTTGTCCCAAACTCGTCTTCCATGTGTTCCCACTGCCCAGGCACTGGCCGTTTCAATGTCTTGCAGTCTTCAAGTATAGCATAACGAACTGATCGTACCATGTTATTCACAGCATGAATCTCCTCACATAATTGTGGCCGCGGTGGAGGTTACATATGGAGATGCTTGACCTCGTAGGAACGATAGATTTTCAAGTCGGCCAAGTCCAACCAAGTCGTACCACGCTGGATGTTCCGTCTTGTTTTGGAATCGTGGTGCAATGGAACACACCTGTAGCCCAAGCAATGAAGTGAACCCCGGGCCCATAAGTGCTAGCTAGTGTCAAGACATGCACAAACAGTCGCCACCTACAATTCACGCAAGGAAAGCTGCAACTCTTCATATTGACCTCATTGGTGTTGTGGCACGTGGACTCAGAGTTCTACATCCATAAGCTCACACGTCCATCACCGATGTATTTTGTCAACGATATGGATATTGATGTGCTTCTGACGTTCCAGCGACATATGGCACCCGGGATTCAGTTCGCGATGATTTTTCTTGCAATCGTGACTTCTAATTTTATTCAAGTTCAGACTGGGCAGGAATGGCTCCCCGAATGACTACCGGCAAGGAAATTATTTGGTAAGTAATTTCTGGCCTTCTGATTGTTAGAATGACCACTGCTGACCTGTCAGATAAACTATTGTTTTCAGTCTATCTCACGGACAGAAATGAGGATTATTCTCAAAACTCAGACGCCTTCCCAGAATCTCATGCGTTCAAGCCCAATTCAAGCCTCAGCCCTAGGGTCGATCTTTGTCTCCGAGTTTGTTCGTCTGTAATGATGGTTCGAATGACTCGTTTCAAGCATATGCCCTATTTAACACGTTGCTTACATAGCTGAGGGGTTCCTTCTATGCACGTGACTTGCCAAGATCATCTCGACTGCTGCAGATCGGTGTTCACACTCACTCGTTTTCTTCCCGCCTGATTCCTCACTGCTCACAGACCTCCGCACGTCCGAGTCGCCGATCACGTGCCCCACAACGACAGCGGACAGCGACCTACCAAATCTCGCAGATCCTAAGCAGGCAGGGTTTCAAATCGGAGGCAAAACAAACAAGAACGAAGTCGAGCGCAAGGACACTGCCATAGGATCTGGTACGGCAGTTGAGAAGAGGGTAGGTCACAACCGGCCCGGTAATGAGTACGTATTTGTTTAGCTGTGCAAGCGATGCTGATACGAAAGGCGTTTGATTTTCCGGCACATGTAACCGCAATGGTTGGCTGAATAGCTAAAAGCGGGACACAGCGACACAGTGACAGCTTGAATTGGCACTTCAACCCTAACCTATAGAGCAGTGTTCTTTGCAAACTTCAAGGACTTAATCAGATAGTCTCACTGCACCATAATACGTGGGATGGTATCCTCGGCTATGCGGTGTTTAAGTTTCAACCCATGCTTCACTTTATAGGTAACAAATTTAAGTAGATGTGACGCTGCAACCTAATTTTGTTTCACTTCGACAATTTTCATTGTTTCTTGTATCGTTGCATGTGTTTCGACACCATATATAGAGGTGTCCGCCTTGACAAAAACTCACCTGTACAGCATTGACATTAGAGTTTACATACACATATTTTCAGCACATACAACTACCATGCTGTACGTACTGTCCATCATAGGGCCGCCCCACCGGACAATAAATCATGTTCCAAAATAAATAAATAGCATCGATATCCAACATTAGAGAGTTACATATATAGATTTCCAGTCATACGACTACCATACTATACGTACTGTCCATCACAGGGCCCTGCCCCACCGGACAATAAACCATGATCCAAGATAAATAAATAAATAAATAAATAGCATTGACATCACGGCGCCTCCACTTTGTTTTTGCCTGCTTGCCACAATCGCGTACAATGCATGTAGATGCCTGAGACGTGTCCTGGGAGCAGAGCTAATTAAAGAGCGCCTTGTTCATGTGAATCTCCTCCAAAATATTTCGATAAAGTGTCTATAAGTGCAAGGTCAAAAATAATGATTCCGAAAGGATCTGCAAATTGCTCACCGGTGGTTTGATTCCTGTCAATGAGCTTGATCGGCTCCCCACCCATGCTGCGCACCCGTTCAGTGATAGCAATCGATCCCATTGTCAAACTAGGCTGGGCTGTGGCGACTTTCCACGTTCCTGGTCCATTGAAAGACGCAGCTCGCGCTTTTTCAAACACGCTGCCAGGCTCGGTTTTCCCGTCTTGGTAATTGACAGAGCCAGCCCATACGGTGGCAAATACGACACCAATAACAGCAACCATGACGTTGACGAGCACGATTTCATTGACTGTGATGACGTATACGTTTTTGTACACGACAACCAGCTGGGCGAGGGACAAGATAGAAGGAAAGACAAAGTTAGAGACCGATATGTAGAAAAGTGTGCGCAGGCGTTGCCCAAATGTCGCTAGGTATTATTGTTAACGCAAACTTAACCCTGCAAAAATTGGTAACATACTCTTTCGTGGGCTGATTTCACTCTGGACACTTGGTCTATAATTTCTTCGAGGACGGATTGCCCAGAGGAAGGCTACGGACGCATAGCTGCAACTTTTCAACAATCTACCTTTTTCTTAAAGCTGGAACACCTACGTATTATCGACGAGTTGAGCTGACCACTCAATTTTAAGGTAGGGTGCAGTGGCCCACACCACTGCAACATTTTCACTCCCCATTGGGCCACTCGTAGCATCCGCAAGAACTTTAATGAACACGAACATGTTGATGAGACGCGCGATTTTCAAGAGCACAGGAAGTGCGATGATGAGGGCAAAACGTTTCGGACCCACAAGGGTGTGAGGGTAGATCAGTGTAAGACGCAGCAGAAGGATGATGTCAACAAGGATCGATTGAAAGGCGCCTATAATTCCAATAGCAATATTAACCTGGATGAGAATGTAAGAAGCGGCCATGAAAGAGGGAGAAAAGTCTTACTGATGGCGGCCATTGGTTCAATGGAGACAGTATTGAATGAATCTGCGATTAAATCAATATGATGTACATATGGAGGAGACAACGAAAATACTGACCGCAAAACTGTCGATCATGACCCCAACAATGAATGCTAGAATGATGGCTATGACATTGAGAATGAATATGGGCCTTTTTCGTGAAAGTGGGGTTGAGAAGTAAAAGAGCGCAATAATCAGGGGGATCAGAATGACAGTGAAAGTGTGCCCGATCATAATCGAGTTCAGAGATGGCTGTATTATTGCAATATAATTAGTCCCAGGCGGAGGCGACGGAGGCACTATGACGGCTGGGGAAGGTATGGTCGTATTGCTTGACATGAGGGGCGTCTGGTCGTGATAGCTGAGTAAGTCTGGTGAGTCCATTTGCTTATAAGAGGACTCAGGCACCAAGGACACTGCAAAAATAAATGAAATGTCAGATCAAAAAGATATCATTAGCAGTGGGAACTTGGAAGAAGGTTTATCAAGACGCGGCCAACTGCGAGGGCAAGCGACCCAAAACTGTTTATTTGTGTCCTTGAGTGATTACATGGAGGAGCAGAGTTCGCTGAACGGCTACGGGATTTGATTAGTTTCAACTTTCAAATCCTCGTACTGACGTGCGACACATAAATCACAAAAGAGAGTTGCAGTATGCAAAACTAGTAAACCTCACTGGAAGAATGAGCAGAAAACACAGTGATAAAAGAGTTAATAGGTACCTGGCCACGGTCAACCTTGAAAAGCTAGAACTATTATACTTGGTATAAAGATCGTGTGATGGAGCGCTGGCATGAGTCCCGCCGTTTGAATCGGATTTAGAGGTTTCCTAATGCGGGGAAAAAAATCATTTGGTGAGCGCCACAGGCGCTCCCATGTGACTTTATCAGCCGCGGGTCCGGTATACTAAGCTAACTTGAACATTTACCTTGAGCACCCTAGCTAAGAGATTCACAGACTTCAAACGTGAGTTATTTCCACGATTTTTGTCCCAGGAAATAACTTGCAAGGTGTGCACATGAGTCTGTTTCCTACGCAAACACTGATCACTACTCACGCAAAGAAAACATGTCAAATTCCGAATCGTCGCCTATCCCGACCACGATGCGGCAGCGCGTGATAGACTACATCACCCAGCTCCAGAACAATATCGTCAGTGCTCTTGAAGATGCATCAGCTCCTCCATGTCAGTTCAAACGCGATGCCTGGTCACGTCCGCAAGGCGGTGGTGGCATCTCGTGCACGTATGCCTCTTCCAGAGATGATGCCACCTACGAAAAAGCCGGCGTCAATATCTCCATGATCCACGGTACACTCCCTCCAGCTGCGATCAAGCAAATGAGCAGTGAGCATTCATCCTTGGATATCAATACTATGACTGCACTTCCCTTCTTTGCTGGCGGCATCAGCTTAATCGTACATCCACGTAATCCAAATGCACCAAGTGCGCACGCAAACTACAGGTACTTTGAGATAATGGATTCCACAGAGAAGGATGCAAAGGTCGTTGGGTGGTGGTTTGGTGGTATCACAGATCTCACACCATCATACCTGTTCGAGGAGGATGCGAAGGAGTTCCATGAGACGCTGAAAGCGGTTTGCGACTGCCTATGGGACAGACCTGTATCCCAAGTTCAAGCAGTCTTGCGACGATCATTTCTTCATTCCCCATCGCAAGGAGTATCGTGGTATTGGAGGGATCAGATTTGATGACCTAAACGATGACTTGAACGCTATTCTAGGCTCCGTAGATGGGGAGACCTGTCCCCGCACAGCAGATGATATATTCGCCTTCATACGTGATCTCGGGGATGCATTCACCCCTTCATATATGGGCATTCTCAATCGCCGGTCAATCATGCCTTCAGATGAACGCATGCGCCGCTGGCAACTTCTTCGACGTGGGCAGTATGTTGAATTCGACCTCGTTTGTGAGAGAGGAATTAAATTTGGATTGGCTGCACCCGGAGTCAATGTGGAGAATGTGCTGATGGGAATGCCAGAAACAGCAAGATGGGAGTATATGTCAGATATGTTTGAAGAGAGTGATTCGGCTGAAGGAAAAATGATGGAGGTGCTCAAGTCTCCAAAGTCTTGGGTTTCAGATTGCTAGGTCGGTCTCGCTGTGCGTTTCTGATGGACTATGAACGTGGGTACTTAGATATCTGTTGCAGCTTGATGAATCTCGAAAGCATCGCGTTAAGTGCCGAGTGCTCGATCTGATCGTAGTCGGAAATATATCCTGGCAGACTAGCCGCCGATACGATTATATTGGAATCAACGTAAAGTACCTGGGGAAATCGGCGAATGCCTTGGAAAAGCTTGCGGACGCACTCGTGATACGGTAGTCTCGCAGATCAGCCGCCTTGTCTGAGAAGGGAATGTGTGACAAGGTATCCCCTTCTCAGACAAGGCGGCTGATCAACAAGATTATGATTCTAGCGCGAGTCTAGTCTGATTCAGAATTTTATCCCTTGTTGTTTCGAGGCAGGTTTTCGTCTGATCCATTTTCATCGGACCACAGGCAACGTTTGTGATGTGTAAGTAGCCCGATAGTCGCTCATGAACACGGAAAGTCTTCTCAAAATGTCTGACTTCGTTCGGCTCACAGTAGGCTGTGATACAAACTTTATAACTGAATGATGAGCATTTCACTCCGAATAATCCAGCCCTCCCTACTTATAACATTCTGTTCTCCTACCACACTCTTCTCAAGCAATTTGAACTCCTCTAGTGCGTTGGGTACATGTTTTCAAAGAGTGACTCGATAATTGATGCCGACCAACAGCATAACTTATATCCTTTCCTCATTCTCACGACTCAGCTCATCTAACAGCTTCTGTACTTCAACGATCCACAGTCCGCTACATGCCCTTTAACATCGATCCCGAAACCCTGTTTCGAGTCGAACAAAGTGGCCAGCCGGTTGTTGTATACGAGTGCAAATTGCAGGGGGCACCCTGTGGTACAACTGTGGAAGGAACGACCACTGCAATTTCTGCTCACATCCGGCAGCACGGTATCACCGGTCAAGACAGCGCCAATAAACGACGCTGCTCATGGGGCGGCTGTTCCAAGATGCTCAAGAAGGGGAACATGGCCAGACATATCCTCGCTCATCTCGGAGTAAAAGTGTGCTGCTCCGCGTGCGGAGTCGTGAAGTCGCGGCGTTATATCCTCCGTGCACATATCAGATCTTCAGAATTATGCCAATTGGCATCCGCTGAGATCGTTCACGGACCTGAGGGGCATCTTATTGTTCCCGCGAATTGGACTGCTGCTATGAACGTTAATGATTCCAGCATGTGCTCGCTATCCATGATGTGATGGTCAGTAACGTTCCGCCACACTCGTTATTGTAATTCATATCGGAAATATGGGCTCTTGAGAAACGGAGAAAATTTACGCTTACGAATTTATGTTTATAGTAGGATTGCCAAGGAGGTGACGGGAGATTTGGAATGAAGGGCAGACGCACGGTTATCTTCTGGTGATAGAGCCTGAAAGAGTACTAGTTTAACAAGTTTCATAAATATTCTCACTTTGTATCATGGCATCGCCCGTCCGACATAGGGCATAATTGCTGTATCACTTAAGAGAGATTGGTAGTACCCACGTAAACGTACGGCGAACATCCTCGGGTTTATCGCTTAGCGAGGATCAGCAGGTGGCTCGATTAAGGCAAAGTGCTTCAGGTTAGCGACCGGCTCCGTCGATATGCCATGACTCGTAAGACGCATCTTTATCGGTGTTTCATAAGGCAACCGTGAAAGGATTCGCAAAATAAGGCAAATGCTGTGAGGACTTACGTGTAACAATGTTAAGTGACACACAGAACAAGCACAAAAACCTCCAACGTTGCAAAAAGTCATCGATTGTTAAGATGCAGGTGAAAATATAAGGGGTAGGAAGAAGCATGTGGCGAGACGTGCCTAAAGTCGAACACAATACGAGTCTGTGACTTTGGCTAGCTCTGCTTAAGCTTGGACGGGGATGCTGTAGTCTCATCGTCTCCTTCCGAATCGGAGTCGCCATATTGGGAGGGCGATGAAAGCACGTCAGATGAAATTATTTGCCCAGGAGACATTAATGGAAGAAGGTGCGCATGAGATTCGAGACTATCGTTTTCCCATGGAAAGGCAAGTAACATGTATGGCAGGTCCTGTAATCTTGGCAATGGCGCTCCATCCCAGCTGCTAGGAGTTGGTGAACTACATGATTCTGACGAGGACAGCTTGAGAGAGGATGGGACCACTCCTATGTCTATCACATGACGCAGCTCGGATTCATGTTGTTTACGGATAACGGACTTGGGAAGTGGGATATGTTTGGACTTGGGAAGCTGGAACAATGCTCGGGCATCTCGAAATGCCGGATGCCACGTCTCGATGTGCTCGAACTGGAATATCTGATGATCTTTGAAAGGCTTGGATAAGTAAAATATAACTGACCTTGGCCTCTAGTTGCAGTAATTTATCTTGAATATGTTGTTCAGACCGGCCCTTTTGCTTTTTACGCGCAATGTATAATATCACTGCATCCCGAACTTTCTTGACGTCGGATTCAGAATTGGCTAGAACTGTCAAGACCTATGCAGTTTATGAGGGTGTTGTCAATAATGCACGGTGATGAATACGCACTTCCATCATCGTATCCCCTCTGAAGAAGCCGACTGTTTCCATCATTCTGTCATGAACACAGTGTGGGGCGAAATTCGAGTTGGCCGTTAACGTATACGATAGCCATAGACATTATAGACATTATATAAGCGACTTGAAGTGAGGAAATTTACATATCAAGTTTCCAAGATATACATGCACCTTCACATACCAAACTCTGAGCCGACGTGTGCTCTTGAGGAACGGATCGCATCAAGGACCATAAAGCGGACCTGAGTATCCTGTGACCAAAAAAGGTCGTGTCGGATTTGTACGTATAACGCACGTTCGTCAGTCAGGGGAACGTCCGCTGCTTTGCTGGCAGCTGCAGGGGAATCAGAAGCTTGCAGTCGAGGGCGAGACCGAACACCAATATTAATGACGAGTATTCTTTGATTCCCTGCGCAGCTTTTGTCAGTTTAACGTTACTGTGCTTGCAACGAACAAGAAATTTGAAATATTAAATAATGCGGCCGCCTGGCAAAATAGTAACAATGAAACCCGAGGCCTGGGTCAGAAGTCAAAGTCGTAGCGTACTGTTTGTATAAGGATCGTACATGATGGGAGCGAAAAAGATGATTGTACGAGGATGGGTGAATTAGAACCCCGCGAAACGAGTCTGATACTAGTATTGTCACAAATCGATTATCAAAACCGATCGACTGTACACAATGAAGTTAAGTTGTAGTTCCGCGAACCAAGAATTCCAGATTGCGCCGTCTTCACGCCGCAGAATGAGGATGAAGACGAGGCTCTGGGATACGTATACACCATATAGTTCCGAAAGGAAGAGGACCACAGAAAATATAGATAACAAGATAAAAAAAGGCTGTGAATGCTATATCCCACATGCTAATTCGAGGGATTACCTGGCGGCAAGATGAATAATCGGTCGTCGGGCTCTCAGTCGTCACCATAGTCGGAGAATAAGGATAATGCTGTATCACGGCGAGATGAACGAGTATGAGATGGGGCGTGATGTCCTGGTTGATCCTTTTTGCTTGTGATATCCCAGCTTAGACGCGATGGCGAGTTGGATGGCACTGACGCAATAGACGGGACTGATGCAGGACGAGTTGATGCTGAAGACGACGTATAAGTGGATGCTGAAGACGACGTATAAGTGGATGCTGAAGACGACGTATCAGTGGATGCTGAAGACGATGTGTAAGGGAATGCTGAAGATGATGTTGGGGAAGAAGCAACTGGGCTCGAGAGTATCATCGAGGACGACTCCTGCTCCATTTGGCGACGCTCCTCTTTTTCACGCTGGCGAATAATGGATGTAGGCATAGGGATGTGATCAGATTTGCGAAGCTGGAATAAGGCTCGAGCATCTCTCCAAGCGGGATGTAATGCCTCTATGTGCATGAACTAAATATTTGTATTTGTCGTCAGCGCGTCTGTCAACACACCGAGCAAAAGATAGACGAACCTTGCGCTCCAATTTTCCTAATTTTTCGTGTATGTGTTGTTCAGTGCAACCCTTTTTCTTTTTGGCCACAATGTACATCATCACTGCCTGTCGAACAGTCTTGACATCATGCCCGGAGGTAGCGATAACTGTAATAACCTTTTAATCATGAGAGTGATTTCATTCGTATATGCCTGTAGAAAACTCACTTCCATGCTTGTACTCATATTGAAGAAGCCACTTGTAGCCATGCTTCGAGAATGTATCCTTGACGACTAGACTATGTTTGTAGGATGAAGAGGATGAAGTGCGGGGAGCACAGACCAGAAGGTCCAGTGTAATAAGCGCCAATATGAGGCTCTTCTTTAAAAGGCCTAGAGGCTGTCCCTGAACAACAGTCCGACACAATCAGGACTGAGCAGAGAGAAAGTAGTCATTCCTGGTACACTACTATCATGATGTAGTCATTCGGCAGAGCCGTAAGATACATTTACATTCCTACAGCGGGCCTTACAACATGCCAACCGCGTGAGAAGACTAAATTCGCACCGCCATAAATATCACGGCCCGCAACGGCCCTGAGTCCTAGATAGCCTTGGCGTGAAGGCACTTCAACGGAAAGATTGATGACCTGACGGCAGTCGCTACTGCGCCGTAGTGACTTGGACAGCCGAGACTCTTGCAACGTCAAGTCCGTACGAATTGGTAACACGGCGAAGCCTGATGGCATGATGGCGATCATGTCGCGGATCTGGAGACAATGACACTCGCTCGAATAACATACAGTGACTCAGGGACTCATCATTGAAGTGGTCTCATAGCATGGACGACTGTCATGATATCAATTTGAATTTGTGTACGAACGAAACGCAGTGCTGCTCACCAGACTCCTGTGCAAAAAAGCCCCGTAGGGCTATATACTTAACTATAGCAGAAATCCACAAACATCCGGAACTTGAAGTCAGCTGTGGAAGGAATCAAACTAGCTGCTCTCGTGTTTACGTAATTACAGATATTTCATTTTCAGCCCGATCGGATCTGCTGAGCTTGTTCATCCATCTTCCCCGCACTGCGATGTTCATCCGCCCCCTCCGTCGTCTCCTCACCCGTTCAACTGCCGTCTCACGCTTTCACACTTTTCCACCATGCTTATCTTCGAGGAAAATTTTACAGAATTTCAAGCTTGCTGATATTGGCGAGGGCATCACAGAGTGTGAAGTCATCAAATGGTGCGTCGGCCGGACCTTGTAAATATCGTGCTCCCCCACTGAGCTCATAAGTTAGGAATGTGAAGGAACTTGGCACTGTACAAAGCTTTGAGCCTTTGTGCGAGGTCCAGAGCGATAAAGCAAGCGTCGAAATCACAAGCCCATTCGATGGTGTAGTGAAAGAGATTCTGGTAAAGGAAGGTGAAGTTGCAAAGGTTGGCCAAGGACTCTGTGTGATTGAGGTTGATGAGGAATTGTTGGATAGCGGAAGCGCAGAACAAGTAGATCCTGCTTTGTCGACGGCATCTGCGCCATCTCCAGGAATTCCGAACTCCAAGTTTGTCGAAGAAGATGCTATCTCTCGAGCCGAACAAATCCATGAGGAGCCATCTGCACCCAGAAGACCACATCCCATGGACCCAAACTACTCACCTCCTTCCGCTCCCCATGTTAACCCTGAGAACGTGCTCGCAAAGCCCTCAGTTCGTCATTATGCTCGCCAGTCCAAGGTTGACCTTGCACTTCTCTCAGGCAGCGGACGTGACGGACGCATCGAGAAGAAGGATATCGATGCATTCCTGTCACGGCAAGTCTCTCCTGTTTCGGTAGACCCCGCTTCAGCTGCACCACGAGCACAAGCACAAGCCGAACAAGACGTGATTGTCGAGCTTGGTCGGACACGTTATGGCATGTGGAAAGCTATGACTCAAAGTCTTGAGGTTCCACACTTTGGGTATGATTCCGCCCTTACAATCATCATTCGCTATCACTTATCATCTGTGTCAGCTACTCGACTTCTCTCGACCTCACATCTCTCCATTCTCTTCTCCCAATACTCAATTCGCATATACCTGAACATTTCAATCCCTCCAATTCATCATCGCTCCCAATTAACCCTTCCGCTCTGCATCCCGCGCCATCGCCTCCTCCCGTACCAGCAAGCGCCCAGTTCACACGGCTCACATATCTCCCTATACTCATAAAGACACTTGCAAAGGCCATGATGGCATGGCCGGTGCTTCGTTCCTCCATCACACCAGGTAGCGCAAATGGAGGAGGCAAGCCCACACTTACCATCCGTCCGCATGCGGACATCGCTGTTGCTCTGAGCACCACGACAGGTTTATACACACCCGTCATACCCCATGCAGATACGCACAATATCTACAGCCTATCTTCACAACTTAAGCACCTTTCTTTCCTCGGCCGTCAAGTACCATGCGCACTCACGATGAACGAGATGCCGAAACGTGGTGCAACGGTCACAGTATCTAATGTAGGCGCAATCGGCGACGGGGAGTACGCGCACCCTGTCTTGGTACCTGGGGGTGGTGTAGCGATCGTCGCCATAGGGAGAGCGAGATGGGTGTGGGACGTCAGTAAGAGTGAGCGTGGGGAGAGGAGACTAAAGGTTGGCGTGAGCTGGAGTGCGGATCACCGTGTGCTAGAGGGTGCAGAGTTGGCTGCGTTCGTAGAGTCTTGGAGGGCATATGTGGAGGCACCTGAACGACTTATCGGAGAGGGAATATGAGCCGAGTTCATATGCTCAATGGAGGCTGTATAATTGAGCATCGGACTTTTATGCTATCGCTTTGCAATCATGGTCTAGAGCAAGAATATCACGATCCCATACATCAGCACTTTTCATATCTATCGCTACCTGTCCTGTAAGTACCTTGTCAACACATGGTGAAATTGATCGCGGCACTTTGCAACATTGGTGATTTACGCCGTTTAATTAGAACCACGCTGCATGCTGCCTTTGTATCAGATATGGGTGAAGCCGGAGATTCTTTGATTATCGCCACAATGTACTTCATCATAATACATCACGAGTCCGATTCATAATGATTTTGCTAATCAATGTCCGAGACAAACGAGCGTTTATTACAGAAGACATACATACACTACAGGTGATTCAGCTCTATAGTACGGATTTACTACATGCGACTTCGACGGAAATGAGGGAGATGCGTGGGCATATTGATACACTACACAAATGCCGAAGAGGATTACATACGTACAAAGGCAGGGGAATGGGCGTTAAATTGCTGGTAATAAAGGGGAAAACGTGCAGTGCAGGGAAGGGAAGAACGAGTGACTGATGAGCGGTGCGTGAAAATGGTAAATGATGCTGCGGCTTCCCTTGCCAAGCTTCTAAGAAGTGGCATTCCCTAAAATCATGGCCTCGACGCCAGCGGCCCTCAACAGGTGCACGAGCTCGTGTGTCGCGTCGTCATCATTATCGGCAACATTCGCAGCTACGATCACACGCATCGATGGAGAATTGGAATTGCGAACGATACCGTCTGAGAGGGAAGCTAATAACGCGGCGATCGTCGGGTCTGTATCGTTGAATTTCAAGTCAAGAAGACTTGGACAAAGCGCCGCGGTGATTAGGTCTGGAACTATCGCTTGCAAGTTCGGCTCGTCTAGACCAGACAGTACGAGATGGTCGAGAGTCGCGGTTTCCTGCAAAAAGCAACGCAAAGAAGCGCCGCACGATGTAAGGCTGTGAAGCTCCAAAGAACGAAGTAAAGATAAGGGATATGGCCCGCACGTTGCGCATGGGAATAGGTGAGACGATGTTGTGCACGAGTAGTGGGCTGCTGTGAGGTATTCCAAAAGACGGGACGAATCGCAAGGGTGCGATGGATCTAGTGAAGAGGAGATGTCCTCCAGCGAAAATGTTTTGAGGGCGGGGAGGTAAAAGAGCGACAAGAGATCAATTGCATAATCGACATCAATGAATCCGAAGGCAAATTCTCGTAAATGTGGAAGGTAGAGAGCGCGCTGCTTGGGCGCAACGTTCACGTCTATCTGAGGACCCCATCCCAAGATGCTTAATCGCTCGAGTTCGGGACATGCAGATATGATGTCGCAAAACTCGTGCAATGTCGGCATCACCTCGCTCGCGTGGTATTTGAATTCGAGTTCCAAGAGACCCGACAATCCCGAGTTTTCCCAGTTCACGTGCACACCGGCAAGGGAGACCCGACGAAGGCTGTGAAATGCCGAGCCTCCCCCGAACCAGGAGACTGGATGTCTGGTTGCAGAAGGACGGAAGAGCTCGCCCTTTGCAGCAAAGAAGGCGTTACAGCGGGAAAGAAGGATATCTTGTAACATAGGAGCTGATTTTATGCGGGAAGTATAGGAGAGGAAGGTAAAAATAGGAGCCCAGGTGTCGGTGAGAAGTTCAACCCTCTGCCACCGGTGCACATAGGGCAAGATAAGTCGCATGACATTTTCCATATTTTTCCATCCGAAGCAATGTGACGCTTCGTCCCAATTCCATGCGGGATCTCGGAAATCCATGTATAGGTGCAAAGGGCAAGAGCGAGAACGCGCAAGCCAGTCGATAGTGCGGAAGAATTGAGTGCAGCGAGTGGGGAATGCGAGAACAATGACAGTCCATAATGATGAGGTCGAAAGAGATACGTTTCTCCAACGTTGGCAAACATGAGAGATTGTGGTAGCGTGAAATATAGCGTCATAACAGTCGTGAAAATCGTGCGTTGCGATATGGAATATGGCAGACAGTAATTCGTCCGGGATTGTTGCGATTGTCGAGGTTCCATGCAGACAGCGTCCTGCATTTAATTTGCGAACGTTGACAAACGAGTTGCCTGACACACTATTCAACGTCACAGAAGGCATCTGAAACAAAGTCTGCCATCGTGCACGATATCAGGATTGTTGTACTGACCTTGAGGGGATCAAGCACGAGATGGCAGTGTGACAGTCAACTGGCGGTCAGTCGAAACTGTTTGAACGTGGGGAGAGGGCATTCCGTTTATTAAAAGGTTCAGCGCTAACCCTTCGTAATTACCCGTGATTGGCGTAATATCCGGGAATTGAAAATTGGATGAGCGGTGTATGGATATGGCAGGTGCTTACCAAAGAATGGCGGGAGTAGACAGCGTGTAGGATGGCATCATAACATGTGCCTGCGCTTCTCTGAGAGTCATGAGTGCCCTGTGTGTCCTCCATCTCACGCCCAAGCCCACCAGCGCTTGAGCACCAGGAGTAAAAAATCTGGACAGCCTTGAACACACCCACCCTTTTTAGCACAAGGTCCGCCTCGAGGCAGCAACAAACCTGACAGGGCTTTCGCTGGCGATTACGTTGCGTCCGAAGTTCAAAATAGTTTCAAACTCCGAGGGAGGAAGTAATCGTCGTTTAAATAATGCTAGGGGTTGCACGTTCCAACTGTTCATGAGCGGTAATCCTTGTTGCAACAGAAGCTTTGACAACAGAGGCCTAACAGTACTTATGGCTGCTCCGTGTAAAACTGTCCATAGGTTGTGGGAATTCGAACTTGCATAGATATGCGCTAGGTGATGCCTCGTGCATGTAGCCGGAAGAATCACCCTGAAATTATGGGCCCCACACAGGCTAGCAAGTGAGCCACTGTTCCATCGAACACGCAAAAAATTATCAATCATTTGTGGGCGACTGCTTTCCATCAAATGTACAGCCTCGTGCCTGCAACCGAATGGATTACCCTGCATCACTTGTGGAAACGATATCCGTTGTGTACAGGATGTAATATAGTCGTTATCTTATGAAATGGTGAGATTTTGAATCAGCCAAACGTACATTCAGAACAATCGACAGCAACATAAAGAGAAGAAAGCACGAACAAAATTGAAATTGTCCGCGATAGGGAGGTATTTTTCCCCATGCCTCATGCCTGTGATCAGCTGGACAAGTATTGATAAGTAGACGCTCCCCAGGCCAAGAATGATATCGATCAAATAGACAACGTGCCGGATAAACCGAGAAGGATGCCAGAGGACAGTGATTGGCGAGGAGAGTCAGTGTAGACGCCAACACCCACCCTGACGTCGAAAATGTTCTTCATAACATCCACGCAGCTTTTTGAAACAGAAATTGGGCATAGCAGTACGTAGTTGGAATATAACATCTGTTCGGTTGAACTCGGTTGAGGCGCAATAGGAAGTTGCAGGACGGCCTAGTTGTGCCGCAGTGCCGCTTGGGTGATTCTCGCTGAAACTCTAGTGTATCAGTCTAATCGGAATGTAATAGGCACTTTCAAAGACGCTGGTGGGGACACGATTGTAATCGGATAAAGTGAAGATCAACCACAGAACATGATCTTGTGAGTATGTCAAAATTGTCATTTATCGCACCTAAATTTATGGCGCACATATAATTCTCCTTGATCTTCCGGCATCACAGTGTCTTTCATAACTGGGAAGGCAGACGACGATCAATGGGCAGAAGGCGCCCCCAAGCCATAGGACCATCACTGAGCATTGTCAACTGCCATTTTATATTTGGAATGGGACCCAATGTCAACTGGAAGTCGGGTAATATGTCTTGATGCACTGCTAGGCACTGGGAAAGTATCCGTCGTCGTCGTCGTCGTCATACGTGATGACAGCGGGAACTGGTCGAGAGCAGTGTGAAGCGGTCACGTGAGTTATTTATTTCGCGTCTTATTTACGCGTTGTTTTTACGCACCTACACGACCAAATAAGTTCGACTTTCTGGAAGGCGGTGAAGGTAGAAGAGGCCCTTGTCTCTTTTGTGCGCGAGCTTGTCACCGTAAGTCATCTTTCGTCGCTTAGGTATGTACTTATCCTCTAGATAAGAAGTATATCGCTCAATTGACTGCTAATGTCTGCTAGATTCCGTTTCATCTGCTAATTCAGGTCATCGACGAGTTTAATTACTCTCAGACAACCATCAGGACTTCAAGACCACGACGATCTCATCAAACAACTAATCAAGTTAAACCAACACAGATCACATAACGACACTGACCACGATTTTCGACGACTCGTAACGCCTTTTCGTTTTCTACTTTGCTTGCTTCATCATTTCGAATCTCGACGACTTGTTTTAATACGCCCACGACTGCATATAACGTTTTTCAAGACCGTTTTTTTCATATTATCAAATTTACTTGCACACGAGACCAGATGCCTTTGCAACTCCTCTCACGACCAACTGACACTATTCGCACCCGCTCACCGTCACCCTTCGAAACACCTGCAACAAAGCCTGATATCCCCACCATCCGCCTTATCGCTGCAACACCCTCATCAGCCAATTCCTCCATTGCTCCATGGTCTGAACCCCAACCCGCACTCGCACTCGCGCCCAAAGCCTCGTCCTCAGATGCAACGCCTCGTAGGCGTCTCGTACCCAAGAAATCAAAGCTGGGTCTCCTTTCGTCACGAGAGACTGATCTATCAGACGTGGTGCGCCGAGTTGGTGCCCGTGACTCGAATAAGAATGGCAGCACGGGCATTGAAATATACGTTGACCCGATGCTTGACCCTGAGATCGGGGAGATTGTCGTAGTCAAGAAGAAGAAAAGCCGCATGGCCTTGGATGGCATGCGCTGGGGTCCCGCTCTTGGCGAGGTGACCAACATTCCACATGTGAAGGAGAAAGAGAAGAAGGAGAAGAAGAAAGATAAGGAGAATAATGTATCGAAGGTAAAGGTGGATGAGAAGTCCGGTTGGTGGACCATCGGGAAGGGGAAGAAGGATTCGAAGGAGAAAGAGAGATCAAGATGTAAGTTTATGATTCGCACTCCTGCGCTTGATTAACATATTTTATTTGACAGCGCCTGCACCGCCTTCGATTATTGAACCAACTGAGTCCCGAGCGCGGTTCAATTCCCTCGACTCAGGCATCTTGCTTCACAGCCCAGTGCTCCCTGAGCATTCCAAGTCGCCCGCGGAGAACCGACATCTACGTGTACCGACACCGCCATCTGCGACGGTTGCATCCGCTGCATATGGAGCTACACTTGCTCCACCAAGTGCTGCCCCCCTCGGCTCAGGTAAAGATAGCGTCGCTCTCCGAGCCATGCGCTCTGTGCGCTCTCTCGCGCGTATTGGGTCTTGGGCACAGCTCAAGAATATCCCTGCACCCGACGACACTCCTAAACCTACTCCTCCCGTCATTAGCGAGCCCAAGAAAAAGAAGAAAAAAAAGGACAAGGGGCAAAACAAGGAGAAAGAAAAGGAGAAACGGAAGGAGAAGGAGAAGGCTGCAACCGTTCGTTACTCCGGCAGCAGCTTCGAAGCAGGGGCGCTCAGCGCTAGCCCTGATAAAAACGCTGGTAGAGCAACTCTTGGCAAGAAGAAGTCTATTCTTGGGCTGGGCCTCCCCTCCACGATGCGTCTCCCCTCTATGCGCAGTGGGTCCACATCATCATCGATTGTAGCTGCTCAAATGCAGAGCTCGAATAAACCGTCGGCGGATTCACCTGCCACGTTAGGATGTGGTATTCTGGCCAGAGCACGGACGGGATCTACCATGACAGCGAGCAGTGCTGGTAGCGTAAGGCCTGTTTCAGTATCTTCAGGAGGATCTTCTGGCGGGTGCTCGGTGAGGTGGGACGAGGCTGGGTTAGAGACCGTGAAGGAGATCAGGAGGAAGGAACGCGCATCAAAGGAGAAGGACAGTATCAAGGAAAAGAAAACCAAAGGAACCCGCAAGAGCTCGGATAGCAGGAAGAGGACGCCCCTCTCAGCAGTTTTCCCCGAGAGGTTGTCCGACCACGAAGAAGCCGAGAGGACTAATGACGAGGAAGCAACTGTTCTGCCGCTCGTGACAATCGAAGAGGCAACTGTCGATGGACACAGCGACCTGGAGACACCAATCAAGCGAGAGCGTCTAAGGCCGTTGAGCGAGCAGCTTTTGGGGCGTAGCAGGCCCAAGGCTATGTACGAGGACGAAAACGGTACGTCAGAACATTCGTACGACCAGTGAAATATTCGCGTCGTGCTGATTCCTTTGTTTGATTTCGTGACACAGATTGCGCAGTATTGTCCCTCCTGGACGCAGCAACAAATGATCTCGCGCAGCTCATCAACCGCCTTGATCTTCAAGCGACGCCGGACATGTCACCTATGAGTGGCCATTCGCCATCTTTATTGGCATCCCCCCAAGCTGGCAGCCCCACTAAACGCATGACTCTAGAAAGCCCTGTCAAATGCCTCCGCGCAAGCGCCCCGAGCATCACTTCACTCCGTCCATACGCCAAGACGATATCCACCGCTGCAGTTCCGTCCATCGGTCAGCACATTGCACCGTGGGCAACGCTCAATGCTGGGATATCACCTGCGAAATCCCCGCCAAAGGACTCACATGCGCCAGCATCGACCTTTAGGTTCACGCACAAGCGGACAATGAGCCCTGCGCCTGCGGCAGAACCAGAACCTGTCTTTAAAGCCCTTCGCCCCGCGAAAAACAGGGTGCCTGTCTCGGGACGCACTGTATTCGCAGCGCCTATGAACCTACCATTCATGGGTAACGCGGATCGTTCACCATCATCGCGCACGTTTGGCTCTGCACATTCAAAGTCTAGTTCCCGTGCGTCAATGGGTGCAAGCCCTGTGTTTAAGAAGGCAAGAGGACACGAGAGGAAACCATCGTCACTTGTGCCTATGGAGCATGCGCATTTGCAGTTGCGTTGCGATACCACCGATGATATTCAGAACCCGCTCGATAGCCCAAGGTTGCTGATTCTCCCTGATGCACGCCGAAACCTTGGTCTTGCAGGGACGTTGGGAGGTTCTGTGGGAGGACAAGAATTGGACGCGAGTGATCCTGACTCCGACATTCCTGACGAATTGCAGATCATTTTGTCCAACTCGGATAACGAAGCGGATGACACTTTGTCGTTCCATCCTAACCTGATGATCACGCACCCACCACTGCCCTCACCTGGGCTGCCGCCCGAGATGCCACTCCCTTTGCCTAGAGGCTCTGTCACTGAAGCTCCTGTGTTCCACGCCAAAGTCATCGACGAAGACAACCACCATGCTGACGCTGAAGAGGCTGGAATGTCATCCGAGGATGATACCAAGAAATCCTTTGACTTCACGGGCGAGCTGCAGAAGCTGAACGAGTGCGGTGGATCTGACAGGCTTAGCTTCGTCGAGCAGTTGGAGAACGCGTTTCGCACGCCTGCCAAGATTGATTTGCGATATGACTTTGACCTTCCACTTGATGCACCTCCTGTGCCCAAGATACCGTCGTTACAGGCGGAACTGGAACGTGCGGGGGATAGCACATTCAGCGTGGACTATGTGTCGCAAGAGTTCTTACCTCAAGGTTTCCCGATGGATGTGGACACTGAACCATCGTTACTTCCTGGAACGGATAGCTTCGCCACGACAAATGACTGGGAGAATGAGGAGGAGAATTTCCTTTGCACAGAGCAGCCTCAAGTCTTAAGGAACACTATGTCTATGAAGTCCATGAAGTCCACAAAATCGCGACCATCGAATGGACAGCTCAATAGGAACTTCAAGTTTGGCGGCAAGCCATCGCCTGCGCCCTCTACTGAAAAGAATGAGGAGCCACTCACATTATCAGATATCATCCCTCCTTTGACTGTGGCCAAATCCCTCTCCGCGACTTCGTTAGCTGGTGACGACTCCGCTGTTCTCAAATCCATATTTGCAAAGGCTGTTGAAATTCCCTCACCTCCATCTCGTGTCCGCCTCGATTCGGACTCTAGCTCGAAACGCATTGAACGTTCAGCTGCTCGTCCTTCAAATGTTCCAGGGCATCACAGACACTCTTCAGAACTGAGCTTTGTGGGCTTTGACTCGTTTGCGGAGGTGAGAAGGGGATTCGAGTTCCATGACAATCGTCCGAATTTCTACCCTCCGCCGGGAGCCACTTCGCGTAACCAGCACAACAAGCGCGAGTCCATGTTCAGCATTGCGTCTGTCTCGTCATATGGACAAGTCATCAATCATGGGTCCACGGATCCTTTCGACTATGGGGCGTTACCACTCCCAAGCCTTCGGGAGCGTCCTTCCTCGGACGAGTTCTCTTTCACAATGTCTTCTCTTGATGATACGTTCTCCTTCATCCGTAAGCAACCTCGCAGAAGACGTGTTGATAGCGATACCTCTAGCTTCTACTTCCGTGCCTCAGTGCACTCGCAGCTGCATCCATATAATCGTATTGCTGCTCATCGTCGCCACTCGTCTTCAGCCTCCGTCTCTTCGCTGGGTCCACCAATCAGCTTGTACAACCGCAACAGCTATGGACACAACCGCAACAGCTACGGATACCGCCGCCGCAATGATTCGAACGCTAGCATGAACAGCGTTTCACAGCCATACACTCATGGCGGGCGTGCCTCGTGGGCTAGGCATCGCCCCGACTTTTCTGTCGACTCCATGCTCAGCGACTTCTCAGGGATTAATCTAGGGAGGCCAGGGCTGGGAGACAAGATGCTTGACTCTGCTTTGGATCGTGGTATGCCACTTACCGCCATTTCCGCATCGCCGCCTGAAAGCCCTGTCGGGAGCATCGGAAGCGAGCAGTTCCGGAGTGGTCAATACGTCAATCGCATGTCCTATGATTCGATCATGAGCATGGACCATGAGCCTCAGCCTATGGAAGACTCGCTCTTTGAGAAGACTGGTCACAGGACATCCGTTTCTTCGTCTGATTCTGCATTCTTTGCTGTGGACTCATCGCATGCGCCGCCTCAATTTAAACGGTTATCAAGCTACAGCATTGCTAGTGTTCACAGTCCGCAGAAGGAAGATGACACCATGATCAGCGTAAGTTATTGGGATCATACTTTTGAATTGGTTGTTTATGCTTTCTTCTCACAGATGCTCGGTGGTGGCCATGTTAGACGCCGTTCCGTAGGATCCATGATCGAAGCCTCGCCTTGTCGACAAGTTGAAAAAAGGAAACACATAGCATCTGACGTTCCCCAGCCAAATACCCGTTATAAGGTTAATGACTACGAATCTCCCAAGGGCCGAGTTCTTGAAACAAAGCCATCGATTGCTTCGACTGCATATTCAGTGAAGTTCGGTGATGAGCGCATGATCAGAGCAAAGCACGGTCTTTTGGAGAGGCAGAGTTTGGAGAACACAGTGTTGATCGCAGAGGGGGAGGAGGATCTGTCAAAATCCTGTGAGTTGGGTCGTTTGTAATGGGTGTCTTGTCTTGCTCACTGAAGTTTTAGTCCGCATCCCTGTCTTTACCCGCCCTCCTTGTGCAGGCCGCTCTCGCTCCAGCACTTGTACGTCTATGAGTTCTGGTGCTGACACCCCTCCACTTTCAATGTCGGATGGGTATTCCTCATTCTCGGATGGCTCGCAGTCCAGCATTGATCTCTCACATGTCAACTACATGCTCTCTAACCGTCACTCACCCTCTGTCGAACGCTACCTTGGACCGAGTCCGACCACGCGCTCGTGGTCACGGTCACCAACGACGCATCTCTCAGGCCCGTGCATCGCGCACGTCCATTTACGAGACCATTGAGGAGGAACTCACAACATCACTTGCCCCGACTTCGTCCCTTCAGCCACCTCCAAGTTCTTCTACGCAGAATGCTCAACTTCCTAATTCAACGACAAATACAATTAATCGTGCTCCCGTGTTTGTTCCTGAGCCGGAGACTGCGTCGGTCGATTCGGTGTCGCTGTGGGATGACGAGAGGGGAATTATGGCGCTACGCAAGTACTATGCGCTTCGCGACGAAGTTGAAGATACAGTGACAGAGAGCCAGCGTGTCTGGCTTGACACGCCATTTTCCGTCTTCGCAGTTCAATGTGAGTATTTGTTACATGTTTACTGTACTGTGCTGAATGCCGCTATCAGCATTTGATCCTCCTAGTCATCCTTCCGGCATGCAAGCACTCTTGGAACATTCAATGCAGAACTACGGACCTTTGCCTTCGGAATTGCGTCCTAGACGCATGCGTTCTCGCGTCAACTCTCGACCCTCGCCCTATCCCAGGACTTTCAAGACCTCTTTCACGTCTTCTCCTGCCACCGAGCAAGTGAGGGCAGCCATTGTTGCAGCTGTCGCAGAACACGCTCCCAATGACAATATGCGCACCCAAGGTCAACCTAAGGCGTTGCAACAGATTTCCGTCAACCCCAACATCATGTCACCTGCAGTCGACAACACCAAGGCAGGCGAACTCATGAAAGACGCAGCAATGTCGCCTGGTAAGCTGGAGCGCGTATTTGGCCTCCCACCTCGTCCCCGCGTGGGCTCGGTCGCGCGAAGAGCTGCCTTGGGTTGGGTGAAGAGGAGCACTGGCCGCAATGGTTTGGAGAATAAGGAGAATGCTAGCGTTGGTAACATCTCTCTGGGAGCTGTTCCTGGTAATATGTCGCACGGCTTGGGCATGACGTGAGTGTAACATCGCAGCTATGCATATACATTCTGCTGACCCGTTTCTATAGGCCGTCAGAAACATTAAGACTCAACCGACCCCGTCCTAGGGGAAGGCCCACTCCTGCTTCGGCGAGGCCCATCCGTATTTGAACAGGACAGGAAAAACCTGTCCCCCTACGTTAACTCTTTTCCACTATGCTATGACTGTTCTATGCCATATCCTTTCTTGCTTTTCTCATACAATCAAGCTCATGGAAAACGTTGTCTTGCGTATATTTTATCTCCCACAATTGCCGGTTCCCCGTGATAGTGTCCTGTGCAGTACGTAGCAAACGATGAATGATGTACATTTTTTGGGATTTCGGTGCTATTGCTCGTATAATTGTGGAGCCCATCTACAGTTGATCTATGATAGGGTCATATCAGCCATGTGTCTTCAAAAATTATACAACAAGACACTTCACTCTATGATCGGTTTCGGCTACGAATTACTTCAAGTTGATGGTGCCAGCAATTGAAGAAGAACCATCTCTGGCTTTGTCAAACCACAGACATCGCGATTTTCTAGCATGCGCTTGAAGGGGCCTAGATGCTACTAGTCTACTACCCCGGTCGTACCACCTATGCATTAACTGAAGTGTATTTGTGGCTGGTGGATCGGTGGAAATTTTCCTTCTCTCGTAGTACCTTCAGATAAGGGTTCTTTAGTAGTAAGACTCTAAATGCGTGTATGGTATGATCATGCTGTGGCCTTTGAAAAGGGGACACTGCAAGGCTTCTTCTATTCACGGAACTCCCCTGTTGTATGTAAAAATCGTAGAAGGAAAAACAAGCACAACATCTAAATTATAAGAGACATTGCTGACTAGAGTTCTGATGAAGTTTTCAAAGCGTCAGTAAATACGAGGGAGGATGGGATTGACATACAATCGGATATGAGCTCGACAGCTGCGGCGTTTGCCTCTGAGTCCGAAGTAAAATATCTTGCACAGACACAAGCACCTGCAGATATGTCTGGGTTGGGTTGGTCGCTAATGCCAGTAAGTCGCAAAACTGACATTGCTAGATATGACTCACTGAGTGACGAAATAAAGGCCTGATATTCACTATTTGATCAGGATGACATGAACAAATCTTTAATGACTACGCACAGAGGACATGGCTCCGAGGAACTCTCCGCCCCTTATGATGACGCCCCCGCTACCCTGGAAGTCACTGCAACTCGCAAACAAGACCTAAAATCTGACCGTCAAACGGACTTTGAGTCGAGCACATTTCACCTACCACATGAGCTTGCGGATACTTTGTAAGAGCTCGATAGTTCTGCCGTTTTAGGTGACTGCCGGCTTGATACTAAGTAAATGATCAGTGAGTCGCGAATGCATTAACTTGTATCTTTGGACTGACGATGTGCGGTAAGTCTGTGCGCGAAATAGATCAAACAAGACACACAACATGATAATATGACCGCTTCATACCAAGGACGGTTCCAGAATAACATGACTAGTGTTCATGATATCATCTGTCCAACGTGAAGATTGGCAACTAAAACTTACGTCAAACAATGCCTGTTGATACAAATTTGAAGTTGGTTGACGCATGAAGCTGCTCACAGACTTACAGTAAGGCGACAGCCAGTAGGCAAGGGTTTGACCTATGCCAAAGTTAATGTCAACATTACAGTTCGCGTTATCGATACTTGCCATCACATCGTAAAGGTCCTGAATAAGAATTTACATCGCATCTAATCAACGTAAACAGGTATACAAACGCACCTCGGTCATAATTTCACCAGCCCACTCCCAGTCAACTGGATGAATAGCTTGTTTGCAGATCAGCATTTCTTAGAATTGAACCTATCGTGACAATCACCCTTTTCAAATCCATCTACACGGTGACCATCTACACGGCGACCATTCAAGTCGATGATTCGTCCTCCATGTCCAGAGTCTGGATACATCATCAATCGTTTAGTAGAATTCCGAATACGTGACTCACAATGGAAGAATAAGCAATCTCCAGGTTGGGCGTCTTCCACCAACCATCTTAATGCGCTGAGGATATTCCGTCTCGTCGGCATGTATTTCATATTGTATGGTTCATCTGTGAGCACCATGATGTCCTCTTTCGCATAATTCCAGAAGGCTGTCACATGGTTGCGTTGCTTGATACTGAGTAAACAAGAGAGGATGAAAATGGACGGACATTTTAGAAATTCTGCCATGTTCCAAGCATCATTCACACAGCCACGAAGCTCTCTATCCTGGTTTTTGTAGTTTATGCCAATCTATACGAAGATAAGCTATGCAAGTACAAACTTGAAAGGACTCACGCATAATGCCTTCTTCTTCCTTCCACGTGGAAACGACACTTTGGTTGTCTGCGGAATCTGTATTTGATTACTCAGGTCACAGTTGCACCTTGTGACGACAGGTCGTCGTGCAGCACTATGCGATGAGTGGATGTGATGTTTTGATGGCTCTGTAGTCTCTCTTGCCTGCTGCTGAAGAGAGTGAGTCGATTGAGTCCGTAAGCGGTGAATCCGCGAGGTCACAGGGCCATGTTGTGCTGGCCAAGCATCTGGCGTCGTCCTCCCGTTGTACATGGAACCATAGGAATGCACCGATGGAGGAAGGGCCGCATGTGCACTGGAGGGCGTCGGTGGAGGATGTTGGCGTACTAGCGATCGGCGCTTTTTGATAGCCGCCGGTCTGGTAACCCATGTGAAGGACTTGATCACGTGAAGTGGAATGAGCTTACTTCGGAGATGGCGATCGCCTCACGGGAACGACATGAGTGGGTGAAGAGTATGGACTCCTTGATCTTCTGAAATGAATCCATACTGAGTAGATACACCATGCATTGACAGTCACATTACCCTTTGCTTCGGTGACTGTTTAAGATGGTGTAAGGACATAGTAACGATTGGCAGGATGTAAACGTACGAGGTCTGTTTGGAAGGAGAGACGAACATACGTGCTTAAGCGCTTATCGATGAGAGTAGCCTGTCACTATTATCTACGCTTCAGCGTGCGTGGGCAAATAGCTAGTGAAGAATCGACGCATGCATTTTATGAGAACAAAGATTATCAAGCTCCCGCTCTCATAGCGCTTAATAATTTTGTGAATTTGACTGCATGACAGCGTCACCAGATGACATATACCAGTCTCGGCAGGCTTCGTTTGACAGGTACATCGCGAGAAACGACGGATAGGAGGCAAGCGAAGTGCTGACTTGCAGAACGGTACGGAGATTAACAGGGGCTTGCGATCACCTGTTGCCAGACAATAATCACTCTCGCGACCGAAAAGGCGCGATAAGATTCAGAAGTAGCGTGACATGTGCCAATCTGGCCAATCATCGCTGTGCAATTGTTAGATGAAGGACATGTGAACCGAATCGAGGCTTCGGGCCCAACTCCGAGGTTCTTTAACTGATCGATATGAGCATTGTCCTCAGCATTTGGACCCAATCAATTCGTACTTACGAGTGGCTCATAATGGAGCGGTGTCAACAAGATAAATCATGTTAACATATAAGGAGTGATTACAACCCGATCCGACTTCCAAGCGTTCAGATATAGAAAGGCAACGTTATATCCTGTGCAACATCAGTGACTATAGCCTGGATAAGAATACGTTTACAAACGAGAGGATTTGAGCAAGAAAATTGAGGGTGTTGTCTGGCGTCCGGTAAGGTTGCACGAACAAACGCGCGTATCTGTTCGAATCTGTTTTGGAAAGTGAGAGCCCGCGTGCAAGCTGAGTCAAATTTCAGATATTAGTCAGTTGGGCTACCAATAAGAATTCGGCACGAACAGAAAACATGTATGAAAGCCTGCATGGGAAGATTAGAAGGAACAGATGTCATAGTAGCTTTACTCACAAAGGTCATAAGTCCACCAATAGGTTGACCAGGCATTGCGATACTTTCGCTCTCTTCGGAATCCTCACAACCCGAGAAACAAACCTGTTCGATGTTAACCGAAAAACACATCAACTCACAGAGACTTGTGCTCACAACTTGTGCCTGTGAAGACTTCTTGATGCGAGCATCTGGTGTAATGCCATCGACGAACTTGCACTGTCTGGAGTCATACTATTGTGGCGATCAGACAAAATCACAGAGGAAACTGCTTCTCTCACAAGGTAAGGCAGATCTAACTATCATTCAGCATTTGTCAGCGATCGAGTTGATTTGGGGCTCACCAAGCACCGTGCCGGAATGACACGACTGGGGTCATTCAACATGTGGAGTTATGGTTTCAAGGAACATACTTGCATCAAAAAGGGCCTGTAAAACCAAGTTATTTAGTGATTTTGGGTCATCGATCGCTCTCCGTACCGTCAACCGTGAGCCAGCTGCCAGTGGCTTAACCTGCGAGTGTTCTATCAGTGACTATTTGAAATATCATGTGAAATACGGGGTGTTCTTTAGATCACGGTACTGACCATAATTTCATGTATTACCTGAATAACTAATCAGTCTTATCCTTTGATCAAGAGAGTAAAACACCTGACATCATCGCTAATCATACCCGACTGTTGATAGTCGACTGGACATATGACTTTACGAACGTTAACAACAATCTTTCTGATCAGGCATAAGTCCTACATTCATCATATCCATCAACTTCGTCGCCATCCAGGTCGCGTATTTGACCTCCATGCCCCGCAACTGTATAAGTTACCGTGTGATTCACAAGATCAACAACGCCACCAAAGGCAGTACGCACAATAAAAGAACATGGAGTCACCGGCCCTTGCATAAGATGCCATGCGGCGCATTTCAAGTAAAATATTGGCCCTAGTTGGCGGGGGGTTATAACCATCATCAATTAATTGTACAATGTTTGTGGGATCGTATCCCCATTGATCTGAAAAGGAGTCCAGAGTCGTCATTGAATTACCAACAGCTGCACGTACTAATAAGGCATGGTAAGATATTATGGATGTCGTTATTGCACCCTCTCAGTTCACAGTGTTGACCTTTGTAATTAATTCCAATCTCATACACAGTTTTAGAAATATCATTGGTTTTCAACACACTATATAACACTTACCAACAGTGCCCGCTTTTTTCTGGGAGATGGACTGGGTTGCGTGTACATCGGGATATAAAAGGAAGCTTCCGACATGCGCTGGTTCAGACACGGTGCTCCAGAAGAACGAGGACACCTCGACAACTGGTGGCCCTTGAGTGTGATTTCTTCTTGTTGGATCTTCGACAACTCCCATGAAGCATACGTCCATCTACGTCTACATGTGATTGCGTGGTCGCAGTGAACTTGACGAGGGTCATGCGTAGCAGGGAAAGAATTAAGATCGGCTTTGGTGATCTGGGGTAACATGGCGAAATTCAAATGAATCAAAAAAGTAACTGGATGATATAGGAACAATGACGGCCTTCGCTGCGAGCTTTATAACTTGAGGGAAGCGATCTATTTTGCTCTCACGTCAAAATTGTTAGAGACGAGGCGTCATGCTCGTGCGAGTTGGCTGATGACAATGTGGGGAAGAGCTTATCGTTGCAAACAAGACAAAGTACAAGGTGCACGACTGGAATGATTGTCGCCATCAGATTTCCAGGGTCGGTGGTCACCATAGATAAGGACTTGAAACGGACGTTTGTCGAGCACACTAAAACCATTGACAATAGTGGCATAACAACAGTACTGATCCTGTGAACCTTTGAGTTGGGAAAACTCATCACAAGAGACGTAGTACGTACTAGCAACACAGAAGATTGTATAGAGCTGCAGAATAACACTAGTGTTTGTATACACAACGTTGTTACCGTTTTGATCAGACCCTTGATCAACGTCAAATATGATATTCGTGTATATTACATAATGCGTGAATTCAATGGGTAAAGTACTATAAATAATTGTGGTACCCTGCCTGGGTTATCTATCTGTGCACGAAGGAAATAAGTATCGTGTAAGTCGTAAATGGACAGTCCCACATCGTCTCATGATTCGTTGCCCTGAAATCATAAAATCTCATGACCAAGTCCACTGCAACCTACCACCATGGATGACAGTCTCCACCGTCCCACCAATAAACCTTGTCTGCATCGCCCACGACAAGCACACTTCTGGCCATCCATGCACCATCATACACCTTTTCGACCCACCACCGGAGTACGGGGTGGCGCATGAGCCACTTGAAGTAGAAATAAAACCTAACATGATATATCAGCCAACATCCCGATAACGTGGCATGCGACAAACCTCCAGTCGTAAGCGTTGATCACCCTTGGGTTGACATATATGTGCTGCAGATTGAACTGTCGCCTCATATCATACGGGAGCAAGAAACTTTCTGACGAAAAGCATTCCTCTGGTGCAGACGCGCGGAACCGTATTGGGGGTGTCAGAGCAGGACTCGGACCCTGCATCGAAGCATTGTGTGCTGCTGGATGGGTCGCTGGCAATTCGTATGGCAGAGGGTCGTCGGACAGCGTGCGGTTAGAACGCAAGGATATTGGGAGAAGAGGATCTGCAGTGAAGACAACGATACCGTTCCAGCAGGTGAACACGGGTACAGGAGACTCGGCGTGCATTGCTTTATAATCAGCTTCGTCGAAGAAATAAGGCCAACTAGAAGCAGAACAAGCTGATTCAATTAGACGTGGTGAAAATATAATTTGCAACTCACATTGCACTGGCTAGCTTTGCCTGTCGATCTCGAAGAACCCACATATCATATGCACTTTACCACGGTTAGAATTATGGACGTGCCGTGGTAACTAGACGTTGCCTACCCAAAATGACCCATGTCTAAGCCACATGCCATGTCATAATCCCCATTGTTCGTTTCTAACAACTCGACGAAGCTCTCGGGCTCGATAAATATGTCATTCGAGAACACAACCCTATCATACCCTCCTACTATCAGGGGCTCCATTGCGCGATTACGCGTGGCCGCTAGAAATTCAATACGTTTGTTTCCGCTCAAATCGATAGGCTTTGGTACTGCTTTATCTCCTGTGAGTATGCGCCGTGACACTCCCAAAAGCGCAAGGTCTGCATCTAGTGCTTCAAGGAGCTGAGGGGAACTATCGGAACTGTGACTCTCCACGATAGAGACGAACACATTATCCGGACCGAGATAGTGAATGACTTTGATGAGGGTATCGTGCCAGTACGGAATAACATATTCGTTATTGTGAAACATTGCGGCAATGAAAATTTTCTCTAAAACGGGATGACTTGAAGCTGAGTTCGACTTATGAATTTAAAGGAGCTTACCTTGCTTTCCGTAGCCTTGTTTTCGAGGGTGTGCGACGGCCTCCTGAATGGCGTCCCTGTACCGTACATCGCCAGGTTGTTCGTAATGGACTCCGATCCATGTGCTTAAACAAAACAGGACGAGATACGCGAAAACTTTTATCCGCCACAGTTTGAGATGGGATACCAGACGGGGAGTAGGAGAGGTTGGTCTAGAGAATGAGCGCACGCTAGCACCTTCTTCCGCATTTTCCATGAGCGCATTTTGTTCCTCGGCGTTAAACAGTTCACGTCCGCCGATAGAGTGGTCTCGATAGAACATGACATACCCTTCCTGGGAAGGGTCAGCGATCCCAAAAGCCTTACTCCATCGCTCGATTAGCAGGGGAAGTAGGAATCGATAAGCCAAGAGACGGAGTATTTGGACGAAGGCAAAAATGGGTACTACGAAGATGAGAAGGAGTATGGACCTCCAGCTTGAAGGAAAAGCAGGTTGCCATGTATAGCTTTCTGCGAAAAACTTGACGGAAAACCGCTGCTCAGTTATGACATAGAGGGTGATGAAAATGGAGAGCGAGACAAGACCGGGAATGCGGACAACTGCGAGAAGGATGCGGCAGATAGCATGGAGAACAGCCTTCGGCGTTATGAGCATGCGTAGTTCTGTTATGCAGGGGAAATGAAGCCGGCGCTCAGTAAACGGAGAGAAAGTCGGAAGGGAGGGGGAAATGGGTGACTAAAGTGTGGTTCATCATATAATCTTGCTGAGAGATATAACCGAAAGAAGGAAGACCTATTCGATAAATTTATCAGCCGCAGCAGTTATCGTGTGTCACGGTCATTGGATCAAATTTAAGACTCATCTCTGCATGCACACAGGTTGGTACAGCGTCGTCGTGTAGTACATCATAAATAAAACACCGGTCGCATTCACAAAATATTATACCACGGTACACTACTATCATGGGGGCCCCCAGCTGAGCTTTACGTAACAACCTCCAGGGTAGAAACGGGCTAGCTGCTCTTATTTCATGAGAATCAAGTCCGAGTTCGATATCAGGGTCGAGAAGTGTAGGTACATACTCTATTTCCGCACTCGCCGGTCTGGGAAATCATCAAACAGTTTAGGGCCGGAGTGAGCGGGAACAGTGATCTGCAGACAACTATAAAATATCTGAATTTTCCTGCTACCATCTGCTTACTCTGGTGCGCACTCAGTTAGCCTTTCTGAGGAAGCGTCAGTCTCGATGTTTCATCTTATAACACGTGACTCATTGATCATCAGATCGTTGAACGAAAATGCTTTGTATCTTCTTCAAACAAGGACTCGGACATCAGTCCTTGCATTATTCGGCGGCGCTGTTCAGTGACTGGTACTAGCGCTGTCTGGGTGACTCATCGTGTGAGTAGTGCGCGGCCCCGCCTCCGAGGCAGTTACATCATACTTGGACGACTTCCAAAAACAGATTGCCTTGGCGAGTCTAGGAAGGAACATGACAGCGGCAGCTGCCCTAATAGTCCAGTCAAATAGTAAAGCCGCTATTCTCACCGAGATGCTCTTTTTTCAGCCCTTTCCCTGTCAAACCTCCCTCTCCAGGTCTTCTTGGGTTTCCTCCTCACTGTAAGTCCCTCAAGCATCCAGTAAGACTATATAAGCCTTGTCCTAGAATGTGCTCACCGTGATCTCTGCTATGCCAGGCTGTCCTGCATTTCTGTTCTTCCCGCGTTTCAAGTCGTATACCCAAGTCAACACAATGATGTGGGATCTGCGCGGCAACGACGCCGCCCAAGATTATCAGCGACGTTCTCCGAACCCTAGATTTCCAATGCCATCGTGAGTTATCGTACGCTTGCTCTCCATTGATCTCAATAGATGAAGGTGACCTTATAGCCCTGGAATTCCGCCAGTGAGGTACGCAACGATCTGGATGATACAACAAGTCGTCACTGATCAAGAATGACTATTACAGAGAGCTGCGTCGATCTCATGACCCGTTCCCCAAGCCATTTGAACCGCTCGGTCTGCCCAACGTTCCGCGATCAGCGTCACCAAAGTGATTTTTCCTTCGTTTTTCCGTAATGAACGTGTTGACGAGTTTACGATTTATTCCCCACAGTCCCCGGTAAGCTTCAAATCAAATTACATGTTCACATGGTATTTATTCAAATTGCCGCTTCATTACTTCATCGATCTCTTACAGCATGTATTCACATGAGAATCTCCCTTCGCTTATTCACGAGGGCTTTCCTTCTCGCGCGCGCGCACCTCCCCCACCAATCCCCCATGCAACGCGACCACCCCTGTCTCCCTATATGCCTCTACCACCACCACCTCACCCTTTGATGTCTCGTCCTCCTCTACCCATGCCTATTCCGCAATCTGTTTCAAAGTCATCCCATATCCAACCGTCATCCAGAAATTATCACACCGATGCTCGCACTCACACCCACACTCGTACCGAAGATCACAGACACAAACATCACCAACACTCTCATTCGACTTCTGCCACACCTCAGAAGACTATTCGTCGCACCACCTCGCAGCAGCTCCGTTTTGCACCGCCCACACAGCCTTCATCCCATTCACTTCAGCACGCAAGCAGCACGCAACATTTGCACCGCTCACGTTCTTCGCAACATCTACGTCCGCCGACGCCAGGTCCTTCAGGTAATGATCATCGATCGCGCGCGAACTCGGCAAGTAGCGCGCATAAGCCTATCGTTCATCCCCAGCACCAGGTGCAGCCACATGTTCACCAACAGGTCGTGCACCATAAAGGTCATGTTCATTTCCAATATTCAAAATGCACAGGGCGGAAGAAAGCGCTTTGTGTGAGTGAAGATACGATACTCATTGAAAATCCGAGTCGAGTCCTTTCATAGATCGGAATTAACTACAAAGGGCAACGACGCGAGCTTAAGGGCTGTGTCAACGATGCGCACGACGTGAAGCGGTTTTTAACATGTATGTTGTTTGTTGACCGCTTTAACGTCGATATTCATACATTGTCCTAGCCAATTGGGGCTACAAAAATGGCGATATTGTAATGTTGGTCGATGACACAGATAATCCGAGGCAAATGCCAACAAGGCGAAACATTCTGGATGCGATGCGTTGGCTTGTGAACGACGCCCATCCTCATGATGCGCTGTTTTTCCACTGTACGTTATCTTTTCGAATCATGGATATAATTAATTTCTGAATATCCTCATTGTCGTCTAGACTCGGGTCACGGGGGACAGGTTCCAGATAAGGATGGTGATGAAGTTGATGGACTCGATGAAGGTAAGAGATATATCCCTTTCTTTTTTAGAACGTCGTTAGATTTCGTCATGCAGTCATATACCCTGTCGACTACAAGAAGGCTGGAATGATTGTTGATGACGTGAGGTTTTTTGATTTTCAAGCTATTTATGCTCATGACTCCAATGCAGGAAATGCACAGAATTATGGTATACTTGTCGCACGTTAGGGCAAACGCACTGATCTGAAACATTCCACAGGTTAAATCGTTGCCAATGGGCTGTCGTTTGACTGTAAGTGATAAAACTAATCCTTCCTCATTCGGAACTCAGAGCCCATCCATCTAGGCTATCTTTGACGTAAGGCCGTTTCGCAATATGCCGGCATTAGACAAATCTCATAGATTCCCCGTAGTCTTGTCACTCAGGAACGGCACTAGGTAAGTACGTCATTTCGTCATGATAGAAGCTGGCTGAAAGACCACTAGATTTGCCATTCGTTGTGAGCACGATAGTGCATGTTTCAGTCAGTATTTGGACTGATCATCTTACAGTATCATTCGAATGGGCGCCTCAAGGAAAGCCCAGTTACTCCTCAGGCTCAAGCGGAGAAGGCCACAGGTGCCGACGTGGTAAGTGACGTCCTGCCGTCATGTGCTGTGTGCTTCTGCCGCTTGTTCCTATCTAGATATCATTCGCTGGCTGTCGCGATAATCAAACCAGTGCTGATACAACGCAGAGTGGCATGGCTGTTGGGGCTATGAGCTACGTGAGCGATATCTCATTCAAATCTCCCCACCTCTTTGCAGCTGACATATATGGACAGGCTTTTGTTGCATCCCTAAGTTGGTCGGGAGCTCTTTGTCGTGTTGCGTGAGACTGACTTAGTGCACAGCAAGGAAGCCAGTGCAAAGTTACCAGGAACTTCTCAAGTCTGTTAGGGACATTTTGAGGCAGCATTATCGGCAGAAACCGCAACTGTCGAGCTCGCATCCAATTGTAAGCGCTTGTAGTTTATAGTGCGGTGGATTCAGATTAACTCCGCTTTTCAGGATACTAATCTACGCTTCATCATCTAGCGTGAGCGGGTTTATGATTTATCAGAGCATCATTGATATGCTGCGGTGTTCGTTACTTTTATATTATATCAACTAACTTAGTGTTCTACGTATCAGACAATTTATGTATCAGTCCTGGTCTCTAGTCGACGAGACATGTATATTTAGTGTTTTTGGTCTTAGAGAGGAGACCCGACTCAGCCGACTCGGACTAATGATATTGTCGACAGCTACCCGCTGACTAATGTATGACTCAGATCCCTTTCTCAGTCAACAATTCAACCACGCATGAGTTAGGATCGGTGCTTTAACAGTCCATGAAAACATAGCCCCATGCTCAGACAATCTTTCGACGTCTTCTGTCCAGGCCGTGGTGCACTGGATTTGCATACTTGGTGAGCTAATGAAAGAAAATAACAGACAGAGTACGATGGTCCCCACTAAGGGCATATTACTGGATGTAGCTTCGTTACACAGCCAAACAGTGGCCATATAACCCACCCGAGATGACCGCAGCCCGGAGCGCACCCATCGCAGGCTCGCTGGCAAAAGGTTTTGCATGTCGTTGCAAGCGCCGCAAGGGATTCACGAGTCGAAGGTATCTTGCGAGATGAAAAATGAACGACATGCAGATGCGCGGTTATGTGCTAGAGGATCTCGCAAACGAGTACTACATAGTAGAGCTCAATATTCGATCGCGACTCCCGCGCACAGCTAGCTCTTAAGTCGCATCAAACAGATACAAACAACCTCGGGCCTTCTGATTTCAAAGTTCAAATATTAGTCGTACTTGATCTTCGAGTCAGCCTTCGAGATCACCGCGACCAGGCTTAGGAGAAGAATTTGTGTTGAAGTAAATGATGTCATGATCAATCTTCAGCAAAAGTCATCAGGTAACCCACCGGAGACCCGAACCACCATGCTGATTTTATTTTTACATCAACGATTCGGTATACAAGGAGGAGAATGCCACGCTTTTTACCTGTATGCATACTCTATAGAGGCAGCAACAGGCAACACATGTCCAACCAAATACTGATCACTAGCGGCTCGTCGAACTCAAGAGACCTCAAAAAAGTCCAAAGAACTTGCGTAAAACGCATGAAGACGCAACGGACGACCCGTCATGAAGAATTCCCTGATCCGACACCGCCGGCGAAATGGCAGGCACGAGGATGATCAGAAGACGACGAAGCTGCAGCCATGGCAAGTCAAACACGATGATCAACAGCTGAGTGGTGTATTTCTCCATTATATGATGGCGAGCGAAGAGAATGTTCAAATTTGCCAGACAGGAAACTCAAGTGGAGTGACGACGAAAACCTATATTTTTAAAAATTCGGACCGATCGTTAACCCGGTGAGATATGACTTAGTTTGCCAGTGTACGTCATACCAGTCCCTTCTTCTAGGGTCATTGAATAGATTTTGGTTAGCAATATCTGCTGGCATCTGGCTAGATTAATCGCAGATATGCCTCTGTGTAGGCACTACCATATAGGCAGGAATATTCAGCATATGAAAGCCAGCCGTCTTCCTACTATTTCCTTCAGAGTTGTCTGATCTTGCCATCACACTAGTCACAGACAATGCGTCTCTTCTCTGCAATTGTCCTCGTTGTCGTCGCTGCTTTAGCATCATCAATCTCTGCCACTCCCTTTGACGAAGAAAGTTGTCCCTGGGGCTCTTGCGAGACTACTGCAGATTGCATCTGCCCTTGGCTTCGTTGCGCAAGTATCACTAGTTTTCCTGTATTTAATCGTATGATTCACCTGCATGACAGCACAGGCAATCATGCCAAAAGTAAGGATATGATATCCTCTCGCGCTAGCCACGACTTCAGAATAAGACGCAACATCAGCGGGATGTATTGCGCTTCAGAGTGCTACGAAGCACTCCGTAGCAAATTATGTTTCCCTGATAAAGTCGTGCTCGTGATTCGTCGATGCGAAGATCTTTACTCTTCGCATCCGAGAGATACAAATACATCCTTCTACTAGCACTCTTTTTCCTTCGTACAGTTGTACTTGAAGTTCCATTTTTCTTATCATTCGAACCCCGAGCCACTCATTACCGACTTACGATGGTAAGAAGTGCTGTAACAATATTCTGTACGTGATCGTATTCCTCCTAACGTTTCATTGTAAAAGCCCATTGTCTTATCCCGAAGTCTCATTCCCAAACATCTGTCTTATTTTCGTCTCGTCCTATTATTGCTCTCGAACTTGCATTTTGCACCAAGTTCTTATATATATTATGCAGTTGCGACTAGACTTACAGAAGTGAGTGCCACTTAGAGTGGTTTGACACCATGCCAAATTATGCCATGTCATAACAATTTCACGTGCAGTTACTGCCATCGTGATGGAGCAGGATTCAGTTTTTGCATCAGATTTTACTGGATTAATTCAGAAACAATATCGATGATTGGATAAAACGTTAGTACAGCATCGAAACATCAACGAAGAATAGGGTCGGGTAAAGCGGTCAACGCGTGTCTTGCTGACCCTGACGCAAGGTCATCAGCCCTGGTATCTTTTACCGACATGTCATCAGTGTATCAACATGCGTATTACACGTTCCCTGGATGCAACTCGTATTCAATCAATTCAACAACGCCTCCCGGACATACACCCGCGCCTCATAGCCCCTTAAAGTGACTTTCTCCTCCAGTCCGATTGCCTCCTTCTCGTAGTTGCCCAAGACAAATGCGTACCTTGCTACTCCTCCGATGACCTCCCCCAGGTCAACCTCAACCTTCCCTTCCTTGAAATTAAGCAGGACTAGCGCAGACGTAGACCCATAGTTCCGCGTGTACGCGAACACCTGTTCATCTGTTTCGAGAAGCATCACGAAGTCGCCGTAGATCTGGGCATGGCCATGCGTTAGCGTCGGAGGAATGGAAGGGGTAGATGCGGAGATACAGATAGAAAAGAAAGTTGAAGGTCAAAACGAACTGTATGCAGGAGAATATATTTCGAACGACTTACGAGAACATCGTGCGCTTTCCGCACCTTCAGCGCGCGCTTCCAGAATGCGTGCACGCTGGTGTCATCGCCAATCTGTTGTTCAGCGTTCCATTCTGGGTAATCGTCGTTTACGCGCATCCACGGTGTCCCTGTCGTGAAGCCTCCATGTGCACCCGCATTCCACTGTAACATTAAAACGAGATCATGGAAGGAAAGAATAAGTTTGTTCTTACCTGCATCGGTGTCCTTGCGTGATCGCGTGCCTTTTGCGCGAAACTGTCGAGGAGATCAGACATATCAACATCCTTCTTCCCTTGCGCTTTCTGTCTCTTCTCTTTAATCCTATTCTATTGTCAGCACTTATGCCCATGACATGAACAAAAAAAATGCAATGCACAAATTCCAATAATTCTGAGCCGCCACGTCGTTGTATTCCTCAATCCCCCATGTCCGCGGGAAGTTCTTGAGGCCAAGTTCCTGCCCCTGGTACACAAATAGTGTCCCCGTCTGCGTGATCTCAAAGACAGCGAGCATCTTGGCGGAGACGGTGCGCCACTGCGCCGAGTCATTCCCAAAGCGCGACACCGACCGCGCGTGGTCATGGTTCTCAATGTAAACCCTTTGATCGCGCCAAACAATATAAAGTCCATCAGTATTCCTTCGGCCTGATATCAGGCAGAACTCACGCATTCCAGAACCCATCATCGCGCATGAAGCGCTGCCAGCGACTGACGATTGCCTTGAGCTCACCGAGCGTCCAAGGTTTCCTGAGGAGCTGCGATTCGGGGGGCGAGTCGATATCCATGAGCTCGAAGTGGAAGACCATGTTGAGCTCGCGGTTCTGCGGAAGGACGTACGCAGCGAGCTCGGATTCCTCGTGTGTGAAGGGCGTTTCTCCGACCGTGATGAGGTCATGATCTGTGGGAGTTTTGCTGGTTAATCAGAGAAGACGAGGAAAATGAAGTGGCCCACGGGAGAGGACCTCGGCATGCATCTGTTTGATGTATCTGTGGACCTGGGGACTGGGAAAGTCAGGCAATCAAGTAGAGATGAATTAGTTTATGAGCTCACCCGTTCGCAAAGTACATGCTAGCTGGCTGGTAATATTGTGTGTGGTCTACAAGGGGCGCATCGGGGAGACCATCCGTCTTCGAGATGCAATTGATCGCGTCCATCTATGGTAATGTTGGTTGTTTTGTGAAAAAAAAAGTACGGAGAGATGTACGTACGCGGAATCCGTCACATCCTCTGCGCACCCAGAATCGCATGACATCCCAGATGGCGGAACGCACAACAGGGTTGTCCCAGTTCAAGTCAGGCTGCTTAGATATGAACAGGTGGAGATAGTACTCCCCAGTTGCGGAGTCGCGTTCCCAAGCGGAGCCTGTCGCACAGTTAGAAGTACGAAACGACAATGAGATAGTCGGTGGGTCGACGCAAAGAGAAATATGAGATGACCACTATCACCATGTAGGATAGTCAAGAAAGATAGGTTCACATACCACTGAACAAGCTCTCCCAGTTGTTTGGCGGAAGTTCTTCCCCGTCGACAATTTTACCAGGACGCCAGATGTACCAATCACGCTTTGGGTCGTTTTTACTTGATTTTGAAGCAGCGAACCAGGCGTGCTGAGGATATGTATGTAATCAGTGCAGGGAAATAATCGTAATTGATTGGTAGAAACAGGAACCTAAGCTAGAAAGATAGAAGATTGAGAGGGCTTACCTCGTCGGATGTATGATTCACTACCAGATCCATCCTGTCAAAAAAACCCTGGGTTGACACTGGAAAATAGTTCAGGGTTCGAATAATACACACATGAGCTTCATGCCCCGTGCATGCACGCCTTCAAGAAGGCGGTCCCAGTCCTCAAGGGTACCATAGCGCGCATCAATGTCCTCATAATCCGAGCTGTGGTGGTTGAAGTATCAAGTACCGGAACTAAACAGTAACGATTAGCGCTCACATATCATAGCCCATATCAGCCAATGGGCTACGGTAGATCGGGCTAAGCCATATAACATCCACACCAAGATCCTTGAGATAATCAAGTTTGGCGATAATGCCTGCGAGATCACCAGTCCCATCACCGTTTGCGTCAAGGAATGATGCCGGATAAATCTGGTAGACGGATGCAGATTTCCACCAGGGAGTCACATGTGGTGGTGTGGACATTGTGGCCAAGGATTAAAGTGAAAATGCGATGGACTGGAGCAGAATACGGGATGCATGATGGTGTGAGATATAGGAAGCCTGACCTGAACACCAAGGCATGCCATCGTCCGATCGTCTCCGCGTCCATACCAGTATTATCTGGATTCGGAAAGAACTTCGCATTGTTGGCTCCCAGTCACGGTTACTGTGCGCTTCGTTTGCACCTGCAAGCTCGCTCGCTCGTTTCTCACGCGTTCATTCTTTTCGCTCACCATCCACTCATCAAAACACGTCAATCTCATAGTACACAGCCAATTTTCCGTAAATATTTTCGCATTTGCAAGTACCAGCTCAATTCCTCGTAATATACAATGGTCAGTCATTCAGCCCGCCTGTCGAGTTTCCCGCCCACCCATCTCGCTAGCGTCCGAGACTCCGAGCCGAGCTAACGCAGCCACTTGCACTGCGTTAGATGGAGCTGGAGTGCAGTTCAATAGTGGCTGAGAACTACTTACAACAGTACATCATCCAAGTTCCAGTGAGAATGATTATCATAATAATTAGTCCGAGTCATTCCAGTGATCAGGAGGGCTCTTCCTCCGTTTTTTCCTCGTTGCTGCCATCCTCTAAATCGGCAATTCGCATACTCTACGGGGGGTCGGGGGTCCTACGTAAGTATGCATAACTGTTCTACAATGCCTTGCTATTAATTATTCATTATGACAGTATAGCCTCACACAATAAGATTGATCACACACACACTCAACATTACATGCGTGTGCTCGTAGCATGTCAGATAAATAGTCCTTCAGATCGGATGCCTGACTTACTATGCATGGGCGTTGGTGGCATAATTGCCATGAGGTATGTCAGGAAAATTCTCCACATCGTGCCGCAAGGTAGGGGCAGCGAGAGGCAACGTACGTCCAACCGAATACTGATCACTAGCAGCTCGTCGAACTTGAGACACCTCAAAAAATCCAAAGAACTTGCGTAAAACGCACGAAGACGCAACGGATGACCCGTCATGAGGAAGCTCCTGGTCCGACACCGCCAGCGAAATGGGAGGCACGAGCACAGACGAAGATAATCAGAAGACGATGAAGCTGCAGCCATGACAAGTCAAACACGATGGTCAACAGCTGAGTGATGTATTTTTCGATTATATGATGGCGAGCGAAGAGAACGTTCAAATTTGCCAGACAGGAAACTCAAGTGGAGCGACGGCGACGACCTATTTTTTAAAATTTCGGACGATCGTTGACTGATGAGAACGATATAACGTTCGCCAGTGTACGTTATACCAGTCCCTTCTTCTAGGGTCATTGAATAGATTTTGGTTAGCAATATCTGCTGGCATCTGGCTAGATTAATCGCAGATATGCCTCTGTGTAGGCACTACCATATAGGCAGGAATATTCAGCATATAAAAGCCAGCCGTCTTCCTACTATTTCCTTCAGAGTTGTCTGATCTTGCCATCACACTAGTCACAGACAATGCGTCTCTTCTCCGCAACCGTCGTCGTCGCTGCTTTAGCATCATCAATCTCTGCCACCCCCATTGACGAAGAAAGTTGTCCCTGGGGCTCTTGCGAGACTAATGCAGATTGCATCTGCCCTTGGCTTCATTGCGCAAGTATCACTAGTTTCCCTGTATTTAATCATATGATTCACCTGCATGACAGTACAGTAATTTAGAGTGCGGAAAGTAAGGATATGATATCCTCTCGCGCTAGCCACGACTTCAGAATAAGACGCAAGTCGTCCTCATAATTCATCGATGCGAAGATCTTTACTCTTCGCATCCGAGAGACACAAATACATCCTTCTACTAGCACTCTTTTTCCTTTGTACAGTTGTACTTGAAGTTCCATTTCTCTTATCATTCGAACCCCGAGCCACTCGTTACCGACTTACGATAGTAAACAGTGCTGTGACAGTGGGTCTGTACGTGATCGTATTCCTCCTAACGTTTCATTGTAAAAGTCTATTGTCTTATCCCGAAGTCTCATTCCCAAACAACTGTCTTATTTTCGTCTCGTTCTATTATTGCCCTCGAACTTGCATTTAACACCAAGTTCTTATATATTATGCAGTTGCGACTAGACTTACAGAAGTGAGTGCACTTACAGTAGTTTAACACCATGCCAAATTCTGCCATGAACAATGTTCACGCGCAGTTATTGCCATCGTGATGAGAGAGTGGGATTCACTTTTCGCATCAGATTCTACTGGATTAATTCAGAAACAATATTGATGATTGGTTGATACAACGTTCGTACAGCATCGAAACATCAACGAAGAACAGGGTCGGGTAAAGCGGTCAACGCGTGTCTTGCTGACCTGACGCAAGCTTTGGTATCTTTTACCGACATGTCATCAGCGTATCAACATGTGTATTACACGTTCCCTGAATGCAACTCGTATTCAATCAATTCAACAACGCCTCCCGGACATACACCCGCGCCTCATAGCCCCTTAAAGTGACTTTCTCCTCCAGTCCGATTGCCTCCTTCTCGTAGTTGCCCAAGACAAATGCGTACCTTGCTACTCCTCCGATGACCTCCCCCAGGTCAACCTCAACCTTCCCTTCCTTGAAATTAAGCAGCACTAGCGCAGATGTAGACCCATAGTTCCGCGTGTACGCGAACACCTGTTCATCTGTTTCGAGAAGCATCACGAAGTCGCCGTAGATCTTGGCATGGCCATGCGTTAGCATCGGAGGAATGGAAGGGGTAGATGCGGAGATACAGATAGAAAAGAAAGTTGAAGGTCAAAACGAACTGTATGCAGGAGAATATATTTCGAACGACTTACGAGAACATCGTGCGCTTTCCGCACCTTCAGCGCGCGCTTCCAGAATGCGTGCACGCTGGTGTCATCGCCAATCTGTTGTTCAGCGTTCCATTCTTGGTAATCGTCGTTTACGCGCATCCACGGTGTCCCTGTCGTGAAGCCTCCATGTGCACCCGCGTTCCACTGTAACATTAAAACGAGATCATGGAAGGAAAGAATAAGTTTGTTCTTACCTGCATCGGTGTCCTTGCGTGATCGCGTGCCTTTTGCGCGAAACTGTCGAGGAGATCAGACATATCAACATCCTCCTTTCCTTGTAATTTCCGTCTTTGATCCTTAACCCTATTCTATCATTAGTACTTATCCTACCACATAACAAAGAATGAAATGCAACGCACAAATTCCAATAATTTTGACTCGCCACGTCATTATATTCCTCAATCCCCCATGTCCGTGGGAAGTTCTTGAGGCCAAGTTCCTGCCCCTGGTACACATATAGTGTCCCCGTCTGCGTGATCTCAAAGACAGCGAGCATCTTGGCGGAGACGGTGCGCCACTGCGCCGAGTCGTTCCCAAAGCGCGATACCGACCGCGCGTGGTCATGGTTCTCAATGAAAACCCTTTAATCGTGCCAAACAATATAGACATCATTATTCCATCTTTCAGCATTATATCAGGCAGAACTCACGAATTCCAGAACCCATCATCACGCATGAAGCGCTGCCAGCGACTGACGATTGCCTTGAGCTCACTGAGCGTCCAAGGTTTCCTGAGGAGCGGCGATTCGGGGGGCGAGTCAATATCCATGAGCTCAAAATGGAAGACCATATTGAGCTCGCGGTTCTGCGGAAGGACGTACGCGGCAAGCTCGGATGCCTCGTGTGTGAAGGGCGTTTCGCCGACCGTGATGAGATCATTTTCTGTGGAAGTTCCACTGGTTAATCAGAGAAGACGAGAAAAGGAAGGGGCCCACGGGAGAGGACCTCGGCATGCATTTGTTTGATGTATTTGTGGACCTGCGGACTGGGAAAGTCAAGCAGTTTTCGAGTGTAGATGAATGAGTTTATGAGCTCACCCGTTCGCAAAGTACATGCTAGCTGGCTGGTAATATTGCGTGTGGTCTACAATGGGCGCATCGGGGAGACCTTCCGTCTTCGAGATGATGTTGATCACGTCCATCTAGTGTAATGCCTGTTGTTTTGTAAAAGAAATAAGGGGATAGATGTACGTACGCGGAACCCGTCACATCCTCTGCGCACCCAGAATCGCATGACCTCCCAAACGGCAGAACGCACGACAGGGTTGTCCCAATTCAAGTCCGGCTGCTTAGGTACGTACAGGTGGAGATAGTACTCCCCGGTTGTAGAGTCGCGTTCCCAGGCAGAGCCTATCGCACAATTAGAAATACGGGACGGCGGCTGTCACCGTGCAAGAAGGTCGAGGAAAACAGATCCACCCACCCTGGAACACGCTCTTCCAGTTGTTCGGCGGAAGTTCTTCCCCATCGATAACTTTACCAGGACGCCAGATGTACCAATCACGCTTTGGGTCGTCTTTGCTTGATTTTGAAGCAGTGAACCAGGTGTGCTGGCGATATGAACCATGTACGGAAGTCGTCATAAGTAATTCAGTAGAACCAACAACCATAAGGTAAGCCAGAAAGACAGAAGATCAAATGGGCTTACCTCGTCGGATGTATGATTCACCACCAGATCCATCCTGCCAAAAAAAGCCTGGGTTGATACCGGAAAAAAGGTTCAAGTTGGGATGATACACACATGAGCTTCATCCCCCGTGCAGTGCACGCCTTCAAGAAGGCGGTCCCAGTCCTCAAGGGTGCCATAGCGCGGATCGATGTCCTCATAATCTGAGCTGTGGTAGGTAAAGCATCACGTACCGGAACCGAAAAGTGAAATTCAGCGCTCACATATCATAACCCATATCAGCCAATGGGCTACGATAGATAGGACTAAGCCATATAACGTCCACACCAAGATCCTTGAGATAATCAAGTTTGGCGATGATACCTGCGAGATCGCCAGTCCCATCACCGTTCGCGTCAAGGAATGATGCTGGATATATCTGGTAGACGGTTGCGGATTTCCACCAGGGATGTGGTAGTGGGGACATCGTGGACAAGGATTAGGGTGAAAATGCGATGGGCTGGAGCAAGGTATAAGAAACATACGTAATATGAGATACGAGATATTATATATGAGCGTGACCATGCATCATATCTGCCAAGGTGGATATCGATTGGCTTCTGCAGTGGGCCCACCCGTGCATGAATATGTAAACACCACACATGGTGGCATTTCAAAATTGGCTTCTGATAATCACCGTGACTCCACCAGTGGACGCCTGTCTAAGAACGACTTCAGATGGCGAGCGGATACCGATTGGGGCAAGCGACAAAATGCATTGACACGTCAAATTAAATGTTGGAATTTGAGATTCAACTTGAAGGCATATGTTCAATTGGTAGACGTCGTCCTTGCAGTGGCTAGCAAGGAATATGAATTGCGGAGTTGGGATCGACCAGTCATAAGTACGTGCTACTTAGTACTTACTAGGCAGGCATGCGGTCATTTGACATGACCCTTGCCGTGACCAATTTGCCGAGAATCCTCTACGGATGATTGTATCGGCGGATGTGCTTCGACCTCGCCATCGTCACAAACCTCTTCAACGCCTGGAATTAAGCCCCTTGACGAACAAGCCAAGAAGTTCGGCTCTGGCAGTGGATGGTTTTTACACAAAGGGCGAGCATGGATATAGAGCCCTAGGCCTGAACATTTGAACATGCAATACAGAAGTAAAGATAACGCCGAGCACTATGTTCGCTCTACATTCAATTTACATGATAGTATAGGACATTTCTGAGGCCCCTGTCTGATCAGCTACAAGTATAGTGACCTACCTTAATGGCCAGACGAGAGATTGCCTTGAAGAATATTCTCCGGTATATGGTTCTTAAGCCATGTCCGGAATACCTCTTCATCGTCCATTGGAACGTATGGAAATGGGCCTATACTGCCGTAAACCAGCCCTAAGCATTGTCTTGCAACGTCGAAGTTCTTTTGGTGCGATGGCGTTGGATGCATGCTGAGCACACTTCCCAAAAAGGCCATTTTCTCTTTATAACATCCCTGGGCATCGACTGTCAACCATTCATCGAGTGGTCGGTTCTTCCTGAGAAGCTTGCCGTTTCCGTACCGAAGACAGACCCAGGCGAGGACCCAGATGAAGGATTCAGCATCATGACAGTACACGTGCTCTACTTTGCCTGCAATGGCATCTGGCACGAGAAGTTTCAACGACATGAAGGGCACCGTTCCTGTGCGCTCGAAACCTTTGGGAGCGTCTTCAACTGAGGACAAAAACCGTTTGATCGATGACAAGTCAAAATCATTGAGGACGCTTATAAATCGACCACGTAAGCGGTATCCCATGAGATTGCTGGGGCTGATGTCGCGGTGATGCACGCCCCTCTTCCAGAGACCGCGATGGCCTGTCAGAGTAGTGAGTAGATGGAAAAGAACGCAGAAAGGACAAGACACCTACACTTGACAAGCTCCCACCATGCGAGGAGGAACTCTTCCCCGCTCAGCGTCGTGATCGGCTCAAGCTCTCTGAATACGACTGATGTATAGGACGCGGCTGCCCGTATCATCGATTCCTAGCGCCTTTCTGATTATCGCCGTGGATGTTTCCTCAAACTTGTAGAACCAGACCATCTCTGGAACATGGCCCAAGACATCCGGATCTTCATTCGCGACCTTGTAGACCTCTTCGAGGATCTCTGGCTCGCTCTGGCGTGCTTCTTCTGGCCAAAAAAGCTTGGCAACCAATTTGGTGGATTGATTGCGAAATTGGGACCGCCGTGGCAGGGCCGATAGCGCCTTGCTCGTCACTGGAAAGACAGTGGTTGCACGTCCGCGTAGACCGAAGTGAGTCATGCGCTTGTCAGACTTCAAATCTAATGTAAGGTCGATCCGCTTCTTATTCTGATGCTGACAGTCCTTATTCCGGTTGTCCTTTTCCTTGTCTTCTTTTTCCTCGTTGTCCTCATACTCGACGATAATTTCGCCCGTGTGTCCAGGTTTAGGTTCAAATAACGGATGAAGGCCCCATTGCTTGTATCCCATGCGCTGCAATATGAAGAGCAAAACCACAAAGCGTGGAAGGTCCTGAACGAAGTTGATGCCAGCGCATTGAATCGTGTGCTGACGATCGAACCACCAGATATGGATGGCGTCGTCTGATATGAGCGATCAGTTTGACGACAGGACAAAATCATTATATGGACTCACTGTTAACTATAAAGGAGATAACGTGCTGACGCGCGATATGAGCCGCAAACATCTCTGCGACATACAAACCATTCTGAACCACAGGATGATGTTTCCTCGGCTTCTTCTTCTTCTCATCCTCCTCCTCATCCTCCTCCTCTTCGCCCTGGTCCTGCCCGGATTGCCCCTCTTCGTCCTGTTTGGATCGTTTGATGTTGGGCGGCTGATTGGAGCTTAAATGATCAGAGCCGCGTTTGTTGCTTCTGAGTCGCTCGGATATATTTTGTACTGCATCGCAAATGTCAAAGGAAGCAATGGAAATACAAATCGGACAGCTTACACTCGTTTGACTTCTTGTAGGAGGTCTGAGGACCAGCGGCAGGTGCTGGGTCTGCTGGCTTAGCAGATGCGTTCGTCTCCTTCGCATAATTCATATACAGGACATTAGGAACCACATAACCCTTCGTGTAAGTAGACGGCGGATGAGGCAGACGCTTCTTCTTGCGTTTGAACTCAAATGTCGTTCGAACCTGCGTCCATTGGAAGTTCTCATGGTCTTTGGTGGGCTTCTTGCACGCAGACTGGTAGACATTTTTAGGTTTTCCCTCCGGAATGATATCCGCAGCGCTCTGGTGAGAAACGACCACGACATCAGGCTTGCGGCTAGACTTCTTGCCCTGATGTTCTTGTTGTATGTATGATGGATCATTCACATGAAAGAGGATATTGGTTTCGTCGTCATCCTGAAAAGCTGGTATTCCAGGTACGTCGACCTTCCTTAGTCCACGAAGTGCACAATTGGCAGCCTGGACGAAATCAGGGTAAGACGGGATTTCGCTCTCAGCATCACAACTTGACGGTGGCGTCAGTGTTATTTCACACTCTTTGAAGTACTGGCTTACAATTTAATGAAGTGTCGCTTGATCTTCTGCGCTTCATCTGATTCATTGCAGAGGTGCAGGACAGCGTCGAGAGAGGAATCGAGCAGCGTAGACTTCTGACTGGGAGGAAGGGATTGGGAAGAATCTATGCACATTTCAAGGAGCTGCTGCAGCATTTTGTCTGCGCCACATTGCTCGTAGTTCCTGACGTCGCGCTCGATCCATGGACTGACATCACTGACACTGTGTGAATAACTAAGTTCAGTATCAACAATTGTGGTGGGAACAGAAGATCTGACGCACTCGACGCCCACAGTATCGATATGTTCGCTGACAACAGCGGAGCCAACTGCGTGTGGGGTGGACTTGAGGTCGACGGGCAAGCCAGAGTTGCGGGGAGGCGTGCTTGTTGCTGGTGCAGTGGCGTCAGCATTAGTCGCCATGATGAGTCCGTCCTAAGAAGATGGAAACTTGAAAAAAAGGTGAACTTTGGGAATAAGAGATCTGAGCTGAATTTTCAAGACAGCGCAGCACTATTGTTCAAGTTGGACATATCGAGTCAAGGACCACAGATCACAAATACTGATAGATAAACGAAGTTGATGTGGTTGAGGTTAAGTATCAGCTGAGCCGATTTCTCGACACGGTTCACAACGGATTACTCCGAGTCCATGAGTGATGCATCAGTCTTGAATTCACCTGCGAGCGCTTCAACTTCAAGCTCCCTTGTCAAATTTCACTACTCGCCACACATATTCCTGCTGTCTTTGGTTGAACATGCGAATGTTTGCACTTGCACCTGATGAGTTCATGCATTCAACTAAGGTCTAACATATTTTCTTAAAGGTCAGACGCGCTGGGGCAGCCTATTCTCGACTATTGCAAGACGAACGTGGAAAAGAGGAGATTTCAAACTTTTGGGCGACTTGTAAAAAAGTTTTGACTGAGCACGACGATGACACGGGTGGGCCAATAATGATATGGGTATTGTTCTGACTTTTATGAGTTTCCTGATACGTTTCTCAATGTATATCTCGCTGGGCTTGTCTGTTCTCAGCGGTCAACTCCACCTTCATCGTCGAAATGCAGCTTGATCCAGGAGACACCACCCATACCCTCGTCCTCAAACTAATCCAGATAATCGTTAACGGCCCAAATTCCGCACCTAACATCAACACTCTTTCCTCATCTACGGGATTTCTCTCTTCAATGGTCTGGATGCAATCACTCTCCTGCGCTAGCGTACTTCATGCAAGTTTTACAAAACCACCAAGAACCCTGTGAATAATAATGAAATCAAAATCCATCTGCATGACCAATCGGCGTACATGGTCCTGTCAGGATTCGCAGTAGGTCCAACGTCTAGATTCCAAGCTGTTGACCATGTTCACCACCAATGTCCCGAACTCATTGCTATACAAGAATGCTGCGCGTGATGCAAGTGCCTTCCAATACCCTGTAACACATGGAGGCTTAGATTGCGCTCATGAATCACTTACCAGGCAAAATGGAGATGGATTTTTCTTTGACCTTGTTAAACACGACGGAAATTTTCAGATAAGAATGAAGCAAGCATTGCTTGCTCGAATAAATTTGAAGCATTGATCAGGTGTATTCAAGTCCAGGATCCACTTGTTGAGCGATGGAAGTCATCGCCGATGCCTCGGTCGCAACATGCTCACAGCCATGCTCCTCGATTACTTGGATTAGACGAGCCAGCGTCTCTTCATGATTTTCTTTTTAGTTGATGCGGTCTGAGCTGAGCATTAATTTGACGCCGTCGTTTCGATTACATAAGCTAGGAACTAAACTGAATTCACCAATGAAGTGCTTGATCGCTACTCCCAGATGTCTTCCATAGGCCCACAAATTCCAGCACATCTCCTTCCAAATGTTGCGTCAGCCGAGGATTCTGACGAAGACGACGATTACACACCGACTCTGCCTCCCGACCTTGCTGCCTCCCGCGCAGCTGGGCCTTCGCTACCCTCAAAGAGCGAATCGAATACGCCGCCTCCAAAACGACACTACGTAGGACCCTCATTACCTCGCTCACAAGCTCCTTACGATGATGACTCGGATTCAGATGTCGGGCCTCAGCCACTTCCTGCAGCATATGCTTCGCAAATAGAAGGAAAGTCAGGCGTGGAAGAGTTCTTGGAGAGGGAGGAAAGGAGGAGGAAACTTCAGGAAGAGGCGAGCAAGCCGAAAAAGCTTCAGCGGGAAGAGTGGATGCTTGTACCTCCAAAAAGTGGTGACTTGTTAGCATGTGCGTTTTATTCAAGACGCGGTTCTCGAAATTGTGCACTTATCGAAATTGTATAGCACTTGACCCGACGAAGGCTAGGCCTCGCCAGTTTGCACGTAGCGCTGCACCATCGCGAGACAACTCCGGATCTTCCCTTTGGACTGAGACACCCGCCGAAAGACAGCAACGTCTTGCCGACGAAGTTGCTGGACGGAAACGACGTGCAGTAAATGCACCACCAGAGGAGGACTCGCATGACATAGCAAAGCGACGGCGACGGGATGAAGAGATTCGCAGAGGAGTTGAGGAGCACACAGTACGTGTTCTTTGATTGTGTGTCCATTTTAAATGGAACTTGACGTGTTGTTTTCCAGCGCAAGGCCCGCGGTTCAGCCCTTGTAGAGTCGCATATGGAGCGAGAAAAAGAGGAAGAGGTTCACAATAATAGTGAACCCTCAGTTATCTGGGATCATGAACGTGATATGTCTCTAGGTGGACGACTTATGGATGATAAACAGAGGCAGAAGATGCTTCGGGATGCCAAAGGACTCGGAGAGCGTTTCGGTAGTGGGCGCAGCGGAGGGTTTCTCTAAGTTCCTGACATTTCCAGCGACGCTGGAATCTACGTCGCGGACCGTTGCATCTCGTGAGTTCTACCATTCTTTTTATTCTTCTTGTATGACATGTCTTATGTCGATATCTATATACAGCGCTCACTCTTGCTAGAAAGACCTCTGTTGCGTCAACATCATCAGCCCGAGCATCTGGGCAGTGCATTGTTGGGTTCCAGGCGAAAGTTAGGGAAGCTGAATGCAGATGCATGATGCCATCATCATTCCGGCAGTTTATATTAGTTCTCCATCGCATGCTCTGTCCTGTGGTAGGAATATCTATGTAAGCATATTTATCTATTTTTCCCTTGACCGTCTTGTCTGTTTGTTTTAGTTCTGTGGTCTTTTGTTTGTAAAATTCATCCGAAACAGCGTATCGTCGCATTCCACTGCCTGTAATGAAATTTCCGAGGAAATCATTCAGGTCTAGGCGTGTTCGGCTTTCTCGTTGAATGTATGATATTCATATCGATTATATCTTGTTGATGTCCCATGGGCTGTGTGGCGTGCATGATTAGTCTTAGCTGGTAATTTCTGACGCCAAACTTGAATATCACCGTGGTGTTGTAGCCCGTGCGCACGTTGGATCAACGTGAATGAAGTGTCGATTCGATCCTGACATGTAGTGCGTACCAAAAATATTGACAGATGTGCTTTCACTGTATCAGATTGCGTTCCCATCTCAAACATGCTGCTAGCCAGTATGACGCAGCGGATCCCATAGGATCTCTAACTCGGTTACATTATTGGTCTCCGTTATGCCGCCATGCTGTTCGTGAGGTTTGGTAGAAGGTCGAAACTAGAATGAACGCAAGTATTCCTTCTGACTGACCAGTCAAAAGCGAATCCGGTGTCCAACAAAAAAAAGACAGTACAAATGAGGGTAAGACGAGCGATGCCACATCCATGTTCCATGCATCCGGGCCGCGGGAGGTGTCTGACGGTGTGACGCGTGAGAATTGGGAGTTGCTGGTGCTTCGGCCGATCCTGTGCGTCCTAGTCAATGCATCTGATCGCGGGGCCCCTTGCCTGATTGATCTGGAGGAACTACAACAATACTGGCAGTGACTCTAGCCAATGAATAGAGGAACTGGCTCGCACTGGAAGTGTCATGTGTAACTACTCTAAATCCTCGGATGGCATCTAAACGTCGAAGAAACACGGCCGATACGTCCACTGTTAAGTTGGCAGAAACACAAGAATAACCTCGTGGCTGCGCTCAGTGGAGGGCATCCGTATTTCGAAATGTAGACGGCCTATTGCAGGGAACGACAAATATAATCCAGTCGTAGCGTATGGTCCACTACATATAACTTGCAATTGAGTTACATGCTAATGAGCGACACGAGAGAGTACATCGGTAGCAGAAGTGAAAGTAATCAGCCACTCACAGTAAAACGACCAAGGGATGATATGCATGAGCGCCTGATTCTGGGGTACTGGGGATGTATTGATGGGAGCCCTAGATGAATCGAGTGTTCCGTAATTTGGCTATCTATGCCCATGACGTCGTCCGAATGGTAGCACAGCCTCCGTGTTGTCGCCGTGGACATAGGACATACGTTAATAGCACTTAAGGGTCCTCTGCGCCCAGCATGTAAATAATACGTACTGCAGTTGGACTATGCATCCCCCACATGTCATGAGATGAGGAGTTTTCGCACACCGGCATCCAAGACCATGGAGAATCGTGATCGCAGCGATAAAAGTATGGAAGACTTCTGGAGGAGGCGAGGCCATCGTACCCTTGCCGTGAGCCCAAGGCGATAGAGCGGCAAAAAGAGTCTAAATGGTCAACTGGAAATATCCTTGCCGATAACGAAGGAGCTGAAGACCGGGCAAAAGATCTACCAAGTCCTCGTGTCTTCGGAAACAATCAGTACTGTTGACTGGTCTAGCCAATCGATGAACTGGGATTGAAAACATGCGCCATTAAGCTCGCTGAATTTGGCTGTAGTAGTACTTGCTGTACCAATGTGTTCGACATCCGATGATCCAGGTGACAGTCAGAAAGGACCTGGGCAATCGGATCGGATGAAACCGGACGAAAATGAAAACGTGAAGGTGAAGGCTCTGCTCTGATACCAGGTTGGACCGTTCTCGAATGTTGCAACTGACACTATAAAACTCGAGTGGTAGACGGCGAGCCTGTATCAAACCACACGCGAGTTCATCTTATACGAATTCGTTATAATTACATTAATACGCTATCCTCTGAAGCAACGATGCCATCACACAACGTATCTCACAAGTTGTCTTCCACTCCACGAAAAAACAAAACACATACGCCGGCTTCTCCATACAAAAGCTCGGGTCCCTCCCGCCCACGCAAACTCCCACTAAGTTCACTACGCCTGCGCCCAATACCCAACTCCTACTGGGCGACCCCCCTCCTACTCGCATGCGAGTACCCCTGGTCTCCTTTTGAAACCTCGACCCAGAAACTTGACAAGCTTCTCGCCGCTGGCGTTCGCACCTTCATCGACCTCACTGAGCCTGAGGAACTCATACCCTACAAGCCCCACCTCCAGAGGCACGTTAGTGCCGCTGGCCTCGACGCGACTACTATCTCCTACCACCAGTTTCCTATCCCTGATCGTTCGCTACCTCACAAGCCAACATATTTTATGCGTCAAGTGCTAGACGTGCTCAGGGAAAATGCAGAGCAAGGGCGCGTATGTGCTGTACATTGCCGTGGTGGGATTGGGAGGACCGGTTTAGTCATTGGGTGCTGGCTCGTGGAGGCAGGAATCGCGAGGGACGGCGAAGAAGCACTGAGAATAATAGAACGGGAATGGCGGACCGTCGAGAAGTGCAAGCGCTTCCCACACTCGCCAGAGACTGGTCCTCAGTTCGAGTTTGTGAGGAACTTCACGAGTCCGGAGATGGTGTGTGTATAGCCGACCGTGACAGGGCGCGTGTTTTGCTTGCCTGCTGGTATGCCTCTTCTTCTTTCCTCCTCGCGCCTTGCTCATGGACGCGTTTTCAGCATACCTTTGTGCATCCTGATTCCTCCCACGCCCCTATAAAGTGACTCCCACCTCGCTGTAGCGACTATATCCCCATTGATATTTCCCTGGTCATGCCAGTAGCCCCTGGTTCTGCTGGCCTCATACTAGTACGTGCATGGGCACGTTTCTTCCCTCGTCACAATGCTGGTGATGACAGATAATGGACACTATGAAGCGCGCCAGTGTACTCTACCATATCACATTTACATACGTCCTTGAACATCAAGTAGAAGCTTGATGGCATACTATATGGATGTGTACTGTTATGAATGAATTGGTTTTGAAAGAAACACGTGTGGGTCCTAGGCGGATAAGAATGATACTTTAATGAAGAGGTCATCATTAGAAATTCGGTGTTTGCCGGAAACTTCAAGGGTTAACTGCGGCGGCTAAAATCTCGTGTTGCGGCGATACAGTGATACTTCGACATTTCATTTGAGGGTCCACGGATTTCCTTCGAGGTCTAAGCCATTAGGTGGCAGCCGGTGAGTGTCTACTTTTACGTTGAACTGATAAACAGTACGAGGGTCAGTAGAGATATATCATCACACCCTGCAGGAGGCCGCCGAAGGGCTTTGTCGAGTTTCTATTTCCCTATCGGCAGAGTAAACGGAGTAATATCTAAAGAGCCACTCACTCTTCACCCATGTTTGAAACTCACCGCCCACATGCTACGGCCACCTAATTTGCGCCTTTTTGATAGCACGCAGCCCGTTTGTACTGCTGCGCCTTCTCCTGGGTAGGATCCAGCGTTCAGGCGTCCTGTTTGAACCAGAGAGTGCTCGACCTCTCCCAGGTACCTACCATCCCACGTGGAGGGTTTTAGGGCACTTCTTACTCCATAGTAAATTTTCATGTTCAATTGGCCGTCTTTTCCGTGATGCTGACAATGTGGTATGCGTTAAACTAGGGCCTGACATTGTTTTCAGGCGTTTCCTACCTCCGCTTACAGACCTTTTTCTTGCCGTGAATATTTCCCTCGATCTCTCAAACGAAGGAGCTAGTGATGCGGAGGTTCGGTTCTGAACCGCGGTTCGAACTGGACCTTTCGTGGACTGGACCACGGTCCAGTTCAACATTCAGAGTATAGGCTGAACTGGACCGATGGACCAGTCCAGTGTTCAGCATTCCTTGAACGCATTGAACGTGTCCGAACCTTTTTGAACTGCTTCCATTTTAGGCTACTCACACATATGAGATGACATCACCCACACACGCAATACACTGAACATGACATGATTACTCGCGACTTTTTCAGCTTGGAATCTGATTCGTCGCTCGTTGATCATCTGAACACTGCATTGCGAATCCTCGTCAAGAACTCGCCACATATTTGACGGCTCCATTGGAAGATGTGGGAGATGTTGTCCGTTGGTGGGGGGTAAGTTATATCTATTGCATCGACTAGTAGTTATTTACTGATGCACCTACCAGCATCATTCTGTGGCGTACCTAACACTCTCCCGCATGGCAAGAGATTTTCTTGTGATTCAAGGTTCTGCCACTCCATCAGAACAGGCCTTTTCAAGCGGCAGCATCACAGATCAGAGTCGACGCAACCGGCTCACGCCCGATATCTTTGAGGCGCTCCAACTGTTGAAGAGTGCTTATCACAACAGGCATATCCCGGCTGCAGCTGAGGCTGCCGCTCGTATTGAGCCCCTCGCTCATGTAACTGAAAACGACCTTTCTGTTGTCCTTACTGATCTTTAGTCTTGCCTTGCATTAATTTCACTTGGCCTTGCTTCACAGTAGTGTACCAGTACTCCTTACTACTAGCTATAGTACAATCGAGTATATTTACAATGTGTTCGATGTTCGAACGCTGAACCGGACGTGAACCGGATGCCATGAACGCGTTCATGGCGTCCGGTTCAGCGTTCAGCAAAATGATTGAACCGGACGTGAGGTCCGGTTCAGCGTTCGCAAAATTTGTTGCTGAACCGGACCAAACCGGACTTCCGCAACACTAGAAGGAGCAACCTATTTGTAACATTCGGTCCTCGTCGTGCACTCCACGAACTGTCCGTAGTCAGCACCTGTCAATCACTCGTTTGGTGGTCTACCTATCATTCCTGATATCACGATCACTGTCGCATGATCTCGATATGCCAGCTAGCGTCAAGGAGCAGTACTGTACATTCACTCTCGGAACACGTAATTGACACAGTGCATCAGGAATATAAGAAACATGTCATGGTGCGGGTGAGTGTAGGTCTTTTTAGCTTGGTTCTTCTTCGATGGTGCAAGCAGGTAGTTCTACGTTGGTTAGTGCGATACTCAGCTATAAATACAAATTTCATCTGTTCACAAGTTCACTGCCAGTAATGCGCTGCCCGTCCTTGCACCTCATCTAACATTCGATGAAGTGAATCACTCCCGAGTTCCATACGCTACTCAACCTCGAACTCAGTGGACCAAAGCAACTGTATTGATTCGCTCCGAACTAAGTATTACACCGTCAACCATTATGCTAAAGCGAAAGCAGAAAAATGACTCACTGTCACGACGTGCCACTCGGGCTTCCGCCTCAACTTCCAACCGACTACTATTTGCAGACCAAACTTGTATACTAAGGCGTGCAGGTGAGTCATGTGGTTGAATCCTGGTTGAACGGCGACCTGCTCATACTCACGATACAATAGTAGCTGCAGCAATCGTCATTCACCGTGCAAGAATCACCCGAGTTCCCGCATGCACTGACAAACGTAGATGTCGTCAAAGCAATAACAACAGCGAGGAAGGATAAGCGCATTTTCTGTGCGAGGGAGTGTGGAATCTTCTGAGAGGGTCCTGTTCTGATCGATTTTGCAGCACTGTTATTGCTGTCAGATGACAAATTTCGGCAGAACATGCAGGCTGAGCGCATTTAACTGATTACGCCCATTGTACCACAAGCTGGCGGCAAGCATCAACTCTGCTTCGCGAATCGCAACTAGTACATAAAGCTCGCTGCCAATAACTCACTTACCGCTTGATCATTTGAACCTGCAGTGACCCTGCCGGCACAGCGACAAAGTTGAGAAGGTGATGTTCATTCTCGTTGATATTTCCGATATGTACTTGGTCGGTATCTCATGTCATTCCTCTCTCACTCACTGGTTTTTTCGACTCCATTTGTGTCTTATCAGAGTATTCTACTTTATGCAGGACAATTCTATCTAGTCTAGGGCCCCTTGCATCCGCTGCATCTCAGAGCCCGCGAATGCCCTGGTGTGAGGCGTACCCCCACCAGTCCGTCGTTCCCGCCGGCCATCACCTACTCATGGCCCCCTTATATGCAGTACCTGCAATTCGCCTGTGCGATTAGTAGGCTGGTGACCCTGCATTTGTTGCGGAGATAAGAAGATATCTTTCCGAAATCGATACTCATTCTCATTCTTGGCATGTGCTTGGTCGAAGATCCCTGTAGTTATGGTCACAGCCATCCCAGCTTCCTCGGCAGTTTCAGACAACCACGACGATATCAGGTTATTCCATGGCATATCCGGATGACCCTATATTTCCTCGGAGACAGGGAACAGCATCGATGAAATTGGTGACTATCAAACAGCGCCCTTTCAAGTTCCTCTTCCTCGTCAACCGTCTCTGTACCCCATCCAACACTCATTCGACGAAGAGAACCGGTCCTGAGCTTCCGCGCTACAGGTCATAGTGTCAAGATAATGCATTAAAAGTAAATGCATGAACGATTACTGATGCCCAGCCTCCCTTTTTGAGAAACCTTGGTAATTAACTAATACATCGCTAAAGCATTGGCGCTATTGTCATATTCAGCCCACCGTATACCTGAGTTTGGCTCCCTCCGGCCATTTACAGGTGGGTACCTTCCGTACCTTCCCTTCCCTTTTGGGCTGACCAAATGCAACCAAAAACTAGGCCAGCTCACTAATATTATTACTAACCTACCTGCATCATCAACAACAGACGTCTCAAGCTTAAGAATGGCATTCCTCAAGCGTCACCGAGTCCCAAGACGGCATTTCCCGAGCACCCAAATTTCACCGTCGGTCTTTTAGCTTGGTTCTTAACTTCTTCGATGGTGCAAGCAGGTAGTTTTACATTGGTTAGTGCGATACTCAGCTATAAATACAAATCTCATCTGTTCACAGGTTCACTGCCAGTAATGCGCTGCCCGTCCTTGCACCTCATCTAACACTCGATGAAGTGAACCACTCCTGAGTTCCATACGCTACTCAACCTCGAAGTCAGTGGACCAAAGGAACTGTATTGATTTGCTCCGAACTAAGTATTACACCATCAACCATTATGCCAAAGCGAAAGCAGCAAAATGACTCACTATCACGACGTGCCACTCGGGCTTCCGCCTCAATTTCCAACCGACTGCTATTTGCAGACCAAACTTGTATACTAAGGCGTGCAGGTGAGTCATGTGGTTGAATCCTGGTTGAACGGCGACCTGCTTATACTCACGATACAAACCCAGCTGCAGCAATCGTCACCCACTTTGCAAGAATCACCCGAGTTCCCACATGCACTGACAAACGTAGATGTCGTCAAAGCAATAACAACAGCGAGGAAGGATAAGCGCATTTTCTGTGTGAGGTAGTGTGGAATTCTCTGAGAGGGTTCTCGAATGATATCTCTGAGGATGGGGGGACACTGTAGGACGACAACCGGATTTTATATCCTCACAGCACGATTTTGCAGCGCTGTTATTGCTGTCGGATGAAAAATTTCGGCAGAACATGCAGGCTGAACGTATTCAACTGATTACGACCATTGTACCACAAGCTGCCGCCAAGCATCAACTCTTCTTCGCGAATCGCAACCACATAAAGCTCGTTCGAATCATCGTTCCTGATGCCAATAACTTACTCATCGCCCCTTCATTTGAAACTGCAGTGACCCTGTCGGCACAGCGACAAAGTTGAGCAGGTGATGTTCATTCTTGATGCTTCCGATATGATATCTTATGTCATTCCTCTCACTCACTCGTTTTTTTGACTACATTTGCATCCTAAGTATTTGAGTAAGATTTCGGCATAACCTGCAGGAGCGTGCGAAACAGGTTGATTAAGTGCATCCAGCCACGAAATGCATGTGGGTGGGTCTTGAGATTGGAGGTCGAGTGCTGTTTGAGTGAGTGCAAGAGGTAGAGGGAGGGGGAGACGTGCATTTAACCTCTGTCCCAGCCTCGACAACCTTGCTCCTCATACCACAAGTGACAAAGACATTTGGATTATTATGAGGGCTAAACACCTGTGAGCTCTGAACTGAGGCAACTCATCTCATACGCTCTTCATCAACTCTAGGAGCTGGTTAGTAGCGGCTACTAATAATTTTTGCAAGCGTCTTCGTCTGCAGGGAGTGACTCGTTTCCGATGTGGAGAGGCCTTGAGAGGGTTGATTTAACAAGGTTGATCTGGTTGTATTCATCTGGGTGCTGGGATGTTATGCTTCTGGATGTAGCCCACCTAATCGTGCAAGTTTTGTGTCTCATTCGTCTTCTGCACGTTCAATGAGGTCGAAGATGGGGTGTCACTAATTCTGGGTGCGCCATACTTGGAGCAGACCATCTGGACGGAAAGTGTGAGGGGCTCTATGGTTCTGGGATCCCGGGTATATGTATTAGAGCTTGGAACCCATTCTAGTGCGGATGGTGCAGACCGGTGTGCTTGATATGCTTGAGGGAGGAATTTGTACAGAGGTCATGCCTCAACGTTCAACCCCAGTAAAAACTGACTGTTATGGGAACGTGCGGCGTATGCTGAGATGTGATTTGGCTAGCGGTTGTTGAAAAGAACACTTCAGGTTATATTTATCAACTAAGATGAGAATTATATCATATTTGCAATATTACGGGGCAAAGTCTCTGATGCTCCCATATGATTTGAGCACATCAGGTTCATATCAGCGCATATACATGGACACTCTGGGTGCCATCGCAGAATATGCTCTAATAGTGTAGGATATTATTATATCGCACATCTGCAATTGCCTGGGATATAGTTGGTACACAGTAATGGACGTAGTGGGGATGCTACAGCTCGAAAAAACATTGCAAGTATGGTGAAGACGAGCAGATAATGCAGCGGACAGATCAAAAAGCGAATGAGCAGAATACGTGTTGAAAACTTGGGTTGAAAACAGCATCAGTAAAATATCACAGTTCTTAATTTAACTTAATCTGAACTTGTTCCGCTTGGCTTGACATCCAAGATTGTCAAGATGTTCAAGATCTTGATTTGACTTAGAGCACAACTTGAATGTCTTACTGTCAAGCCAACAAAGACACCAAGACAACTCAAAGACAACTTAAGCATTTTAAAGACCAAATGAATTCCAAGGTAAAGCTGTGTATCAAGATGCGAGCTCGAATGAATGGTGATCAATGAACTGATTTATGTAAAATCCTCGAAAAACATCAAGAAAATGGTGGAATTGAAGGCCCCGTGGAACAAACTGAGTACTGAATATCGGAAGCAAGTGAGCACCGCGAACAATACTATCAATATGGATTATTGACATGTTGGGAGAGCTGTCCTCGTCAAAAGATGGCACAACCATGTACATTCCTGTAACTTTGTCTCGTTCTTCAGTGATCCGATAGAACCACTGAACGAGTGCGCATGAATAGATGCAACTATTAGTGAAAGTGAAAGAAAAAAGAAAGAAAAAATTCAAATGACATCCATGCTTAGTATTCCATCCTGCCTGTTGTCTGTGTTGACGAAGGCACAGTCACAGCGGCCTGGTCCGTTGCGCCACAAAGGTACAACACAGATATGCTCACAGCGCATGCCAGTGATTCCACTTGGATCACTGGGTGCAATGAAAGTTGCAGCAGCTGAATTAAAGACCTTGATAGCTCCCATATAGTATGGACAATCGCGAAGCGGAACATCCGCAGAAGAATGGTGATCATCGGCGTGTATTTGATCATAAAGGAAGAGACGGATGACGGTTGGGAGTGATGGCACCTTGAGTTCGTCCGCAAGGCCACTGACAGTGTGCATGCATTTTCATTCTGAATATCGCATCAATGAGAAAACACCAATGAAAGGTTTGATACGCACGAAAAGTGTGCACTAACTGCACAACAGCAATGACATTGACATCATCTACAATACCCTGATCCTCAACATCGTCGAAGTCGTCACTCTCACTGGCAAAAGGGTTATTTTCTTCGTGCGCGTTGTTCTGTTGGACCTCGGAGTCCCCATTGCTGATAGCAGACTGATTTTCAACTGGAAAATTCAATGAGTGAACCGAATTGGAGTCAAACAGAACACTTACAAAATGAATTGAAGTAACTAAAGGCGCAAGAGCCTTTGAGCATACCATGCGCAGCAAAATCAACTCTTGATGCAGCAGTTTTATCCAGGCGCTGATTGGTTAAGAGCATTTGACGGAGCGCATTATACCTATTTGAACGGCGCCATGGTTCCTTTACTGCTTTGATGTGTTTGGATTCTGTAATTGACAAGCAGAGACTGTTTGGAGTGCTGAACATGCGGATGAGGAGCTCATAGTGGGTGAGAGAGTGTTGGCAGGGTAGGGAGATGTCAAAGCGGACACCGCTAGTCTCAAAGATGGTGCAATACCTATGAAAGCACCTAAGGGTGTCCCTCAGCTGCGCAAGAGTCTCATCTGTAACCACATTTGCGCATGCAATGTAGCAGAACTCCAACAAGGATCGAAAAGCTCAAACCATATTGTCAGGCACGTGGCCTTTGATTGCTGGTATGTAAACCTATATAAGTTGTGTAAGAGTAACAAAATCATTGTATGTAAGTGCGAAAACTTACCTTCATCAATGCCTTGGAGTCATTTCCGGTCCATTGAGAGAATCCACGCCCTTGCGAAAAGTGTCATAGACCAGGGAAGGACGGAGCAGCAGCAATTCTAATGTATTGTTAATTGTTGCAAATGATAACAAAAGATTGAACTTACCTTTGGTCAATGTCGTCTAAGATCGCCTTAGCCCCAGTTTTCCCATGTTCGAGTTCCAGGTACTGACACACCCATTCAATGAGGTGATCCTTGAATGTTCCTTTGATGAGTTGATGCAGAATATCGGGAGCAAGGAGCTCATGGATGTCAGTGCGAGGAAAGTCGTTTGTAAAGGGCTATGGAGTGTGATAGTCAATGTGATCACAGTATATAAGAACAATGTGAGGGTACATACCACTAACTCTCCAATGATACTGTACTTGTCCCAAAGGACACCAAAATCAACTGAGTCCATGAGCACATCAGTGTGTTCACGTGACCAAGAAACTCCTCCGTCATCGAGAGTTGAGGGAAATGCAAGGCATCTGTGAATGAAATTAGTGCGGAGGACTCTGCACGATAGCAATACTTACCTTCCACACCAATCTTTGACTATACAAGCTAATACGACCTGCTCTTCATAGTCGGTGATGTAGGGACCAAGTCCATATAAAATGCGCCGGTAGTGCCCATTGCCGCAACGTGTGACTTCAGGTGTCGTCATTCCAGGTTTGAGGGTGGTGAAGATCTTCGACAGTGAGGAGTGGAATAATTGCTTCTTGAATTTGCGGTATCTTGCATCATCTGCATTCTTTTTTTCAGCTACATACAATGATGACAATGTAAGCTTCACACTAGACTGAGAGAAACGGAAACATACTCTTTGGAATTGCCAAAAGCCCAATCAGGGCCAACACATTGTGATGAGAACACCGAACATTGTTGTGAATGTTTCCGATTGAGAGATACAGTGGGTAGTAGTCATTTTGGCCGGTAGCAATGGAAACAGTCATCTTGTTGCTACCAACAATGATGGGGACAAAGGCTGCGCCATGCATTTCCGGATCCTGCGCAATTTGGTCCTGTAAATGATATCAGTACGAGATAGTAATAGCCACAAAAAATACATACCACTTGCTGCCAGGACCAGTCTCCTGACATGAAATCCTTGTAACAACATTGCTCGCTCTTCTCCTCAAACTCCCAGTACGGCACATAATCAATTGAATTCTTGAAGTCCGGGTTTGCAAGCATGTTCTTGATGACAGTGTGGGGGTCCTGAAACCATACTTTGTGGGACTGTTCCATCCATAGTGGACACTGTCCAGCAGGTTTGTCGCCATTATACTGGAGAGAAAAGCTTTGCCAGGCAACGTCGCCTAGCGGTGTAGCGTCAATAGTCTTGTATAAGTCCCTGTGGTCGGCAAATGGTGGGTTGTCATTGTGAACAGTGAGAGTGACCCCCTACAAGTGAAGGATTTTGTCGATGTCACCAGTGGACATCTGGTTTTTAGTGTACAAAAATTTGGCACACTCGAACTTGAGTCAGTTGCAATATGGAGTCCAGTCGTTAGAGCTTTGTGCTGTGTAGGGAGGTGGAGGAGTGCCGGGATCAAGAAAATTGCTGTTCTCGTCACAAATATGACCTGTTGGCGCAGACTTTCATCAGATACAAGCTAGAATGGCAGCAGAACTAAGAACTTACCAGTCAGAAGGTCATGATAATTGCATATGAGCCCAGACTTTGATTCGTGTGGTGCTGTCGGAGTGTCTCCTTTGTCTTGAATTTCTTCAACCGAAGCATGGCGAGCGGATGACGACTGAGTAGAATGAGTGAATGAGTGGCTATGTGCCGAGCTTCAATGAACTTTCAGCCCAGACACAGACTTGAACCAGCGTATACAGCCTGGATAGGGACACTAAATGCGTTGAGCGCTGAACGCCCGCCATTTGAGTTGTGTGCGAGGGATTATGACCGGCATGTTGGGACAGATGGAGTGACAAACTGCAAAGTTCAAACCATTAGCAAACATACTAACTCTGAGTAGAATGTAGTGTAATACATACGAAACGGGGTGTGAAAATTGACTTAGGGTTTCAACATCCATTATGACCGCTCTCCCATTCACGCTAAATTTTCTCGTCTCTAAACCAGTCCTTTCACCCAATGGCACGCCCAAATACTTGCCCTAAGAATGCAACCCAGCATCCTGGTGAGATTCTCCTCCAAAACAAGCAAAAAAGACGCACCGCTCGTGAAGTAAAGGAAGACAAGGAACAAATGGAGCAGGAAAGGCAGGAGAACAAAGCTGCTGCACAGTGCAACACTGAGAGAATTGCCTCTATTGAAGATAAGATGACATTGAAGGAGCTGAAAACTCTTATGGATGCACCTAAACCTTGGCCCCATGCATGTCCTATACAAAAGAAGGCCAAACCAACCATTGAGGATGACGACGAGATTGCAGAAGGCCCTATTGAGAGCAAGGACAATGAAATCATGGATGTCACTACAGATGATGACAATGGCGATGAGGACCTGACAACGTGGTATTTAATTGAGAGGTAAAGGATCTTCAGAAGACTCACCCCAGACTTTAGCTGACCATTGTGTTGTCCAGTGATGAAGAAAGCATAGAAGTGTGGCCAAGGAAGAAGCATTTACAGAAGATGGCTTATCGGGAGGCTGTCCAGGATGTGCGAAGTGTTAATAATAAAGGTGGCATTAATCAGAACAAGTCATCACAAGATTCTGAAGAATCACATCAGATTCAGAAGGTGATCACACAATTGCGGCACGTTGTAGGTACAACAATTCTGCTGGGCTCTGCACAATAATGTTGGGTCTTGCTCTGCCTGCTACTGCTTGAGACAAGCATGTTCGACCCTAAAGGGTTTCTGGACTAGGTATGGACTCAGAGGAAATAAAAGGATGGCAAAAAGTATAGTAGTAATCTCTGACAACAGGTAGAGGGTAGGTAGTCTAGTAGCCAGTAAACAAGTATACTGGTCTAGAACATCATGGGTAGTATTCGGTAGAATTCTTGGTGAGGTTTGGAGTGCAAGTGTCAGAGTACTAGGTCAAGAGGAACATGCTTAGGTAAGCAGTAAAAATGCGAACCTAAGGTAAAGGAATGACTATCTGAAAGGTGTATCAAAATTGGCCCTTTTGAGCCCAGCGCGGCGACTATTGTTACAATGTGGTGACCCAAAAGGCAAGAAGGTGTAAGTTCTTATTGTTTCCCATCCACTTTTCTATTGCTCACTGAAACCACGCTTTCTCACCTTGATCTCCTCAATTGTTTCAGTATGGATGTCAGCATGATCAAGGACGACTTTTCGGGAATGGGAAAAACCAAGGACTGGGCTGAGAAACTTGCAGCAAGCAAGTTGCTCAGGCCTCCAAGCCTTCAAGCACATTCTCGAATGTCCTCAGCAACTACCTCAACAGCTGTTTCGGCAATCTCCAGGGTGACCACTACCAGTGCTCATCCTGTGCCTCCCCCTACTCCATCAACCAATGGGCAAGGCAATCTTCAAGAGCCTACCACAGCCTTTTTGGATAGCAATGATGGCTCACTTGAGCGTGAGGCGGCCTTCAAAGCTACCAAAAAACCTGGTGGCAGAAGCACAACTTCTGCAGTATGTACATTATAATTTTCTTACATTCACATTGCGCTCACTTCCCTTCAGGATATAGTGGAAGTCTGGGATAGTTCATTATCTCCACCTCCTTCCAGGCAGCCATCAAGAGCTACTGCTAGACTTGACACCACCCTCATTTCCAGTTTATCAATGGACATCAATTTTGGCGACAGCAGCCCCAGTGAGGACATAATCCCACCTTCTGCCCCTCCAGCAGCGAAAAATAACAAGCGCCTCACAACTTTGGTAAGTTTCAATGCTTAAAACTGTTCTGAGACGGCCACTTCTTTCACTGTTTAAAACTTTCTGAGACGGCCACTTCTTTCACTGTTTACACCGTTCTGAACCAGCCACTTCTTTCGCTATTTAAACCATTCTGAGCTGCCCACTTATTTTGCTGTTTAACACCATTCTGAGATGGCCACTTCTTTTGCTGTTCAACACCATTCTGAGCCGGCCACTTCTTTCACTGTTTAATGTGGTACTTATCCCTTTGCTTGACATAGACCAATATGACCATCAGTAGTCAAGCCCCCCCTTCAAAACAAGCAAAGACAGACTCTCACTCCAAGGGTGTCTTGTCATGCCGTGATGGGAGTGGCACCAATCACCGGTACCAGAATGACAATCTTCCCGAGGGATGCCAAGACAGTAATGCCTGGCATCGTGTGTTCATACCGAGTGTGGCACACTGGGCTGGTGGAGATGTTGAACCATGGGGTCCTGATGATAGTGATTTGAGGGAGACTATGCAAGAGATGTGGGACCATATATACCGGGGCTGGATTCAGTATGAGATCTCCCGATCTGGTGCTGTCATGAAAGTTGTAAGTCTGTTATTTGTGTCGCTTAGAAGTTCACTAACATCTGTAGGCAAAACAACGCCTCGTGGAATGGTGCAGATGGTTCGGTGTTGCAGCTTGCTCCATCCTCACTGCGTTTTTTGCACAGGGTGCTAATTTTTTAGATCCTGTCACTTACGTGGACTTCTTGAAAGCTATGCTCAAACAAAACCGATTCATTTTCAGGGATAATTCAGGTCTCATTCACAAGGTAAGTGATATCATTATTGTCATGAGACCATCCTGCTCATTTGTTCAAAGAATTGGATGGGCATGTGGAGATCTTCTTTCATACTTCAAACATTTGCGTCACATCTCAATTTCACCTTTGGCCGTGTCGAAATCCCCGCCCTGAATGCCAAGAAGTCTAGCACACGGGCCGTCTTTTCCCTCGCTGTCACAGCTGTAAGTCTCAATTTAGATTTCAACTATATTTTAAAATATCCTTCATAGGTTTACCGCACTCTTCAACTAGTCATTGATGGGAACATGACTTTTGAAATCATTCAAGAATCACGTGGCAAACGCAAAGGTGCGAAGACAGATGACGGTGATGTTTGGATGCCCGTCATTGCAAAGGGCAAGCAGTATTCTTTTAGTAAACCCATCTGGGGGGGCGTGACCCTCAAGTTTATGGGTCCCATTTCGGCACTTTCTGATGACGACTTTGCGACCATTGTGGAGGAAGCTCAACAGGATGCCAAGATTTCAAAAAATGTTGGGAAGTCGAGGACTACTACCAGTGTTACACCTGACGAGGACAACATATTTGCTGACCTTTTTGCTTTCCGCTAACGGTGAGTGATTTCGGCTGCTGCATGTAACTCATTGTTGATATGCACACAGATGATGTTTAAAGGGCAACTGTGACCTCACTTGCCTTCCTCCTATTCAAGGACCCTTGTTAAGTCTCCTGGATTGTTCAGTTCCTCAATGCTACTACTCGAGCTCATTCAACAATTGTTTTTTTTGCTATTTAGACATACAGTATCATTGATGCCCTTGCTTTTGTTCCGCATTCCACTAGCCCTGCTTTATGTCGCATTCACACCCATGCTCTCCATCATCATTCATGTGCACCACATTGCTCATCCATATCAGCCTTACTACTTTAATCATCCTTATTTGTTCATTGTTTTCTTACTGGCTTACTGGTTTTACTCTTATTCCACCTTAGTTGTCTTATGAACGTGGTTATTCTTGCTCCGCAAAGGTGTCATTTATAAGATGAGAGACTTGAACTAAGTGGAGTGTCTTAGAAAAAGACTAACTTATTTTGTCTTGGACAAGATTTTAAGCTTGTTAAGTTAATTTAAGAACCGTGATATTTTACTGATGCTATCAATGTCATCAAGTATGATATCAGCTTGTGCTTGACCATGTGTCTTCACAAGGTATTTTTCAACCTAGGCAACCAAGTGATCTTTGAGGGCTCTCTTTATGATTTGATGGAGGAGATCCAGTGCAATGAGTTCATGTGTTACAAGAACATCTAGACGCTTGGGCCCCTACCATTTTTCTCCTAATCCTCCTTGTATCAGCCCTTGCATCATACCCTCACCCCGACCTCACCCTGGTCATCCTTGTCATTCTCGCATTCCCCTTCGCTCTCTACCTGTCGCTTCAGCAGAGCCAGTACATCTGGCCGGATCCTTTCGCTGACGAAGCATAACCCATGCTCCGTTCCACCACCTGACTGATCCTGTGGACAGTCCCCTTGCCCTTACCGTCTGGACGGTAACCTATGATATGATGCACGACGCATCCCCTTTACCCTGTTTCCTTTCTTGATCTCTGACTCGATGCACAGTCGCACATGCGACTTATACTTAGCTCCGCAGCTGCACGATCGTGCCCCTGCGTGTTTCACTTCTTATCTCGATCTTTGACTCACTTTCTTATCTGCACGTTCAGAGCTCACCCGTGTCTCACCTCAAACGTGCCTTCCTTTTATGGTCATACCCTTTACCGTTTACTTCTCTTGGTAGTACGAGTTATCATCCACTAATACGCTTCCTGTCCTCTATATAAACTCGCTACCATGTAACATATTCCTTAACTTGAATCTACTTGGTTCTTGACCTCCTACTCTCACCAGAGTGATCCTTTCTGCCTCGCCAGCAGTCTATATTCTATCTTCTTATCTGCTCCTTGTGGATAAGCCTATAGTCTCGATCTTTACTCATCGACTTCGTCGACGAGTAAAACCTCTGTTGATTAGTCGGACTTCTGTCCTTCTAATTAACGAAGATCTTATGATTAACCTTTGGGTGTCGTAAGCCTAGGCCGATATAGCTTATCGTCTCGCAACCACTTGACATAAGCTACCCGATTTGGACATAGGCGTCAAATCTTACTTGCCGAAGCCTCGCCAAGTAAGACCCCTAACCTTGGGCTAGCCCAAGGACGTCCTTGACCGTTGACAACACACACTCTGTTTGAGCGTCGCCAACAGATACCATCCAAGTTGTAACATCATGTATGTTGGCTCGAGGATAATCATTTGTGAATGGCTATATGAATAGGTTCATTTTAAGTAAAATAAATGCACTGAGACTTACTACAAGTTGGGCGATAATCTCATACTCATCCCAAAGTATTGCATGGTCACACTCTTTGATTAGTGTGTCAGTATGAACTCTCAAGCACAGGAGGTTGTCATCATTGAGAGCTTTGCTATTTGAAGTACATCTACAGCGGAATTAGATTTGATACAATGAAGAAGCAACAAGTACCTACTTTGCACACCAAGATCGGACTATGCATGCAAGTAAAAATTGTTCCTTGTAGTCTGCAATATAGGGACCAAATCTGTTTACACGGCGATAATGGCCATTGCCAAAGTGCATGATCCCAGGTTTTGTAATCCCTGGCTTCAAGTTCTGAAGTATAAATGAAAGCGATGAATGAAAAAGTTGGCAATGGAATCTGCGAAAATTCGCAGTTTTAGCGTGTTGTTTAGTTGTTACAAAAATTATAAGGTCAATGAAGATACACAATTGAAAATGAATGTACTCTTTGGCATTGCTAGAAATCCAACTACTGCAAGTGCACCATGGTGAGCACGATGCATGTTATTCCAAACATTTCCTATGGACACATATAGTGAGTAATAGTCGTTTTACCCAGTGGCGACTGACACTGTGGTTTTGTCACTGCCAAGGATTATGGGAACGAATGTTGACCCATGAGTATCCGGATCCTCAGCAATTTGATCCTGCCAGTGCATAAATTTTAATTAAGCTATTGACGTCACCTAAAGGTGTGTTATCAATGGTTCTGTAGAGGTCACCATGGTCCGTGAATAGCACCTGTGATGAATCAGCGCCAGCCCGGATTAGTGATGCAGCCCATAGGTCAAGAAGGTGGTTGATTTGTGTTGTGGGTGTCTGGTTTTTGGTGAAAATATAGTCGGCAAGCTCAAATTCCAACCGATCATGGTAGAGACTCCAATCATCAGTGTTACAAGAACATCTAAGTGCTTGGGGCCCTACCATTTTTCTCCTTATCCTCCTCATCACCACCCTTGCATCACACCCTTACCCTGGCCTTGCTCTTGTTATCCTCATCATCCTCGCATTCCCCTTTGCTCTCTACCTGTCGCTCCAGCAGAGCCAGTACATTTGGCCTGACCCTTTATCTGATGAAGAACACCCATGCTCCATTCCACTCGATGACTGATCCTATGGACAGTCCCCTTTACCCTTACCATCTGGACGGTAACCTATGATACAATGCACACCACATCCCCTTTGCCCTGTTTCCTTTATTAATCTATGACTTGGTGCGCAGTCGCACATTGTACTTATACTTAGATCCACAGTTGCACGATCGTACCCCTGCTTGTTTCACTTCCTGTTCTGTTCTTTGACTCATTTCTTAGCTGCACATTCCGGTTTGCCTATGACTCAACTCGAACGTGCCTTCCTGTTCGCCTATGACTCACCTCAAACATGCCTTCCTTTTCTAGTATCGCCCTTTGACCAATTCCTCTTCCGGTAGTACGAGTTATCATCCACTAATACACTTCCTCTCCTCTATATAAACTCACTACCATGTATCTAGTTCTTTAACTTGAATTTACTTGGTTCTTGACCTCCTACTCTTAACAAGAGTGATTACTTCTGCCTAGCCAGCAGTCTATATTCTACTTTCTTATCTGCTCATCGCGGATAAGTCTTTAGTCTCGATCTTTACTTATTGACTTCATTGACGAGCAAAGCCCCATTACTAGTTGGACTTCTGTCCTTCTATTAATGCAGATCTTACAATTAACCTTCAGGTATCGTAAAGCCTTGGCAGATACACTTATTGTCGAGCTTCGCTTGACATAAGCTACCTGATTTGGACATAGGTGTTAAACCTTGCTTGCCGAAGCCTCACCAAGCAAGACTCCTAACTTTGGGCTAGCCCAGAGATGTCCTCGACCGTTGACGACACACGCTCTGTTTGAGCATTGTCAACAGATACTATCTAAGTCCGTAACAATCAGGGCTTTTCCCTGAAAGTGGCAAAGGCAGAGCTCCTGGCGGAAGAAAATTCCCTTCTGGATCACATGGACGACCTTTGAAGATCAAGTGTATTAGATAAAGAATGCAAAAAATAAGGGAAATGTACTGGTTAAACTAGAGTGGTAGTTTCTATATAAGCGGCCACCAGCACCAAAGAATTCTGTAGGTGTGGGTGATTGTACAGCACGAGGGATTTCAGAACGGTCCTCTTCACTGGCACCATCAAATTGTATGGAATCAACATCTCCATTGAAAATAGGCGAAGGAGATCGATTGTACTGAGGTGGATCATCTGAATGTGGCCGACTAGACTGTGATGGTTCCATGTGTAAGGGCATAGCACTAAAAAAAGGATGTACTGCATTTGTATGCTGTGTGTATTCAGATTTGTTCTTGAATGAGTGGTTGCAATCTGGTTTGGTGCAGGGAATGCGAAGGGCGCTGAAATCTCGTCTAGAGTGTGGCATTGCAAAGATAGTAGTAACTAGAAGATAGCAGCAAAAAATATTTTCAGTACACAAATGAGTAGCACACAACAACAAATATACATCAAGGAGAGTGAAAAGGGCTTAGATTGTGTTTGTCTGAGTTTAGACTCAGAAAAGCTCGTGAGGCACTTACCAAAGTGTTAAAATTTCTCATTGATTCCCGCTGTTGTGCTCCTCATATCCGACTATCTTGCTATTGCTGCTTTCCTGTCTGGTATGATTTCTACTCACCCTAAAAATGCAACTCAGCATCCTGGTGACATTGTGAAACAAGCTACAAAAAAACGACACACAAAGAAAGAGATTGCAGCGGACAACGAGTGGATCAAAGAAGCGCAGGAAGAACAACAGTTAGCCACCCAAAATGGCATTAATCGTGTTGCAGAAGTGGAGGCATCAATGGAGATGGAGCAGGCAGTAGTGATAGTAAAGGTGATATTTGTAAAGCTTTGTTTAAGGCTAGTTAAACAGAAGCTATGTATTGCTGAAGACGCCCCTTCAATGAACTGCAGCACGTTAGGAACTCAGACAAGTTTCCAGTCTAAAGGTGACCATACCTTGAAAAGCACCGCTGATAATATGGGCACAGATGGTGATTGTGAGCTCGAGATGAAGTCTGAGGCAAAGCTCAAGAGGAAGAAGAAAGAGAATCTTTTGTTATGTGATGCTGTCAGTGCTACAATGTTGAAGAAGCAGAACAAGAACTTGGATCGGCCTGATGATCTGATGGAGGTTGACAAGCCTAGGAGACCCATTGATGGCAAGGCACATGGCCTTGACAAGAAAGGAAAAAATATTGAGTCAGTAGCATTCTGTCTCACACCATCATGTTAACACTCACTGAGTCAACACTTTACTTTTTGGACTTGACCTCAAAATTCAGAAGTAAGAAATTCAGCCTGTCAGGACAGATCAACAATTGGCATGATAAAGTGGAACCTCACTCAAAGAGGAAATTCTCAAAGGCCGCCTCTGCCAGGAGTGGGAGGAGCATTCCTTGCTCAACGACAGATTTGAGACTTACCAGTGTAACATCAGCAACGACTTTCTCACAGGCAATGGAACCCCCATCTACACCATCCAAAACTTCAAAGTCTCTACTCAAAGTCACCTGCTCTGACGACAACAACAATGATGAGGACAAGGATGAGAGTGATTCTGAAGAGCATGCAGCCACTGTCGCAGAGAAGGGAAAAGGAAAGGCTGCAATGAAGGTAAGTGCGGTAATTCTGGGCGAAAAGTGTACTTACCATGTATTTCAGACTGTTATCGAAATTGATAGTGGTACCGATATTGAATTGCCCGAAGCTCCAATCGCAGGAAATGGAAAAAAAACAAAACTGCCACCAGTACAAAGGTAAGTCCAACTAGCTGTTTGTTATCATTAAGATCCATAGTTACCATATGTTTTAGTTGATTACTCCAAGTCTCCAGGACTCTGATGCCGATGATGCTGTTTTGAGCCTGCCACTAACTGGTACTCCCTTTGCCGACTTGCCCTATGACAGGCAATTAGAGATCGTTAGCTTTGCCTTAGAACAGGCACCACATACCAGCAAGAGGAAAATTGAGGAAGTTGCAGGTGAGTTGGGCCTTCAAGTCAAAGATGACTCGGTCGATTATTCGGTGGATGAAGATGATATGATGGAGTTTGAAGATGACACTACAGAGTTCAGAGACACTATGGAACTTGACAGTGAGTTCAAAAATGCTTCTCTCATTGCCAAGAAGGTGAAGGGAACTGTGGATCACACTACTACAGCAGTAAGTCACTCTTGTTCAACGACATCCATCCTAACAATGTGACAGACAAGTGCAACAGCCGTTAAGAAACCATTGGTCCTGCAGCCAGCCAAGAAGGCTAAATCGGAGCCAGCTAATACCCAAACTTTGACAACAACAAAGGTACTGCACCTGGCCAAAAAGGTCAAATCAGAGCCCACTTCCAAAACCTCGACAACACCAGCTGTTCCCACTGTGCCAGAGTCAATGCTTGCAGATATGGCAATCAAACCAGTGGCAGGCAATGACCAGTGGCAAAACACAGACCTCCCACCTATGCTAACAGAAAACGGGCTTTGGCATAGGCAATTTGTTCCGACGGTTCTCCTTTGGGCAGGTAGCCAGCTGAAGTTTTGGACGATTGAGGCTGCTGATTTGCTGTGTGCTGTGCAGGCCATATTCAACACAATGTATCCTGGAGTCAAGTACAATATTTAACCTAGAGGCCCTATCATGGACATGGTGAGTGTTATCTGCATCCATACTTTTATTCACAGTCTTGATCATAAATTCAAAGATCACTCAGCGCTTATGTACCTGGCACAGCAACTTTGGTTCCACTGCTATTGCATTGATTGCTAATTTTTTGGCATCCTTGAGGGAAAGTGAGGATGAAGACGAAGACAAGAATGAGAATGAGAATGAGAATGAGAACACTGACAGGAGAGAGAAATTCATGACACAGATGGCAGCCTCCCTCCTCAAGGGCTTTACCTTTCTATTTGCTGTAAAGAGTAGATCTGGGCTGGGCTCTACAGAATGTGAGTCCCTAGTCCTGAGAGATGCAAGTATGCTTCGTCCCAAGAAACAACCTAAAGAACTACCTTGATAATGCAAGGGAAGTCTTATACAGTCAGAGAGTAGACAAGATATTGGAAGTAAACCTTTCTAATGTTCATTCCAAAGTTCCAAGACTACATCCGAAGTACCAAGATACTTGTCCAATGTGACCAAAAGTCATCTGAAGCTGCGAAAGTATTGTCCAAAGTAGTGTGATGCCTTCCGAGGCTTGCGAGAGCTGTCCGAAGATCAATATATGTTGGTGTGTCAATGTGTTGGTATGTCTATATGTCAAATAATATAAGACTTTGCGAAACATCCTGTAGTCCAGAATGACGCTAATCTATCGGAACTCAAGAATAAACGAAGTGCAGAATTGGCAGTGGTCTAGCCAAACAATCGTTCCAAATGAACTAAGATCGATTGCGTAGTTACAAATATACCAAGGTGACTCTACTAATTATGACTCGAAGTACAGGAAGTGAAGTGTAGTATCAGTAGGCAGCGAGCGAGATTATATCCTACTTCCGTGAGAGACCAGAATCCATAGGCAAAACTAGTAGCGAGATAAGCAAGTCCAAACCTATGTGATAAGACGTGAGGCAAGCAGCAATGCAAGTATACATGTAATAAGCCATGATGCATATTGTTTATATGTATTCCGAGGCTCCCGACAGGATGCTGATGAGATTTATCCATGTAGCACTAAGACATAGTCAACATATAGATAGAATAAGGGAAAACACACCAGCGAAGTCAAAAGGACAAGGATAGGACATGGTATGGTACTCGCGAGGTTCAGACAGGCCTCAGAATGCAGGAACTGCCTGCAGAAGGTCTGGACAAGTGCACGCGGCCTTCAGAAGGTCAAGGGAGGTCAAGGAATGGTATGGGACATAATTGTTAGTTTGACTGGTTCCGAGCCCAGCGCCACAACCATTGTTACATCGCAGACCCCGATACCTGCAAGGCCTCTGAGATTTACTGCTCTGTCTTCATCTTGCAAATGATCGCAATGACCCATCTTAACACAGTTGCAGGCTTCATTGATGTACCAGAGCTTGACACATGTGCCCTGTTGCTGTAAGTCCCATCTGAAAATTTGAACAATAGCTAATATATTTCATTGGCAGCTCGAATGTGCTTTGAAATTAGTTGCAGAAAAGGAGAAGAAGAGCACCGATCTCAAAACCCCGCTCAAGGTCAATAAATCTACCGGCAAGGAAAGCAGCACTCCACTGGCCTTTTCCGAGTTGAGTTGGAGACAATTCACGACAGATTACCACTTGGCCATTGTAAAGTGTGGCCTGAAATATATGACAGACAAGATTGCAATAGCCTGTTGATTTGTTAAGGATTTGGGTTTGGACTCTAGTATCAAAGGTTCTCTCGCTGACGACAGTGTTGAATCTTCCAGGGGTGAGCGGGCACTACTATGTGAGTATTTTTGGCTTTGTTCTGTGCCTCATTGCCATATTTCACCAGAATATCTCTTCTACTATGATGTCTTTTCATAACTATTTACACTCTTCAAGCCACTGCACCTACGCTCATACTCATATACTAATGCATTGATCCACATAAATGTCCCTGTTACAGGCTTTCATTCTCCTTTTTCCTTCCTTTTGCACATTTTATTGCCCACTTATTCTACTTTTTTAATGATATAAAGCTTGTGAAATAAGCATTTTTAGTAGGCTCATAAAAATAAGTCAGAAAAGCTCGTGAAAAGCTCAGAATGAGTAGAGGGATCTACTTAAATAAGTCGGCTCCAACTTTTCAACGTTCACATGGCTTGGTGGGAAAAAGATAGCTATAAGTGGTGAAAAGGAAAACTCGGAATTTACTGATGCTATTTGAGTAAGATTTTGGCATAACCTGCAGGAGTGTGCGAAACATGTTGATTAAGTGCATCCAGCCACAAAATGTATGTGGGTGGTTCTTGAGACCCAGTCAGAACTCGGTCTGAGTGGATCTATAACAGTCGAGGGCAGTCGAATACAATGACCAGCGTAGATAGGAAACGATGCGCTGTCCTAAAATCAAGACTGCATACAAACCTGTGCAAACCACGAGTATGAACCATCTAAGTTAATCTGAGTCCATTGAAACATGCAATGATTGCCTTCAATTGACACAGACCAATGATATTGATGAATCTAATGGAAACGAACATGTTCGAAAGTGATTTTCAGTGAAAGTAGAGCAGTTTGTATGGTGCTGGTAGGGAGACAATATAATGTATAGGCATTTAATGATTTGTTCAATGTAAATGAAAAATGGGCATGTTGCATACCGGGTTTCAAGTTTTGGGTTTTGGCACTCGACACTCGGTGATTTGTGCAATGACTGAAAAATGGATATGTTATATACATGTTTTCAGGTTTCAGAATTTGGGGTTTGGCCCTCAGCACTCGGTACTTGGTGATTTGTGTACTGGGTCTCAAGTTTCGGGTTTTGTCACTTGACACTTGGTGATTTGTACAATGAATGAAAAATGGACATTTTGCATACATGTTTTTGGGTTCCAGGCTTCAGATTTTGGGACTCAGGCTTCGGGTCTATCAGCACTTGGCACTCGGTGATTTGATAAATGGACTTTCAAGCTTCAGGCTTTGGGTGTTCAGGTGTTCATATGTTTGGTGTAAGGAAATAGAAATTTCACACATTTTCACGACTTTCCAGTTTCCAGTCTCAAGCTTGGGGTGTTCAGGTGTACGGAATGGATGTTGCACAATGGGATTTGGTTTTTGGCAGGGAGACTTGCTGGACAGTGGGTGGATGCTCCTGGATGATAGGGTGATGAAAGCATGGGAAAGCGAGTGATGCACGAGCATGAGAACATCACACGAGGGTCGTGCATGTGGGAAAGTGTCGCCCGATATGGAAATAGCTGGGAAAAGGCTAGGGAATGATGCTGTGAGTTGGTGCTGCGAACCCGGGTGGTATGCACTGAAGTATAATGCATTGCAGACCTACAATAGTGCGAATCTCTACAATGTAATATCCAATAGCCCTCTCCATTGTCCATTGAGAACAACATATTGGTGGTCCCAGACGAAGAATCTCACGAGCATAATGAATGAGTGCATGAATGCTTTGATGAACAAAGTGAAGCCACTCAGTACGTCGTTGGTAATAAATCAACTCGAATTAATGTTCAAACTCAATGAGAAGGATATAGATAGTCTGCACCTCGTCCTGTGAAATATGATGCTGACTGGCAAGGTGAACACCACAAACTAGCTTGCAGAAGTTGTGCCAGTAGAGATCAGGGAGGATTCCAAACAATAATGCAGGCCCGAGCCCATACACATAAATTGTATACTCCCAAGCCTTATATCCACTTGAGATTTCCTCGGCAGGGTTTCGTGGTGGACGATCAAATGAACCTGGAAGATGATGATGTGTGGCAGCAACTGTCTTACCATGCTCGATCCATATATTGTCCTTCAGAACAGCCCAACTCCAGGTGGACCAGTTATCTTTCTTATCACATTCAAATGTTCCACGCCAGAGAGGAATGAGGAGATCTGGAATATTAAGGAACATGAGGTGCATTATGTCTGATCCAAAGCAAAAGGGAACACTGAGTGTGTTTTGTGATGAAAAGCCCAAGAATATACTTGGTTTGGAGATGCCAGTTGCAAGATGGTTCTTTCGGTACTGCGACTCATTAACAGATCCCAAGACAACATTGAGTTTTCAGATATAGTCTTCATGCAAACATAGTGTTAGGTCTTCCGCACATTGATCAGCGTGATCAGAGCCAGCTTGTATGAAGTTGTTTGGTTTCAATAGTGCTGGATAGTAATGGGTACCACCCGGTTTGTAATGACCTACACAGGAGCAGAAAAGACGGCACCTGTGCTTGCCATGATGGCCCACGAGACCATTGAGATAGACAAGACCAGGTCCATCAACAGTACCCAAGGCAAGAAACAGATAGGAGCGATAGGATTGGTGCTGACAAGCATTCCAAATAACAAGTCCTTCCTTCTGGATTGCGGCAAGATGGTGGAAACCAAGAAACAGGAAAGAGTCTACATTTTTTGGCTTATTAGGACCAGGGATAATCCCTCCAGGGAGGACACATCGTTGCTTGTAGTGGTTGTCTGGAGAGCGCTCATAAATGACCCAGATGTAAAGCCAACAGTTCGACTGCTTGCTCTGGTACAGTTGAGCGCCATCGATGGACATCATGACTACAATATCATCATTTCTGATCCTTCCATCATGTACAGCCTCACGATAGGCTTTGCCATCAAGGAAGTCACTGTAGGATTGTTTGGCACTGTGGTCATTAAGCTTGTCAAAGATTTTTTGTGTTTGCTGCTGCTGATATTCCATCTCCTCGGCACTCTTTGTATCATGGTAGAGCACTTGCAGCTGTGGCCCAAGTGGAAATAATGTTGTGACCAAGCGAGGAAATTTCTCTTTACCTTGGCTGTTTGCGAACTTGATGGGATTGTAGCATGGCTTGTTGCAGATAGCACATTCGACAAGGTTGGAGTTAAGGCCAGTGAAAGCCATGCAGCTGTTGATGCACATGTGGTACTCAACCGGACGAACACAACTGAGCTCGGATATGATCTTTTTGATCTTGTACAACAAGGGAAACTCCTGGCCTTCCTGCAAGTGTCTGGCAGCAGATCTGGTAGCCTGCTCATAGTCGTGGTCCACATGGCTTAGATTGAAATAGAGCTTGATTGCAGTCACGAGAGCATCATCATTGATGCTAGCTATGTGTGTAGGTGGATTGTGGAGATGTTTGAGGCTATCACCAGTTAGGCCAGCACCTGGATCATTGAGTGAGGCTGCATGAAGTGCTTGAATATAGTCCATAGATTTCTTGAGGTCTTCCAGTGTAATATGTGCATTGATTTCATGGATAACTTCTTCATCGGCATCAAGAGGATCTGGCATGGCATCTTCAACGTAGTTTGGTGATGGTGCATGCAAGTGTGATGGATTACAGGGTGGGTCATTACGGTCTGACTCATCAAGACCATCAGAAAACTCTCCAAGTCCCAAGTCAACTTCATTTTCCTAGTAAGTTACATTAATGTTTGTATATTGTGAAAGAATGGAAAAGCTCACTACAATCTGAGACAGGTTGGCCAATTCCTGTGGCTCAGACTCAAAGTCTTCTCTCCGACGATGGTGTCCTGACACAGAGGTTACTAGTCGAGCACTGCGACTGGCCATATTTACCGGTTGCGACTTATCAGAAGGTAGCCCTGTTAAAAATGCTTGAAAGTCTTGACTGAAGTGTAGCTCCTGCACCGGAGCACGGTGGGGAGTATGTCTGGTGTAGGTCTTGGAAGACCCTTTCTTGCGGACTCCATGGCACCAGTGTAGACAGTTGCAGTAGTACTCTTTGACAGACTTTGGAGCTCTGGGCATTCATCAGGAAACTGGGATTTTCCATGATTTGGCTGAGATGTCTGATAGCAGGCTTACCAGACAAATCAAACAATCAGCTCATCAGATTTTGTCTGATTTCAGGCAGGTCTCATCTGAAATCAGACCATCAGGTCCATCAGACAGTCAATTGTTCAGACATGCATTTCATCTAAACCATCATGCTGATCAGACTACTCAGCTGATCAGATTGACAGGTGTTCAGTAATCTCAGTTTATCATGACTCTCATGATAGAGAAAAAATAATAATAAAAATCATCGCACCTGACAAGATTTGAACTCTCAACCACCCATCTGCACTTAAGGCCACATGACAAGATGTACACTTTGAATGCATAACCACTAGGCTATGAGACCACATCTATTTTCATGTTAGATTTCATATATATACCATGTTCACTGGACTTTTAAAATATTTTTATTTCACTTCCCCAACAACTTTGTTATTTTTTTCATGTCTTAATGAAAGTTGTAGTCCTAGTGGAGACAAGTCTATTGCTAGTCTTGGCTTGTCAATTGGTAGTCATTTGAGCAAGATATAAGCAAAATAAAAACAAAACATCAGTAAATTTGTAAAAAATGTGAAAATTAAAAGTGAATAAAATCCTTGCATGTCTTAATGAAAGTTGTAGTCCTAGTTGAAATTAGTCTATGGCTAGTCTTACCTTGCCGATTGGTGGTCATTGAAGCAAGATATAAGCAAAATGAACATGAAACATTAGTGAGTTTTGAATAGAAATTCTGAAGTTTTGCAAAAGTTGAATACTTAGATTATCTGACCTACTATATTACTATGATACAGCTCTGCAGCTGTGGAGTGTCTACATGATCAGATAGGCTGGGTATTTGGGTGTTTGATCTTACAGATATGTCTGACAGACCAATCAGGCTGCATATCTGTGTTCATGATTTGTCTGATGAAGCTAATAATTATGAGGTCCTGGCAGAACTGCAGTCCTGTGTGGGTTGATATGCTTGAGAGCCATGTAATCCTGAAAGGCTGATATCCTGTAAAGCCTGTTATGTTTGAGAAGCATGACATCCTATAATAATGAAATCCTGCTCTGTCTGAAATGCTTGAGTATCATGATGTTCTGATGAACTGAGAGTATGTTGTGTCTGACACTACTGTCTGACTGCAATCTTGACAATCTGGGATTATGATAGGTCTGAAATCAGACCAGTTAGGTCATACAGGTATGTCAGTTAAATCAGGAAAAATTCCAGTTTCCTGATGTTGTAGCAAAGACCATTGGGGAATGGAGACAAACACAGCATAGAGCCACATACTGCAGTCACTTTACCCTTGTATAATACATACAGCCAAGGTTGAAATATCTATGTTCTACACAGTCCAGCCCATGTGGGCCTATGTCAAGTGTATATGTAATACTAACAGTGGGCCCATAGTGTGTGGTATAATAGATAAGTGTACACTTTCCTATTGCCTTTGGTGGATATTGTATGGTAGATCGTGTATGAAATATTTACCTGATATGAACAGGGGGCCTATCACAAACATATATCTGATACCAACAAGTGGGCCAGTTGAAGCGTGTATGTGATACCAACAGAACAGGTCGGTCAAGTGGGCAGTGGTACTGATGTATACAGATGAGCCGATATTCTAAGGATATAGATGCATCAGAGACACTGCTTCAATGTATCAGTCTTAATATACATGCCCATGTGACAGAGTTGGGTAGTCGGTCAATATGTGTGTCAGTCAATATGTCAGTCAAATATCATGCATCGGGAACATGTGGCCAATTCCCCTGAATAACCTATACAAAACATACTTACCAGGACTAGGCAAAGTATCATAAATGAGGTGGTCAGTCAAGAGGTCGGTCAAATGTGATGTATGACAGACATAGTCTGTATCAATGGAATAGCATACAAAGAACCTAATCATACATGTGGTAGTCAGTCGGTCAGTTGGTCGGCTGGCGAGATACAAGATATTGCTGGAGCACTGTTGATACTTAGAATCACACAATCAATGCATAATAAACAAGCCAATCCAAACCGATTTCATGCAATTTATGTAGTGAAAAGTATCTAAGTGATTAATGATGTGCTACACAGGGGTATATTTGGTATTAAGGGAGGGAGTGAGTATCAGAAGCAGGTGATGTTACATTAAAATGAGATTGGAAGGCAGGAGCAGATGAAGGACCAGCCTGTGCTGACCCAGATGATGGCTGTCCACTAGTAAATGTGCTGCCCTGTACATCAGGGCGACTGAATGGGTGAGACGCTGAGGCTTGACCGCCGCCGACTGAAGGAGGGTTAGGAGCAACCAAAGGGCCGAACACACTGTTCAGGTACCTCATACCCATTGCAGTGGCTGATGATCCATGACTGTGGCTCATTGTTGGCAGTGGTAATGATGGATTGAGGACCGAGCATTGCTGCCGAAGTGTCTCCACCATCTTGACAAGATCATTGTGTTGGACTCTTCCTCAGAGTCATTGTCCCTAGCTCGCCAAGTCCCCCGAACCGGCTGCTTTCCCTTGTCGGTTGTTGCCTTGGAAGCCTCAGCTGGCAGTGAGTCGATCAGTGGGACTGACACCACCTTGGGAGCTGGTGGTGTGACGGTAGGGGGAGGGTGAGGCACTGTCACTGGCATTAATGCAACTATCTACAGGTTAGACTACAAGGCTGCATGAAGAGAGAGAACTCACCAAACCCAATAGTCTTGGGAAAGAATGGGTGTGATTCCATGCAGGAATCATCAACCCTTACACGAACCCATTGCGGGGCCTGGCCAACATTCATTGTCGCCCAAACCTCAGTGGCCGCAGAGAGCAGTGACGGCAAGATGACCAATGCATTCCTGCCGTGTTGCTGCAGTGCTTGTGACTTTCTAGTCAGGTGAGTATCTGTGAAAACAATACATAAAAAAAGAGAAAAACACATACTACTAGCCTGGCTATGTCATGGGCCTGCTCAACTACTGCCCAGCCATCTGCTTCATCACGCTTGATCCGGGTGAGTGCTATGCACAAGGATGCGTCAGCGACCGACAAGGCATTATTGGATGGTTGGGAGGACATGGTGAAAAAAGTGCAGGATGATAATGATGGTGGTGGTGGTGGTGGTGGTGGTGAATGTAGATAAGATGGTGATAGAATGAGTGTTCAGGAAGTTATATAGGGAATGACAAACTGTGGAGATGGACTTCGCAAATGTCAATACAAATTGTGGTCGTGGCACCGACGGGATTAGCCAAAATGAATTGTTGACGCCACAATTGACAATGCCAGGTTTCGCCAAGTTGTGGCCTCGGTGGTCTAGTCATCTATTGTCGTATAAATATGCCCAACTCTAACAATTGCAAGTATATGAATTCCACTCGAAATCTCACTGACAAAGCTCGAACATTACAGGACAAGCGTATCAAAGCCGACCGAAATTTCTTTCTCATCTGGGACCAGTGGGTACCACCAAAGTTAGGGCCAACTCAAACGATTCCACAAGACAACCTTCAAATTCGCTTCAACTACTCCACTCAATCGAAATGTCCCCTCCCATCTTATTCACGCAATATCAAAGGGACTAAGTTCACACCTTCAACCATGCCAGTCAGGGAGGAATACACTGATGCACTTGCCGAAAAACAGAAGGCAAAGAAGGCAAGTCTTATGATATTGGCCTTGGAATTTGCTGATATTTGACTACAATAGTTTTTGAAATGTGCTGGAACACGGAAGCTCAGCCAGTGCCATCTGTCCAAACACCGACCGGCTCATCATCGGCTGAACACCAATACAGCAGCCAAAGTAAGTGGTTATTGTTATCTATTTTCCATGCCATGGACCTGTACTGATACATCATCATTCTAGCATTTGAAATGTGCTGGAGTGTTGAACCCGATTTAGGGCCAACAGTCAATGCGCCTGCCAAGGCATCAATGGTCAATGCACCGTCGGCCAAACACCAATACAGCGGCCAAAGTAAGTTGTTATTGTTATGTATTTTCCATGCCATGGACCTGTACTGATACATCATTATTCTAGCATTTGAAATGTGCTGGAGTGTTGAACCTGATTTAGGGCCAACAGTCAATGCACTGGCCAATGCATCAATGGTTGATTCACCAGCCAAGGCATCAACGGTTGATTCACCGGCCGAAGTATCATCGGCAGAACTACAGTATGGCAGTCAAAGTAAGTCAATGTCATCATGTATTGTCTGTTCCACAATCTTGTACTGATGTATTATTCTTCCAGCATTTGAAATGTGCTGGGACGTCCAAGAAGATCCAGCGAGAACGGTTGATGTACCGGTGTAAAGAGTAGATCTGGGCTGGGCTCTACAGAATGTGAGTCCCTAGTCCTGAGAGATGCGAGTATGCTTCGTCCCAAGAGACAACCTAAGAACTACCTCAATAATGCAAGGGAAGTCTTATACAGTTAGAGAGTAGACAAGATATTGGAAGAAAACCTCTTTAATGTTCATCCGTAGTTCCGAGACTACTTCCGAAGTACCGAGAAACTTGTCCGATGCGACCAAAGGTCGTCCGAAGCTGTGAAAGTGTTGTCCGAAGTAGCGCAATGCCTTCCAAGGCTTGCAAAAGCTGTCCAAAGGTCAATATATGTTGGTGTGTCGATGTGTCGAATAACAATATAAGACTTTGCGAAATGTCTGAAGTCTGGAACGATGCTAATCTATCGGAACTCAAGAATAAATGAAGTGCAAAGTTGGCAGCGGTCTAGCCAAACAATTGTTCCAAATGAACAAAGATCGATTGCGCAGTTACAATTATACTGAGGTGACTCTACTAATTACTATTCGAAGTACAGGAAGTGAAGTGTCCTATCAGTAGCCAGCGAGCGAGATTATATCCTACTTCCATGAGAGACCAGAATCCATAGGCAAAACTAGTAGCGAGATAAGCAAGTCCGAACCTATGTAATAAGCCGCGAGGCATGCAGGAATGCAAGTATACATGTAATAAGCCACAATGTGTACTGCTTATACATATTCCGAGGCTCCTGACAGGATGCCGATGGAATTGTTATCTGTGTAGCACTAAGATGTAGTCAACATATAGTTAGAATAAGGGAAAACGCACCAGTGAAGTCAAAAGGACAAGGATAGGACATGGTATGGTAACTTGCGAGGTTTGGACAGGCCTCGGAACACGAGAACTGCCTGCAGAAGGTTTGGACAAGTGCGCACGGCCTTCAGAAGGTCAAGGGAGGTTGGGGAATGGTATGAACGTAGGTGTTGGATTGCCTGGTTTCGAGCCCAGCGCCACGACCATCATTACACCAGCCAAACCACACTATGGTGGCCAAGGTAGGTCTTCTACCAGTCACATGGCTTAATTTGTCTGACTCCAGTATATTAGGCTACAATATGTGCTGGGATAGAGATACTACTCCAGCCACAGGTCAATATGATCTGTGTTGGGATGAGCTGAGCTCATCAAAGGTAGCCTCAGTCCCAGCAATCACTGTAGAAGCAGCCATACCACTGGCTGCTGCTACTTATGATCTTTGCTGGAATAAGGAACCTTGGTCAAAAATAGCCGATTCAGGCCACGTCTCAACACCCTCAGCTGCTGGTCAGTATGACATGTGTTGGGATGACCAACCAGCAGGATCGGCTGCTGGATATCAAGGTGAGTAGCAGTGATTTGTCCTAGTTGTCTGGACTGATTGCTGTCTCGGGCATTTGTACAGCCGTGGTGGCGTTCTTTGACTGCAGGTGGAGATGCCTCTGTTTGGGTGTTGTTAGATTCATCCTCAGTCAAACTGATGTAGGGTTGCTTGGTGATCCTTGGTTGCCCTTTTGGAATTTCAGTTGGTGACGAAGTCGCAGTTGTAGATAGCTTTCTTGTAGGCCTGGCCATGGGACTCTCATCATCGGCATCACCATCAGATTCATCCTTGGCGACAGGAGAATGCATTCTGCCCTTGTCATCTATCCAGGCTTTGAATTTGAAGGTCTGTCCAACCTGGGTTTCCTGTCGGTTCCACCAGAAATCCAAGATTGCATGAGCAAGTAAGCACAATGGCCGACCCGACTGACCGACTGACCGACCAAGTGACTGGAAGAACTCACCCAGATGTAAGCAGGCCCTCCTTCTCATCCTTCCAGGAGCCCAAAACAAAGACTCTCATACCAGCCTGAGTAAACATCTCTTTGGTAAAGTTCTTAACCATTTTCTCGCCCTTCTTTCTCGCCATCTTGGCCTGGACTGTGGCATCGGATGCTTGGTTGGTCCATCTGTCGGCCTTTGCCTGGGCTTCCTGCAACTCCTTTTTGTCTAGCCTTTGCATGATTGCTGTCATAGTAGGCTGATACCTCCTCAATACTTCCTTATGCAAAGGCTTCTGCCCCATCTCTTCTTTGATTTCTTCATGTATTTGCTGAAGGATGTCGGCCTTTCGCTCCTCCTTGATGACTTGGTGTGCTGTTCATTTTTTTTGCAGCTTGGTGGGTGCTTTGGAATTGGCCTGGACGTTCTTGTGATTGTGGAACCACTATCTGTATTTCTGTCCAGGGTGACTGTCATACAGCATGACTCGGTGCCAAAGACTAAACACTTACTTCTTTGCATTGCTTCAACAGCTCTTTGTCCATCTTTGGAGCCAATATCTTAGCCTCCCTAGCAGCTGCTCTAAATATCTGTTGTCATTCTGTCCCACTCACCTTCTCCCAATCCTCAACATGGGACAGCAGAGCAGTGGTCTCTCGGTCATTCAACCAAGGCTGAACCCCTGTACTTATCTGTGTCCAAGCCATGTCACACCAGGTATGTTGGAGGAAAGGACCCAAAAGAAAAAGGAGACTGTTGATATGGTTGATAGAATCAACCAAAAAAAAAAGTGGAAGTGTCTTATGAGTAATGAGTGACATATCCGATGTCATAAGTACACGTAAGGGTTAGATGGTGCCGAATAGTATGAGCACCATTGCTACAAGACTCATCGAGCAGTGTAGATACATGGGTGGGTCTGTCTAGTAAAAACAGAGGCCATAAAGTCCTCTTAACATATCAGATATCATATACTTATTAATTGTGCCATGGGTATTACTCCTGATGATACAATGAGATCAAAGTGACTATTACAATGGATGCATTGCATTTGACAGTCACATGTAAGCGCTAAACTGTCCCATAGTATAAGCATATTGTTTCAAACAATGCATTCAGACAACAGCACATCTTTGTTACATGGTCAAGTCAAAGCCAAAGGCCTGGAGTCCTCCAAAGACATTCTCGTTGGTTATATGGGAGCACAAAAGAACTTCTCGAGGAGATACAGGACAATTTCTCAAAGCTCAATGTCACAACAAAACAACTTTGGTTCATTCATCACCCAGGAAAGTCACCTATCAAGCGAGGATCCACCAGAGGACATCATGCCGAGGGTGACTATGAGCACTATGATCTCAGTGAAATCAACCTGGAGCCTTGTAGACTTTGGAAGTCCATGGCAAGCTCATCATTTATTTATCTGATCTCATTTACTGACACCAAGTATATAAGAGTCAAAATGACTATCTACATGAGTGGCAGTACAAGACCGAGGACTACTTGGACTTGCTGCTTCAGCGAGAAGGCCCACCATCTGACAGGACTTGCTCTGTCTGCCCAAAGGATGGAGTCTACAGATGTCACAGCTGTATGGGTGAACCACTCTTCTGCACTCATTGCTGTAGGATGGTTCACAGCCCCATGCCTTTTCATCAGATCAGTCAATAGACTGGGGGATTCTTCGAGAACACTTCCTTGACCAAGATCAGGCTGGAAATCTACCTCGGTCACCAAGGAAAGCCTTGCCCCAAAATGACTGAAGAATAGTATGACATAGATGATGAAGGAGACTATTTTACTGAAGACCCATGGGTGCCTTTAATCAATGACCCATGGACGACTACGGTGGTGAATATGTCAGGACTCCACTCCCTACTGATCAGATACTGTCAGTGCACTGACGCACTGAGTCCCGACATGCAACTATTCAAAACAGGCCTCTTCCCAGCATTTTTTACTTTGCCAAAGACAGCATTCACATTTGCGGTGCTGGACAACTTTCTGTTGGATAACCTAGAATGTGGAACTTCGGCAATGGACTACTATAGTAAATTAAGGTGTATCACATCCAGTGTTTTCCCTCATCTGGTTCCAGTGAGTAATGTATATGCCCTTCATTGCATTGCTCACAATACCCTAAAGGACTGATATAGAGAATTGATGAGGGTGGGCAGGCAGTGGAGGCAGCTGAAGCAGCTTAAGTAGCATGGGTTTGGTCATGAGAAGCGAAAGCCAAAAGCAGGGGAAGTTGCACTATTCTGTCCCACATGTCCATAGCCTGGGATAAATGTCAATTTGTCAGAAAAGAATGTGGCTGATCCTGCATGGCTATATTCGAGATCTTTAGTTATGGATGGCAATTTCAAGGCTGAACATCTGTTTCCAGCAAATCCGACCAATGAGGTAGCATTTACCGATGGCCTGGGCTTTATGATCAGCAATTCCTGGTACAAAATGCATCTCACCAAGGCGCAGGATGTTGTACATAAATCAGACTGCAACAATCACTGAGTGGTTAACCAGGCAAATGCTTCACACCACAAGCTGGAAGCCACAGGAATAGGTGGTTGTGCTTGTGCCAGACATGGCTGTTTTGTTCCACATTCAATGGTGGACTTTCAGAAGGGGAAAAGGTTCGCTGATCGATATTTTAATTTGGTCGGTACAAGCTGATTCATTGTTTGGCCAAAGGCAGATGAACATGGATTATGCACTATGCCAAGCCCTCACTTACAACACCAATGGAATAGACCAGACATTGACTTTCTATGACATCAATTGTCAATACCACAAGCATCTCCACCAGCGGGTTGATGAGTCACTTTATCTTGAACTTCCATGGAACATGGAAGTGATCCCTGGCATTGGGCTCTGGCACATCCATGGCCATCAAGACAAATGCTATGTACAGTATGCATCAAACTTCATCACTGGTGCTGCCAGGATCGAGGGGGATGTCGACCCCCCACTGAAAGGAGTGTTTAGATTTTCAAATGAACAACTGTAATTTTATGAAGATGATACGCATCAGTCAGAAATCACATTTCACCAAAGGTGTAAATCTAAACTCAGACAGGCAAATTCCTTTGCCAAAAATTTAAGGAGGCTGTACAAGGGGTCCAAGACAGCCAATTTGCATTTGGCCGATTGAGTGAGACCGCTGATGAGGATACCCTTGTCAAATGGGAAGCAGAGGCTGCTGCCGCGCAGGATGACCAACTCAAAAATCCCAGCGCTATGAATATATATGAAGTTCAATTGACTAAAGGTCTGTTGCAATATGATAACCTTTCACTGTAGGTTCATCTTGATTGGCACAGCACCAACAAGGAAACAACAAGAGTTGCACCTGTTGAACTGTCAGGCAAGATGGCCCGCTGGTGAGATCCATTGTGGTGCTGCAATGTGGCTGGCATCTGGCATAACACTGGAAGAAGTGCAAGTTTTCCTCCTGATTGATGTAAAGAAACTCAGAAAAAGGCTGACTGATGTTCAAAAACTGGTGGTCGCTTGGCGCCGTGACAAACTGCAAGGTCAAATAGATGAATTTGTCCGGGTGGCAGTGACATTTCTTGGCGATCAATTCGATGACTACAAGAAGTTGGACCTTATGACTGTGATGTTGGATGCTGCAGAATTGGATTCCATGGGGTCATCATCTGATGATTCCAATCGGTCAGACAATGAAGATCAATATGATATGTCGCTTGAGTTCACTCCCAAGAGCGTTGTGATTCCACTGCCCTCAAACATCGGCATTAAAAGATGTGCTGAGTGGGGCATCGCCGACCTCATGCTACAAGAAATAACATTGAGAGAAGGTCAATCCAATGACGCATTGCATGCAATCAGGGTGAATTTAGCCAATAAGGCTGTTCTCTTCCGCTCCACTGTTCGCTCAGCAAATTCACAATCTTGGTCAACTCACGCATGGGCCCGCGTGCATTTTGTGGACAGGATCCTCCACTTAAATGTACAAATATATTCAAAATGCCACAGGCAACTCATTCACCTCGGCGCCGACACCTTACTCACCAAGTTTCAGCCATTGGAGAAGGCCAACCTAAAAGCTACTACAGTGGTGGCAGACCCAAATGCTCGTGGTCAAAGGAATAGCACTTTGGCTTGGTTTTGGTCTATTGATGTTCAAGGAGATTCAAACAGCAGTGACTGGATGGATAAATGTAGGCTCATTGCCTATGAACCTGTACCATCCAGTGCTAATATTTCGCATGACAGTTTACTGTGTGCATTGGCTTAGAATGCTTGCACTTCGCGATAGATGGGCAGAGGAGCTCCTACTTGTCGGCCATGAAATGACATGGACTGTCAATTTCTTTATCCACAAATCACAACAATGGGTTGGCTGAATGCAGGAGGCCAATGCAAACAACAAGGTTGGCCATCGGTGCTATGCAGCCCACCAGGCTTGAATTTATCTCCGACTCTCACAGGAAGCGCAAGATAGCTTTGAAAGAACAAAAGGGGTGGTAAGTGTGGCAGAGTGACAGGGGACAATATACAGCCACTCCCACATTTGGGATGTGGCAAGTGCCACAAGTGGATTAGTCATTACTATATAACCATGTGATTCTGCATTCATCAAATACAAATTTTCCTCTCTCCACCCATCATGTCAGATTCCTCAACATCTACATACCAAATCACTGAATTTACTGTGTGGGATGCTGCCAATGTCTTGGAATTCGCCACTTCCTGATTTGCTGCTATCTGGTTGGTCTGTGACTGAAACTACGTGTCTCAAATGCTGGCTTACAAAGCCAGCTTTGTAAAGCATATTCAATGGGAGGCAGATGTAAGTACCTCATTGGTTGGTCGGCGGTATCTGACACGCAATTCCTCCAGTGTTTTGTCTTCCCATACATAACTTTATGTATGGTCCTCAACATTCACCCAACAATGCCCAACCTCCTGCGCAGCATTCTCAGCAGGTTTGCCTGCTTCCAAACCTGGAGCACCACCGCTGAGCAGTTCTATGACGAATCCTTTGCGCACTGCTCTCCACATGACCCTGAGCTGAGGTCTACTCACAGAGTAGTTCCCAATTACTCTCACGATTGGTGGAAGGATCATTTTGACACCTTGGGATTTCCGCTGCCATCGTTGGATGTCACCGAGGTCATGGAGATGACCCAAGACCACTTTGAACAACTGGTTGGTCATTTCTCTTTCATTCCGAACTTTTACTTATTCTGATTTGTAGCCCATGGGATCAATGCTTGTGCCTGGCCCTCCGGTCACCAGTCAAGTGGAAGGTGATCCCCTCCTCAATCAAATTCTGGCAGTGAAGGCCCACGTCGAACATCTTGGCAAGTCACTGGCAAGTATGTTAGAGGAGAAGATAAAGATTGCCGTGGCAGCTGCATCAACCATGGAGCAACTTGAGGGGCCCATGGATGAGCTTGTGGAAGCGCTCTTAGATTCCCACCAGTAATGTGTCAGCTAGTAGTCATTGTACACGGATTATCATGTGTATTACAGGAAATGTATGTACTATTACCAAATATGATCTGGTAGTTATGTATATAGTCATTGGTTCCTCATTATTGTTGTTCCCTAGTCATGACTGCAGTTCCGGCCGACTGGGCATTGCATACCACATGCATAGCTAGTGACTTTGTGCAACAGCTGTTTGATAGCAAGGTAGCTGGCAACAACAAGTCAATCTTGCCTCCCTCAACAATAGATGTACCAACCATGCTTGCTTGTGAGCAGTTGGCCCGGGTGCTTGCCGATGCCTATTTGAACCCAAGTAGGTCATTCCTACCATTCAGTTGGTGGTATCCTAACCCATTGCAGTTCACCTTGACTTTGACATGATTAGGTACAATAAAGCCCTCAATAAATGATCTAATGGGAGGGTTGCAACACATGAAGAGGCCCTTCTCCAAAAATTTCCTCATGGGTCAGAATGTTTGCTGAAGAAGCCCTTGGTTATTTTGGACTCGGCCAGACGTATTATCTTGTGGTACCTTCCAGACTCCATTAGCCCATGGATTCAAGTGAGCTTATTTATTATGTCAGATCGGCCAACTGATGCACTGATATCATAGGCCGAGATGAAAGAAGCTACTATCACCATGAGCTCCCTCTGAAAGACAAGCATGACCAGTGGTCCGGGCTCCCAGTGGAGAACATTTCCCAGAAATTTTCATACAGGCGACCAACACCAATTTACCCCAGGATGTATTAATTTAGCCCCATGCTGGTTCCAGCAAGGCCGGGAGATTAGTACTGCTTCACCGGAATGCTCATGCTCATGTAGACATTGTAGCCACATGGTTTTCCACTGGCCGATGGGTTTACCCCTGAGGTGTCAGCCACTCTGAAAGGGAAAGGTGGCCCCGAGGTGATAATATCTATGCAACATGCAGCACTACTGGCCTTAGCAGCTCTTCAGGTGATGCATCCAAAGTTGTATTGGGCTTCGGTCACCACACAAATGAAACTTGGCCAATGGGCCGCAGACCATGGTCTCAGTTATATGTGCACTTGCCTGCAATTTTGGGCCTCGGTTTTTAATTGTGCAGCTGTCATTTGTAACAGACAATGCCCTCTTCACTGAGACCCAGGATCTACTCCAGAAGGATTTGACATCATGACCAGTGTTGGCCATTATTGCGACAGGCTCATGATGTTATCTAACCTTGGTATTCAGTTGCAATATAACTCAGGGGCTATGGTTGGCTGCTCTGGACACATTGTCAGGCATGGTATCACATATACCAGTCATTGCATTGTGTGGGCTTGGTTCATGCACGACAGCCTTCATAATTTTGTCGGGACACCTTGGCCATTGTATGCAACTTACATGGATGCAGATGATAATGTCTCAGTCTCAGCTTAGATAGCACAGTAATCGTGTATGACAATTACTAATGGTTGTATTTGGCACACGACTGACCAACTCGTCTACCCTAGCGCATCATGTATTGGTCCATATGTTAAAATCAGTTTAATCAGCCGAGCTGATATTATCACTTATTCATGTTTGTTGGCTGATTTATTTACATAAGTTAATCGGCCGATGCGATAGCATCAAGTATATATTTCTGTCGGCCCATATGACACCATCAGGTATTTTGTATATTCGGCCGACATGATGGTGTCAGATATTGATTTCCTTTGGCCCATATGATAACATCAGGTGTTTAGTTGTATCAACCCACATGATGGTATCACTCCTATCGGCTGACATGATGGTGTCAGATATTGTTATGGACTTGGATAGTATCTGTTGGCAATGCTCAAACAGGGTGTATGTCATCAACGGTCAGGGACGTCCTTGGGCTAGCCTAAGGTTAGGAGTCTTGCTTGGCAAAGTTTTTGCAAGCAAGGTTTAACGCCTATGTCCAAATCAGGTAGCTTATGTCAAGCAGGGCTCGACGATAAGTGGATCTGCCAAGGCTTACGACACCCAAAGGTTAATCGTAAGATCTGCATTAATAGAAGGACAGAAGTCCAACTAGTTAACAGGGGCTTTGCTCATCCACGAAGTCGATGAGTAAAGATCAAGACTAAAGACTTATCCGCGATGAGCAGATAAGAAAGTAGAATATAGACTGCTGGCTAGGCAGAAGGAATCACTCTTGTTAGGAGTAGGAGGTCAAGAACCAAGTAGATTCAACTTAAGGAACTAAATACATGGTAGCGAGTTTATATAGAGGAGAGGAATAGTGGATGATAACTCATACTACCGGAAGAGGAACTGGTCAAAGGGTGATACTAGAAAAGGAAGGCACATTTGAGGTGAGTCATAGGTGAACCGGAATGTGCAGATAAGAGGTGAGTCAAAGAACAGAAACAGGAAGTGAAACAAGCAGGGGCACAATCGTGCAACTGCAGAGCTAAGTATAAGTACAATGTGTGGCTGCACACCAAGTCATAGATCAAGAAAGGAAACAGGGCAAAGGGGATGCAACGTGCATCGTATCATAGGTTACCGTCCAAATGGTAAGGGTAAAGGGGAACTGCCCACAGGGTCAGTCATGGGGTGGAATGGAGCACGGGTATGCTTCATCAGAGAAAGGGTCTGGCCAGATGTACTGGCTCTGCTGGAGCGACAGGTAGAGAGCAGAGGGGAATGCGAGGATGACGAGGATAACAAGAGTAAGGTCAGGGTAAGGGTGTGATGCAAGGGCGGAGATGAGGAGGATAAGGAGAAAAATGGTAGGGGCCCAAGTGTCTAGATGTTCTTGTAACAGATATTGATTTCCTTCGGCCCATATGATAACATCGGGTGTTTAGTTGTATCAGCCCACATGATGGTATTACTCCTATCAGCTGAGCTGATGGTATTAGGATTTTATTTTCTTCAGCCTATACAATAACATTGGATATTCAGTTTCATTGACCCATATGATGGTATCAGTTCTATCGGCCAATCAGATGGTGTCGGGTATTTAGTATCCTGGGCCCATAAGATAGTACCATATGTTTAAACTTGATTCCTGATGCTATCATATGGGCCCAAGGCAATGAATTCCCACAACCATCATGTCGGCCAATGGTACTGACACAAATGTATAGGCCGAAGAAAATAAAATCCTAATATCATCAGGTTGGCCGATAGAAGTGATACCGTCATGTGGGCCAATAAAACTAAACACTTGATGTTATCTTGTGGGCCGAAGGAAATCAATACCTGATACCATCGTGTCGGCCGAGTAAACCTGATACCATCATGTTGGCCAAATATACCAAATACCTGATGGTATTACATGGGCCGACTAAAATATATACTTGATGCTATCAGGTCGGCCATTTACACTGTACTATCATGTGGGCCAAATATACTAAATACCCGATGTTATGGTATGGGCTGAAAGAAATGAATACCTGATGCCATCAGGTCGGCTGATTGAACTGATGCACATGTATGGGCCGATGAAACTGCATACCTCATGCAATCAGATGGGCTGAGGACTTGGATACCTCAGGGAGTCATATGGGCTGATGGTACTGACTGCCACGGGTATTGATGTCTATCGGCTCATGTGATAGCATGAGGTGTTCATATTCACTGGCCCATACGATGGTATTGGTCTTTTATTATACTCAGCCCATATGATGATGCCATACCCATAATTGTTATACCAATGCACACAGGATACATACTTCACCCCCATCATCGGCCAAATGATGCCCATGCTATCAGCCGATCCATACACACAGTTGCTATAGTGCCTTGGCCCAGCTGACAATATCACACCACCAATTTTACTAGCCATCAGCCGACATGTTGAGGTCAAGCATCACAATGCATGGGCCCAGCTGTTAAAACCATCTCTCCATGAGCCTACCAGCTGAACATTAGACACAGACATGCATATTCCATCGGCCAACATCTGCTGGCCTGTGTGGAACAGTGTATTTTCAACATTGGCTGCATGTATAATACAGACAATGTGACTGAATGGGCTCATAGAGCAGGAAAACAGGACAATGGACTTTGCATGATTTTCCTGCATTATGCTGTGTCATGACAAGGCTCGCAAGTGCAAATGTGCAAGCCAGATGTGCAAATTTGCGAGATCGTGAAGACGAGGTGAGAGATATGATATGTCTTTGTCCAGTTTTCAGATTGACGCTGATTGTCCATGATTACAAATTTGTAACTAAGGCTACCATAGATTCATACTTGTCCAACCAGACCGAGTTCTGACTGGGCTTGAGATTGGAGGTCAAGTGCTGTTTGAGTGAGTGCAAGAGGTAGAGGGAGGGGGAGACGTGCATTTAACCTCTGTCCCAGCCTCGACAACCTTGCTCCTCATACCACAAGCGACAAAGACATTTGGATTATTATGAGGGCTAAACACCTGTGAGCTCTGAACTGAGGCAACTCGTCTTGTACGCTCTTCATCAACTCTAGGAGCTGGTTAGTAGCGGCTACTAATAATTTTTGCAAGTGTCTTCATCTGCAGGGAGTGACTCGTTTCCGATGTGGAGAGGCCTTGAGAGGGTTGATTTAACGAGGTTGATCTGGTCGTATTTGTCTGGGTGCTGGGATGTTATGCTTCTGGATGTAGCCCACCTAATCGTGCAAGTTTTGTGTCTCATTCTTCTTCTGCACGTTCGATGAGGTCGAGGATGGGGTGTCACTAATTCTGGGTGTGCCATACTTGGAGCAGACCGTCTGGACGGAAAGTGTGAGGGGCTCTATGGTTCTGGGATTTCGGGTAAAGGTATTAGAGTTTGGAACCCATTCTACTGCGGATGGTGCAGACCGGTGTGCTTGATATGCTTGAGGGAGGAATTTGTACAGAGGTCATGCCTTAACGTTCAACGTTGTTAAGCGCTGGCTTACGGATGCGACACAGCCACAACTTCAGGTCTTCACTCACCATCAACTCACCATCAACTTCTGGGCTATCGCAACATTTGCCGACTCGTGTTCGCAATAATTACCAGTGGATTTTTCATAGGCTGGCATGATGTGAGTCTCATTCCACGAGTTCTTTTCCTTAAGTGTCAAGTCTCACATCATTACATGGCGATTTGCATTCTAAAGGCGCTGACACTGATATGTGGAATTATTGCGCCATCAAATCGCCACAGATGGCACAGCAAAATATCAGTGTGCGGTTTCCAAGACCTTCACAGCAATATTTTGCCAGATTGACGAATCGTTGATTATCTGGTCTGAAGGCATGAGCGGTCTACAAACGAAAGACTTATAATAGTTAAAGGTAAATATTTTGTGCACTGCCCTGGGCCAACATAACAACAGTTGTCAGCCGACTGATTCCAGTTACTTGCATCATGAATCATGATCAAGGATTCCACCATGGGCAAAGTTAAAAAAAACCAGGCCCACCACAGTGCTACTGTAATATACAAGGTACATAGCCTTGAAATTTTAATAGAAGGAGACATGAAAGACTCGGAAAGTAGCCCGATTTTCCAGTACTATACCATGTTAGGGTTTCGGGAATTGGGATGAACATCATTTGATCATGACAGCGAGCAACGATCTTGTCTACCACTGATGATCTGATCCAACATTCCAGTAGTCGCCGAGGGCTCTCCTTCGAGTAGAGTCATCTTTGCTATTTCAATGTCCCGTAAGTTGTGTTACTTTTCTACCGGAATTGAAGCTGAAGTTTTATCTCATGGGCTTTATCTTATTTTCGACTTTTCCCACTGTGGGAGTGACGGACAACGCTTGCAGTTTTGCATCACAGTTCATGGCGCCTCTGGTACTTACCAGGTACAATCTCTGATCAGTTTAGAATGAAATTTCGCCTTTGGCTGTGCGTGCGCAGCATCGGTCACTAAATGCCCTATCAAACGCCCTACTTAAGTAGTACTTGCAGGTGTATCGCTCCACTCAGTACTTGCGGGCAAGTACCACAACGCGCATACTGCATACCGACCTTGTCCCGACATGTCTTCCCTACCGGTCTCAGACCTGACGAAGTTGCAGGCGGTCAAGGTGAGCAAAGGGCGGCTTACCTCGGATAAACTCGAGGTTAAACGTTAACGTCTTGTCCAATCTAGTACACCAATCGTGAGTGTCGTGGATCGTCCAAAAATAGAACCTGAACGACGGAATTGACCATTGCTTTTCAGTGGGCAGTCTTGCGATCCTCGTGAGTGTCAAACACATTTCTTGTGTTTCGACCTCAAATCTTTTTTGACGTTGCAGGCATTTGATTTTTGTATCACTTTTTCAGAAGAAGTTGAGGAGATATCTTTCTGCTCGCGAGTATTGCTCTGACCACTCTCCACAGGTGCAATGGACCTGGTTCAGACCATGGGATGTGACCCGTATCATATTCATCATTTCTCGATATTTGCCTTTTGCGGGTGTTGGAATGACTGCATATGGCGAGTGACCATCCGATTATCCTTATCTCGTGTCTTGATTATGGTCATATCTTAGACGCACTGCGTGTCAGCGACCAGGTAAGCTTGAATGGCGACTAATTCCTACCCTAAACTGATCGCATGCGGAAAGTGTGCCTCTACTCTGGAAGGAAATAGTGAGTCCTACCAAACGATTCAATTTTCATGCAAGTTGAACGATGAGGATGTCAGTCATTCACATCATAAGTATCGTTGCTGCGGAAGGTGCGCGTTCTGCATACATGTTGAGAGCGCAGTGGATCTCACTTCCTCGGCAGCCTTGCTGGTTATTCGGACCTGGGCATTCTGGCAGAAGAGTACAAGATTGCTGATCGGGTTATCGATTTATAGCGTGGTATGTGTTTTGCAGAGCAGAAATGATAGCACTAATTTTTATTGTTGGATAGTTGACAATTGCTGCCGCTATTGCTGTAGACCTTGTCCCTACGATGTTGATCCCAGGAGGTGAGTTCATTGGTACTTGTTCGTGAACGAAAGTCGTTCTAATATGACTATCAGAGGAGCCCCCTCTAGGAACCTGTTACTTTGAGAGCACACGCAACTCTGCGGTCGTATACATATTCTTGGCGTTATTCGAAAGCGGTCAGTGATCATCCAAAGCTATCTATCGGCCTTCTTACCCATAACAACATGGCAGTGATACTGCTCCTTACTGTGTATAAGAGGGTCCACGACTATAAAAACTCTCAGAGTGGAATCATAGTAACCCTATATCACGATGGCATGGTTTACATGCTGTCCATCCTCAGTGCGTGGAAACAGTCGGCTTTCTATATTATCGAGTAACGCGTTCACGGAAGCCATCACGCTCGCCAATTTTATCATCGGAGCTGCACTTCCAGTACGCGTCTGGTCTATCAAATCCTACGATTCGCTGACTTCCTGCTCCTTTCTGCAGAGCGCCTATAGCAATCTGTTTGACACGTACGTCAGCGGCTGCACTCTGACTGACTGCTGGTTGATCCCGAACCTACTGCTCTAGGCTACAGCTGGTCATTCACAGCGTCCTGGCATCACGAATTTTATTCCACCTTCGGCATAGCAACCAACGTGTGCACGAACCGTCCATGTCAATGACGACGCTAGACACTCAAGTAAGATATTTACGACCTGCATCGATGGGTGGGACGGGTTCTGCCAGTGCTAGTGAAGTTTGAGGGAATGTAGGTGTATGTGGAACCATCGACCTCCATTAAAATGAGACGCTTCTGCTTTTATTTGATGTATAACTCGATTGTGAATTATAGGGCAATGATACTGCAAGAACTCTTGGGATGAACGATATAGTGATTCCTTTGCGAGTGGTTTATGTTTCCTCCGAGAGCACACGAAGAGCTATACGCTGGGCAACTGGTCTATGTCTGCCCTGGTGCTACTTGGTGTCCTGCTCTAATTAATTTCCAAGGGAGACTTTTAACGGTTCAATCTTATTTGGTGGTGTTCACATAGATCTGGCTCGCAGTGCAGAGAACCTGAAAATCTTTCAGAAATGACTTCAGTAAATGGTATTTTATTCACCTCGCCAGGGTACACGTTATCGCAGGTGTTCACGTTTGGGTTGTTCGCGAGCAATGTGTTGACCTGGATACCAGATGCATCGGCAACGCTGAAACACGTGTCGCCGGCCTGCATAACATGGGTGACATTGCAATCCTGGCCTTTGATTCCAAGGCATAAAACCTACGACGATGAGCTCAAGTGCTTTGCAAGCGTCAAAAATGACTTACTTCTCCGGCTACCAAATTATTGCAACCGGAGTCAATAGTTTCGCTGTTGACTGCTGCCAGCTGGTATCTGCGTGCGGCGTACAATTCGATGAACAAATGAACGGAAAAAAGCACGATGATCATACGTACGTGGAAACGTTGTGTGCTGCAGAGATCGCGTTGCATGTATCTCCATATTCAACAGTTGCATTACGGTCACAACCAGCGGGGAGTCCGCGTTTTGCTGTTATAGTAGATGTTAGTAGAAACGAGCCTCGAAGAAGACTATTATTACTGACTCTGAGCAGAGGCAATGGCAGCAAGCGCAACGAGGCTGGCGATGAAGAATGGAGCGTGCATGCTATTCAGATGAAGAGGTTAAGAAATAGGCGAGTGATGATCGATGCATTTAAGCTGACTTTTCTAGCTGCCTTTAAGGAGGAACAGTACTGGTCGAGTCTGATGGCTAGCGTTTGCCATTTTTTGAGTCGTTGTTGGTGGAAACTAGGATACGAGTGAGTCTTGAAGCAGCGCAGAAGTTGCCGCGGTAGAACTGCCGCGGCGCACGGGGAAAAATTGAGTAAGTCATTGAATGTCAACATGTCCGAGATTGGCCGGTGACAACAGCGCCGGTAAGCAATAAAAAGCAAAAGAACGACTCAGAGGCTAATCCCCCGAGTTTGGTACAGCGGTGTTGCGGAGTAACTGACGTGTTCAGATAGACTTGGCCATGTAGCCTAATTAATGGCACTTCGTACTATGAGTGGCCCGGAGATGGATGCTGTAGAGACCCTCCTGATGTGAACAATATTTGGGAAGGCCCTGATTTTCGTCCTTTTAGTACCAAGTTGTACGGGTAGATAGAGTCCGATGTCACCTCGTCCCATCCATGACGCCCAGTAAGAACTTGCCGAGGACAGAATCTGTTGAGATTATTGGTGCTGAGGAAATCGACAATCTTCGAGTGCAACACATTGCAATTGCAGGACAGTACACATCACGATGAGTCAATCAACACCGTGTACGTCTCACGGCGGGACCGCGGCAATTCCCGGCGGGGTTTAGGCAATATCATTCAATCATTGCCCTCGTCCGAGGGTGAACGTCGAACCCGCAACTTGAATTGATCAGAACCATCAATTGAGCCTCGAGATGAATAATTCCAGTCAATCTTCCACACTGTCCATGGCATCTATGCCGCCATCTAGCTTTCCGAATGCTTCTGTCTATATGTCACAATCGTCGCTGCACGATTCCATTCATACTGATCCAAATTCACCAGAAGTGCTGAAGCAGAATGTGCAAATAGCGCTTGACCATGTATCAAGGATTCAATCACTGGCACGTAACTGCTTGCATGGCATGTAAGTTTCTCTACTCCTTTCATACTTATACGATGCTTATCTATTGTTAGACAAAGCGCATACCAACCAGGAAATAATCCCGCACACGCAACAGGCAAGTACGTTCATGTTTTTTTCTATATAACTGTGGCTTTACGCTTGAAATTTCCAGCTGAGCTGGCCGCACTTATGCAGGCACTTCGCACATTTGCTGAATTCCTTCGACAAACTGGTGTAGGCGCATACCCCATGCCACCCGTCCCTGAGTCTCAGAGTGCATCGTCGATACCTCCCACAGAGCAGCAACTGATTGATGCCACGGCAAAAGAGGTACAAGTGCTTTACGAGCGCCTGAAACGTATTCAAGAGAGCAATACCGTCGCTGTAAATTTACTTGGAGCCGCTGATACCGTCTCTCGTGCTCGTTAATCAACAGCGATGTCAGTAGTTTTGTAGCATCAGCTCAGCTGATAGGCGATGATTTGCAGATTAACGGAATTCAAGTGACTATGTTGTTTGAACTGGCCTGCACTGGTGAGTAGTCTATGCTAATATTTCGAGGATTACGTCCAGACGGTCGGTCCTTCACCCCATTTTATCATATTCTGTTGGCAGTCTGGTACTCACCAATCTCTGGGGGGATGCCATGTCCTCCATTTAGTTGCCTAACCTTTGGATAGATCGTGCTAAGAACTCGATGGCCTCGTCAACCAGCCTTACCCAGATTTGACGCCATCAAATGCGATACAACAACCGTATTTGCCACTCTAAGAAGCTGAAGTTTAATATCGACCTTGACTAGCCCTCTTGGAAGGTTAGGCGGGGAGTGCTAGTGAACGATCTGATTCTACGACTAATGCAAGTGGTAAATTTGAAAGCGAGTTTTACCTCTCATATGACGATCCAATCCGCTCATCCGTTTGACCTACACATCTGACCTGCGATCATCATGTTATTATACGCTGACAAGTCAGTTTGTCACCTGTTGTTTGGTTCGGAGGCTATAGGTAAGTAATGCCAAACAACCCAATTTGAGGAGTGAGTTAGGATTCTCCACGGTCGCCTTGTCCGCAACAACCCTCATGAACGAGAGAAGACACGGTGACCGGAGAGAGTACCGTTCAAGAGATTACCATAGACGAAGTGGTAAATGGTCTTCGTTACTCCTTAGAGATTCTTGACTGACCTTCTGTGTCAATGTTGATTACCACGCACTACGTCGACTGTGCTGGTAATGGGGCGACAACGCATTCACTTATGCTCATATTTATAACATGTCATGATATGCTCTCGCCGAACAGTGGGAGATAGAGGATGGAGTCGCTCAAAGTCGCCTGAAAGACGCCGCCACCATGACGAGAAAGAGGACAGAAGGACTCGTCGCACTAAACGTTCAAGGTCTCGGAGTCCATACCGCTCACACAGTCACAAGTATCATGACGATACAAATGACAAAGGAAAGGATCATCGCAACGTGAGATATTTACTGTCTTTGTTCAACATTGTTTTAACACTGCTTTAGGACCGAGACAAATACCACGAGCCTTCCGAGAGTCGTGGGCGAATCAGAAGTCGCAGTGTCGTACGTTATCCTCTATTTATTTTTTGCTGAGTTGTCATTGACCTTTGAAGATGTGTGCATAAATGCATTACAGACCGTTGAACATCGACGCCGATCTTCCTCGCCTTCGCCAAACTCTGCTGTATCGATGTCATCCGAGGAGCGTGGTGGCAGTAGTCGACATAGGTTGCGTGAAAAATCGCCAAGTCGCCGATCTCGTTCTCGTTCTCGCTCGGATAGTCGCGATATTCGCAAGTCCAAGTCAAAGCACAGAGAGAAAGACCGAGACAAGAAGCACAAGAGGCATAGGGACAGGGATAATGCAAAGGACAAGGATGAAAGGCGCAGCGTTCTAACAGGCAAGAAGGTCAGTTTTCTTTGTCCAGATGGGCCTCAGACTTTCTGATATAATTGTCTTAGATCAAGTTGAAAGTTCACAAGGATGCCAGAGATCTCGAGATGGATGCGAATAGACAGAACTTGTTGCAATTCTTGAATTCGACATGCGAATGATACAGTCATGTATAGTGTTATGGACACTATTCAATATTTTGTAGGAAAGTTTTCTGCTCTACTTTACAGGCTCCAGAATGCCGGCGTGCAAGGAATATTACATAAACACCCCTTTCTCCAATGACGACTTTCAATTTTACTTGTCTCCTTATAACTTCGTCATCGTCGAAATCCTCGACTTGAGCCCACAATGTTACTCGATCCACTCAATGCTGTCAAAGAAGATCTCAAGCAGAATGGTATCATTCCAGACGTTATCCCTGTTGACCCTCCTTTCCATCCCAAGGCTCTGCTCGTTGTGACCTTCCCCACTAACCAAGAGGCTCTTCTGGGGAATACGCTCACAAAAACGGACACCGCCGACGAACCAACTGTTGCGTTCACTCCAATGCAGGTGCCGGATGAGATTGATGAACCCACCTATACGCTCGTCATGACAGACCCAGATGCACCATCCAGGAAAAACCCAAAATTCAGAGAGTGGCGGCACTGGGTGGTCAGTGTCTCCATAGACTGCAGAATTTTTAATTAATTTCATTTATAGGTCACTGGTGTGAAAGCTCCTCCGACGTCGTCCATTGAGACGGACAATCTTGATGCACTACTCACCAAACCTGCCGTGACGCCCTATTACCCTCCCACTCCTCCCCCGGGAACTGACAAGCATCGTTACGGTGACTCAAATTTTATCATAGTAGTTGCTATATGTATTAATTATAGTCGCAACAGTACTTTTGTTATACCAGGAGCCCAGTGCGGACTTCTCGATTCCTGCCGACGCCCCCGAACGCAAGAACGAGCCTGCAGATAGAAAGAACTGGAGTGCAGCGAGGTTTGCTAATAAGCATGGGCTGAAGCTAGTTGGGGTTAATTATTTCGTTGTCGTGGGTGATTAAGATGTCCCAAGCGAGGTAGCTTTCCTTGGATGGTTGAGGTGATGCCAGATTGTACCATACTGATTTGTTTTCGAAAGTCTCGATCTAACAAGCTCTAACGCAATTCCATGATGCCTTCACTAAAGCACCGACGTTTGCTGACCAAAAATCTCTTCCCCATTGGACTCTGGAGGCCTCCATCTCTGAGGTTAGCGTGAGATAGAGGCCGTCGCGTTTACATTAGTAGTGAATAATTATCCTGAAGTCGCACTAGTCTGAGAAGTCCGACCATGGAATAAGTATTTCCTCAACACAACGTAGGGTGACAGTTTCTTTAATATGTGCTAGAGCTGCGAGGAAACCAAACATTGCATTTTGATCATTGAACGTACGATCCGTTCAGATCCCACGAAAACTTTGGTCATTCATGTCAATGCTTCACCCAGGGCAATTCAATAAAATGCTAAAGGGACAATAAGGCTTGAATCGACGAAACTACAATTGAATTGCAATAGGACTCTAGGACAGTGCACCACCTCGAATTTGTTGTCTCTTGGTGTAGCAGTGTAAGGTATACGGAAGCGTTCGATCAGATCGCGTAAAAGGAAGCAAGAGAGAAACTCGCGAAGATATCCGAAAACATGAGTTCAAATAGCATATAGGCTAACACATGAGTGCTGACCGTCAAAGTGGGAGTGCTAATGTGTTCATTTGCGGAGCACATGAGGATCCACGGCTGGTGACAAAATTAGTACTTTCCACAACTGGCGCCAAGAAATAGGGTTTCCCTGTGGCTCCATGAGTTCGCATTCAGAAACGAAAACTGAAACGAAACTTACGAGGTCTCGAGTCATCAAGCAGAAGCTTCCATCAGTTTCAGCGTAGCGGAAGTTCTCGAGCTCGAGCCAGCCTTTAAATGCGATATTCCGCTTATCATAACCGCCTACGCGCAAACGAAGGATCTCCCCTCGTTCATCCTCACCGGTAGGTCCGTCTTTGTGCTTGACACCGAGGGCAGTCAAGGATTCCTTTATGAGTTGCATCATGATCCCAGGCCCCAGAGAAGTATAGAAACGAGTAAGGTTAGGCGTATATCTGCGACCTGACTGTGTTTGTGACTGAAGAAAACAGCGAGTTAAAAATGTAATTAAAATGTGTATCATTGGGAAACATACAAATAATAGAAGTGATTGAGTGAACTGAGATTGATGAGTTGCAGAGAGCATGATCTCGTCTCCATCTTTATCTTTGTGAGTGTCGCTACATATCAAGTGAATATTAGCCTCATGCTGATAATTCTGAGAACGTACATAGAGATCGCAACATCCGGCATCGCATAATTCAGATCACCGTTCGTTCTCAAAGACTCGGTCAAGTGGTCTGCAAGCGCGAGTACGCCTTGCTTCGCAATTTGACTTGGTCTTGTGCACCACGGGTGAGCGAACACTTCGGCAAGTGTCATACGCTTCTCTGGCTCGACGGTTAGGAGGCCACAGATAAGTGCTTATGGGCACATCAGCGCGTATAATCACAAAATTGCATGATCCCGCTTACCCAGGGCTTCTGTTCCTATACGATCCCAAGGGGGCTCGTCGAATATCTCGCCCGAGAGATACTGACAGAACTCTGACGACTGTGCTGTGGATTGATCCCAAGGGGTATCTGGGAGAAGCGTTAATTTACGAGTTTATGGAAATGATTGGAGCTTCGACGGACTTCCTACGAGAAGGGTAAAAAGAATGATACCAATCCCCCAGACATCGATGGGCTCTGCTTCATACGGTGTTTCGTAGTGAACCTGAAACAATGTTGTAAGTGCAATCCGAGAATGTGTAAATATGACGCACTTCTGGGGCCATGTACGGCAAGCTGCCACACAATTCGTTCAATTTCCTTGTCTTGCCGCTTTCCTTGAGTTTATAGACTGCTGCGAGGCCAAAGTCTGATATTTTGAGGGTACCAGCTACATCAAGCAAGATATTTTCCGGTTTTAGATCACGGTGACAAACTCCTTCGCGATGAATGAAGTCCTGTGATTCGGAAATGTTTTGTTTCCCTTGTATGTGGATGATCAGTGTTGGTTTCTCACCATCCCTGCCAGTAGCTGGCCGAAATAGTAGTGTGCCACATTCTCTCCAATCCCCACATCCGGCGCTGATGAGTTATGAGTTGATGGTTGGATACTTGATCAGTCAACGAAGCGTACCGATCTTATCGAAGAGGTCTCCTCCTGCAGCAAGCTCTAGCAGCATGTAAATTCCAGGGACATAGCAATCTTTATATTTGCGCTCCACCACAGCGGCATGTAGAAACTCCAGGACGTGCTTGTGCTTGAGGAGTTTATGAAGTTTCATCTCCTTTTCGACAGCCTTGCGTTCCTTCTCGGTAGTCTGCTCCTTAATAAATATCACTTTGCATGCTGCCACTTGATGGTTCTCTATATTGACAGCTCTGAACACGCTGGAGAAGGTACCTCCACCGATTTGTTGAACGAGTTCATAACCTGCAATCATGTCATTTGTGGACCTGGCCCAGTAAGAGAGAACATACCTGAAATTTTGGGGTACTTCGGAGCCATGTTGATACAAGATGTCTCTGTCAAGCGCAGAGCCCAACGATATTAATATACATGATGATTAGTGGTGCAAACAAAAGGGCCTTCCTTTGTGACGAACGCGAAGTGACTATCAGCACGTGTCCTGTGACATGCCTATACATACCATACGTCACACACTTTTTGCCTTTGATTTTGACGAGGTTCTACATGTATGAGCTTAAGGACGAGGCTTATATTATCCTCGCATAAATGACACATCGCGAAGCGTGAGGGAGAGGTGTACAGCTAATATTGTACAAGAAATATTATCACAGGCTATTCTAGATGAGAGTGAGGCAGTAAAATTCTGATGCTGTGGCAACAAGCGCTTGACATTAGACAACCTGACCCTGCTCACGTCTAGTTTAGTCTTCTATTGCAGTTGATGCTGAGGTCAATACAAGCTCGGTCTTGATCAGTCGCAATTGGTACATTGAAAAAATGAGTCTACTTTGTCGTCGTATTGGTTAAATCATAGGATGATCAATCGGGGGAGGTAAAAGTACAATAACAGAAGATCGCAGATTGTGTTCAGCATCAGTCCTGAGCGATTTGGAACTCCAAGAGCTTCGTCCCTACAAGATCATAGGTTTGGGTGAGCACTAGACCAACACTGGCCCTGCAAATTATAACAGATCAGACATCGTCAACGCATCTAGGCACGGAAGGAACTTGCCCAATCATCTTGAATTCGTTCAAGGTTCGCTCCTTGCCATTCAAAACAAGCCACATGACCATGTCGAGTTGGTGTACCGTGTGACTACCGAAGTTCAATAATGTATGTTCGGGCGCCTTATGATCCTGCAGAATGTATGGTTACACCAGAGCCACCAAACTAACCTCTAAACTCACCTCACTAAACTCATTAGCCCCTACATCGGGCTCTTCGAATGGGCGCGTGAGCACGCACTCATCTATCGCAGGATATTGATTCTGGAGAAAACACCGCGTTGAAATGCAGCTGACTTACGAAGCAACACTCGGCTGTTTGGTCCCATTACTTTGCGAATGTTACGGAGAATCACCCTTGATGCATCATCCGGCCAGTCGTGAATTATGCTCCTCAACTACATCGGAACATTGAGCAACCCACATTTCATGGAACAAAATGCACTCACGTAGTAAACGTCCTTTCCACCAACGGGTGACCCCTCGAAGAAATCCAACGGCACGAACTCTACGCGCCCATCGAGCAGTGCCTCAGGAGCATCTTTCTCCCATGCCTAATCAAATATAAATACAACTTGTCAGCTGGTAATGCTCGGACTCACATTTCTTGACAGCTGTATAGTTTCTGAGAGGTCCTGATTGGTTATTCTGAGATGAGGAAACATTTTCGCCAGAGGAATAGACATTGCTCCGATTCCAGATCCAACATCCACCACAGAGGATACATTGTCCCAAGGGTAATCTTATGGCCTGCTTCAGTCATGCCGACAGTTGACAAAAAATGCGATTGCTCACAATGCAGCGCCGCAGAGGAATTCTGTACCTCAGAATAACCCAGCATGCTTCTGGCAAATATCTGTGTATAAGTCATGTGAGCCGTCAGTCAGTTGTGAGTGGATGAATCCGCACGCACATCGCGTGCCTCGTCCTGTACAATACTGTAAGGCATGGAAGACCAGTATGATGACTAAAACTCACGTCCATCTCCCAGAAGTTGTTGTTGATTTTTTCTTCTTTTCCGAGAGCAAATGTTCGAGGTGTTTTTTCAACCTTGAAAGATCTTGCAAAGTCTTGGTCGATCATAGAATCGTAGAGAACCGCGGCATATTTGGGGAAATCTCGCTGAGTTCTTACATAGAATGCGACGTTGTTTGTTGACTTGAGCACGAGGGAGAGTCTCGTGTTTGCGAATACGTCTCGCTCAACTGTTTGACACAGAGGCTTCAGAGAGAATTATGAACCGACACCATGATGCACAATACCTTCTTTGAAGCAACCCTTAAGGGCCAAATTTCGCAAGACGCGTGTGATCTTGGTCTTATCGAGGTTGACTGCGTTAGCCAATACATCCACACTAAGACCTTCTGGGTGTCTGTCCAAGATGTCTGCAATACGTGACTGCACGGCGACATCTGTGCACGCCCAGGTGTAATTATTAACGAACTAGGCAGATGAGCGACAAGGCATATAAGGCCAACTATGATCGACACTTACATTGAACACCGTGTGTTGGGGGGGAGCCAGTATCGTGTTAAATTGCTCGCATGCACCCTCGAGCAGCCTGATTGCCTTTCTGAGGGCAAGTGCATCTGTAGCGAAGTCGAGAGGGTGGAAGGCGCCTGTGTCAACACCTGGGACACCATGTCCGGTGTTCTTGTATTCTGCCATTGCTTTGCGTGCAGAGGAGTTGATGATGTCCAAGAGGACTTCAACCTTGACTTCGTTCGGCTCTGTCATTGTTGTGAGTGTGCGTGATTCCTCATCAACTCACCAGAATTTATATTCCTTGACAAAATACGTTATCCATCTGGTTTCTCATGGCGAAGACGTTCGATAATGGGTATCTGTGGTAGATTGAAGCTAAACCTAGGGCGACCATTCAAAAGACCCACTTCCAAGGACACCGGTTGTTGTTCATGTGATTTAAAACGGCATGATTAGTACGAGCGCAAGACACATCTTACCTGATTGTCAAACGTATTACAAACAAGTAGTAGATAAGCCAAGGTTCCACGTTCAAGTTGAATGTTCGGTTATGATGCTGTCGTTCGTAACTTGCTATACTATAATCAGCAAGCGATAACCACCCTCAGGGTTGTGAGGTTATGCATGTCCGGTCACCGGTGAGCTAGCCATAGTTGTCAAAGCACCACACTGACCCTATACATCAGTAAATGCGAGTTCGCACAAGGGTGTTCAAAAGCGCTCACAAAACGCTCATGTGGATATGCTTTTTAGTTAGCTCAGGTCGTCATCCGTAAACACTTCGTTTTTAGTTAAATTAGACACTGGCGACATCCGACGCGAGATCTGTAGTTATCGGTTCGATTATCAAAAAGATTTGTGATCTATTGCATTATCTGTACACTACTGCTATCTAATCCAAGTCAGATGACGACGAGCTGTTGTCTCGTGTCTGCGATGGTCCAATATCTAATATGTACTGCAGATATTGTTCAAACTCGGCCTTCTCTGCAGGAGTGAGATTATCAATCGCCCTCAGTATTTCTTCGAACTTGGCTTGATGGAATTGTCCACTGAAGGGGTCAACATTCAATCCCTCCCTCCCTTGTTCATGCAACGAGCAGTGGGTAGCTGCGCCTGAAACGGCCATGATATACTTGATGGATTTGAGCGGGGAATCACCGAGAAACGACGCGTATCCCCAGTACCAGATGAATCGGATGACATTGCTCATGATGAAACGATTCTGAAATTTTGTGATGACAATTATATTATCATTCTGCGAAAAACATATTCAGTAGAAGTTATATTCGAGGACTGCTCAACGTACCTCGTCAAAATAGAAGTCATGCATGAAGAGTAACGGATCAGGTCCGTTTATAAAGCGATTGATCCTGGTAGTCCGATATCGCCCTGGTGGCAAAGAGTGCCCCCGCGGGGGGAACAATTGGAATGCATCGCAAACACCCTCACGTGCGAAGTCGACCATTTTACCGCGTGTCACCGATAATGTATTGCCGACTGTCTTACGGTGTGCGTTGGTTATAAACTCCTCGAAAACCGCTGCGAAATTTATTAGAAAATGATATAACAATAGGATACAAAAAGCTCACCATCAGGCCTGAAGAAATTCGGGACAGATTCTTGGATGATCTCATTGATGAATCTTTTCTTTCGTTTTCTAGAGCACGTCATAGCGTGCTTTGAGAATACGAGCCGTGGGACCCTTCCTTTAGCGCCGTTCAGCGTCTGTTTAATCACCTCCGGCGTCAAACGAATGCGATTTTTAGGCAGTGATTTCGTCGTTCCGTGTCCGGAGTCACTGGGCGTATCGTGCGGCTCAGCGACAAGACTGGGTTCTTGCACTCCGGTAGCAATAGTGGCTGTTTGTGGTGCGACATACGGTGTTGCAGGCATGTTGGTGTGTCTGAGTGTGCATGTCGTTGTTGTCCTTGCATACTTTAAACCGGGATCAATGAAACAAATAAAAAAACTTACATGTACTACTTCAGAGGTAGGTATTTCCCTGCGACGGATCATTGACAGATCTGAAGCTGGAGGAATCAGACCGTCGCCTCGATCTACGATACTGATACCTCCATCAGGGGCACCCTCGACCCATCGAGACACAGGCGCGATGCCTTGTCGGTAGTTGGAAGGACCTGCGTCGAGTGGGGCATCTCGGACATTGTAGTAGTCCTGTCCATCAGTGTGTGAAGACGCGCCCTGTGAGTCTCCGCAAAATTGCTGCTCCTGCTCCTGCATGTTTCCAAACGACAATGGGCCCTGTGCATCTCCAAACAATGTTGCGCCCTGCGAGTAAAACAATGGCCCCTGCTCCTGCCCATCTCCAAATGATGACGAGCCCTGCTCCTGCCCATCTCCAAATGACAACGGGCCCTGTGCATCTCCGAATGATGTTGCGCCCTGCGAGTAAAACGACGGCCCCTGCTCCTGCCCATCTCCAAACGACGACAGGCCCTGTGAGTAAAATGAAGGTCCCTGCTCCTGCCCGCCTTCAAATGAGCCATACGATGACTGGCCTTGAGTGTCATCATAGGCCTGTTGCAGCGCACCTGCGTGACTTATTAGCGATCAGTGGACTTGATCCTCCATGTACTCACCTGGCCACCCTGGTACAGTCTGCTCATAGGGATCAAAATCAAATGCTGACATTTGAGGTCGTTCTGCGGGGAGATTGAGTTGGTCAGCGACTGGCAAACCAGATGGATTAAGGCCTGATCCCCTGGCTGGCTTAGGGACGACAGCTTTTCCCTTGCGCTGTGAGCCACGTCCACTTGGCCTCCAGGTGGTGGTCAAGAAGAAGGAGGTAAAAATCGCACATTCGAAGATGATGTGCGCCGCTTGATTCATTTCCATCTTACATGACGAATAGTAAGACACCAACTTGATACATAGATATACAGACTGGGGAAAATGAAATGCGTGAAGGTCGAAAAAGGAGATTTATAGAAAAAACTACCGGAGGGGTCAAAGTGTGTTGATTGAGTTTGAATGGACGATGGGGAAAAGGAAGTGTTCTAAAAGTAAACTGAATTGAAGGGTAAAGGGCAGTGTTTCAAGAAGGGCGAGAAGCAACATATGAATGGGGCGATCTGAAACGGCGGGCACTTATCTACTGCGATATGGATCAGTGTGAGCAAAACGACCTGACAATGACAAGTACAATTACATACCATGACTCGAAGGGCATAAGTACATATAAGGAAAGATTGGACGTTTGCAACTACCCATTGATTTGATCATCGTCATCATTCATGCTATCGTCTGTACCAGAGGATTTACCGACAAATTGGGGCAAGTGGGAAGACTCTCCCATGGAACCCAATATATCTGCTTGGACACGTGATCCTAAATGCTTTTTGAGAACATCCGCTTGGGCAGCTACAGCCCAAAGTATCTCGCAATCATCGTCATAAATGGCTTGAAGGTAGTTGATATCGTCCTCAAGTTCTTCTTGTGACCGGTCAGAAAAAACGCTTCTGATCCATTTCAACTCTTCATCGCTGGAAAGGAGGCGATCCTTGTTCTCATGATGAAGTCCATTGAGAAACGTTGTGTACCGTTCTGATGCCTCGAGCTCCCATGTCGTCATCACAAGACGTTGGCATGCAGCTTCTTGGCCAGTGAGCTTGGATTTGAACAATTCGTACAAAGTTGCAAGGCTCAAGTGTGAGAAGCCTTTGGAAATTGCTTCCTCTCGCTTTTGACCTATGAATTAATCTGCAGAAATATTTAATGATGAGGAACATACCTCATGAATTTCTTCGGCCGTGAATTCTGGTTTAAATCCTTGCCCTGATACACGAGCTGCAAATCGAAGCTCCAGTGGAGCTGGATGGGAAGTGTATGGAATGTTTTTCTTTGACATTCGCTCGATTAGATGCTGACCACGACGGGGAGGAGATACAGAGATTTTGGTGTAAGGCTTTCCAGGCTGCCAGGAAGAAGATTTGAGGCGAGAGTGCGAAGGAGATTTAAGGTGTCTGTACAATATGCTCCGCCTTGCATTCGGAGACTTGGGTACATTATACAATATACTCTGCCTTGCCTCATGGGGTTGAGGCACCTCATCAACTGGGGAGAGGGGAACACTGGGAGAACCTGCATCAGAACCAGAGCCTATGTCAGATGTCATCAAATGAGGAGAGTTCAAATAATTTGTCTTCTTATTAAAATCAAATGAGATTGGTTCAACCCGAGTCGCAGAACTCGAGTTAGTGGGGGCAGGACTGCTTGATCGAGGAGGAGAGGCGATAGGAGATGAAGGCGCAAATTCCATCGTCTGCTGGGCAACTTACTACCGCAGGCTGTAGTATGGCGTAGAGATGCGTAGTCTGCGGACTTTGAAAGACTTGTCAATTCCAACAACTGCAAATTATACACTGAGGGCAAAGTCAAAGCTATACTACAATGTGAGTACCTTCTGTTGGCTCCATTATGATACTGATGTGCACATACATCTAGCATGTTATGTCCCAACTTGGGAGATTTTTCATCCGTCGAGGCGCTTATCCTGCATCTTAATTCTGAGTCTACCTGTTGGCCATCCGAAGTGCGACCACAGGACTTACCTGTCCCTCCTGTATTCCGTTGATGTGGAAGCGATCGAATGCCTGCCACTGGTACTTGTTATCTGAAAGCTGGATACATCTTCGGCGTCGGCAGAAATATGCTCGATAGGTTGGAAGATGATCCATATGTGTATCGGCGGAAGATAAACCGTTACTACCCTTTCCAAGATGAAGGCGAATGGGAATTAGGGAAGTTCTTGGTTGAAAATCTAACCCAAACCCAAATGATCAAGTTCCTGAAATTGAAATGGGTAAATGTCCAAGCTACATCTACAACTCTTATTCAAGTTCTTTCGCAGTTTAACACTCGTGAACGACCATCTTTCACTACGAAAGACCAACTATTAGACTGGATGGACTCACTCCCTTGTTTTATGGAGTGGGAAGTATCCAAAATTGAGTTTTCGGGCTATAAGACAGTCCATCCTGTTGAGCTCATTTGGCGTGATGCCCTAGAGGTCGTCAAACAACTCTTTGGGGACCCGATCTTTGTGAATCATATGTCCTATACTCCTCACATCATTAATGTTGGAAACCAGTGTGAATATGGAGATTATATGAGCACTGATATGGCATGGAAAATTCAGGTTGGCTTACTCTGTCAGTCTATTCCTCGCTCAACCACAGATTGACTTTGTGAATTTCTAGGACTATCTCCCTGTCGGTGCAACTCAAGTGCCGATCATTTTGGGATCCGATAAAACGCATGTAACGCAAATCACTGGAGGACTCGAAATGCACCCAGTCTTCATTACTATCGGCAACATTGATTCAGAGGTTCGCTCCAAGGCAACCTTACGAGCTTGGCGATGTATTGCTTATATGCCAATCGCAAAGTTCCGCGTGCACCCGGACTATCAAAGTATTCTACAGGCGCGGCTGTGGCATAAGTGCATGGATCTCGTTCTTGCTAATCTCAAGGCTGCAGCGGCAGATGGATGTTTCATGCCTGACCCTTCCCGACACATTCATTACGTTTTTACACCACTCGTCTCTCATGTATGCGACCTGCTGGAGGCTTCTATGATTGCTGCAGTCGCAAAAAATGCATCCCCCGTGACTTTGGCAGTGCAACAGGATTTTGGCGATGGAACCCTCCATCCCCCCCATACTGGAAAGCATACGCTGCAACTTCTTGTTGACGTATCCCGCCAAGTTGATCCTTGGGATCTGGATAAATTTCAGAAAGCGGCCAAAGCTGTCAACCTGTCCGGAGTTCACATGCGCGATTGGCCCTACGTGTGTCCATCTGTCTTCCTCGCTGGTGAAATCCTACATACATGCTTCAAATTTTTCGCTGACCACCTGCTCAAATGGACCAAGGAGGTTGTAGGTGCTCATGAACTTGATAACCGCTTCATTGTCCAGCATAAGCGGGTCGGCACACGTCACTTCGCAAAAGGCGTCACACATGTCAAGCAAATGATGGGCCGTGAATACAGAGAAATTCAACGCACCATTGTTGCATCAATTGCAGGTGCTGCTCCACCCCAATTTGTTCGCTCAATCTGTGCCATCATGGAGTTCATTTACCTCGCACAGAATCCGGTTCACTCGCCTGCAACACTTCAGTCGATGGAGCAGGCTCTTTCAGACTTCCATTCGTTCAAGGGCACTATTATCGAGGCCGCAGCAAGGAAGGGGAAGAAGGGCATCAAAGAGGATTTTTTTATTCCCAAACTCGAGCTACTGCAAAGCTTCAAGGGTACAGTCCAGCGATTAGGCACTTTGATGCAGTTCTCGGCCAATACAACAGAGCGCTTGCTGATCACACATTGTAAGGATCTTTTCTCCCAGACGTCTCGCCAAAGCAAAGACTTCATGGAGCAGTGCGTGCGGCTTCTTAACTGCCAAGAATCCATGGAAGTTTTCGACCTGTATGCCCTATTGACTTCTCGTGGGGTGCCATTGGTCAATGCCATGCATGCCGAGGAGGAGGAGGTTGCGGTAACTAACCCTGCACTCTTGTGGGTTTCCCGTGTTCTTCCCGACGAAGTCAAGTCGGTTCATGGTCCCCGACCAGTCCGTAACCATTTCCTTAAAGGCATCCTCTCTGGAGACGCACGGACCGCTTTTCAAGTGAATGTCACTCCAGACTACAGATCAATGTTGCCAACTGAAATATGCACAAAATACACGCTCCCCAACTTCAATTGTGCACTCGCCAACTTTATCGCGCGTTCATCATCGTCCAGTGGCGAACATGCCTGCTGGGACCCCAGATATGGGCGCTACCATGCTTGGAACAAATTTCGGCTGCAACTTCATTCAGCCTTCCAGCAACACGTCATCATGCCAAGCAGAGTCGTGCAAGCGCACCCGCCAAGTGATGATTTTCCCTTTGGCAATTGTGACACTGTTCTCATCGATGCCATGGGAATTAATGGCAAAACGAGTATGTATATTCTATGCGCCTACATTCTAGCACTATTAATATCATATACAGCAAGTCGTGTTGCACAGGTTCGACTGGTTTTTCAACCGGTGGCTCGACGAGGCTCCAATCTAGAACTACCATCTTATCTATCTGACCCACTTCTCTACATCAAATTTTTCCGCTTCGTTTCCAGTCCTGATGACCAGCCCAAACTCGCGATGTGGACTGTTGAGCACGCATACACGCAGGATCAAAACGGCAACCGTCATAGAGAGGGGGCTGTTGTACGAGTGACGGATGTAACACTTGCAGTTGAACTCATACCATGCTTCGGTGAGAAAGTGGCTGGTGATGTTTCATCAACCACTTGTTTGGAATGTTACGAGTGTTTCTTTCTGAACAACTTTGCGGACAAAGAAAGCTATCATACATTTAGTACTGAATTTGTGTAGATAGCGGCTCGATTAGCTTGATCAATTGTATTGCCCATCTATCGCATCTTATCAGCAAAAGATAATCGGATTTATGTTTTATCAGCCAGATGCGGTGAGTAATATTGGTGTTCAGCATCTCCACCAATCGCGTGAGTTCGCTAGTGAGGTCGTAAGCGTTCGTAAGTGTCCGTAACGCGCGTAAGCTAAGCGTTCATTTCAGTCGTTTTGCAGATGTAGCTTATGTAGACGATAGGACGCGCGTACCTGTAAACTCGCATCACTTGCTTGCAGACCGAGACTCGGGAAGCATGAATTGAACTTTGGCAAGGAAATCACCTATCATAATTTAAACTTTCAAGTTCGATGGGGTGTTATTTTTAAACAAAGTTTGTGAGTTGAAAAAGTCCTCGCACAGCTGTGGAGAAACTCCAAAGAACCGGGTGCCTAACCATGATGGACTTTGTTCACATCTTTAAAGATACCGTGATCTTGAGTTCTCCGCTGCGATAGGAGAAATGCACTTGCCAAAAACTGTCCAGTGCGACTATCAAATGTAGCCTAGTGCGAGCGAGAATTAGGTTTAGTGCATTATGTAGAACCTGAGCTAGAAACTTACTACCTTTCTTTCGGTTTACTATCGTATGGTCCGCTTTTGATACAACAGATGATGTGGAATGCATCGACCTCTGTAAGGAATCGCTGCGCAACCTTGAAGAGCTGCACATTATCATAATGTAATATTGTCGCTCACAATATTAATTATGTGACTTGTCACTTGAGGGATGTTCAATTCTAAAATGTCGTCGTCAATGTCGACTTGACCTTACGGCTGTCCTCTCGTAAATACTTACGTGGACCCTGAACCTTTCCTGATTTAGTCGTCAAACCTTGCGTCTACTGCACTCTACATCCTTCCTTGCAATTGCTGTTAGAGCCCAATTTCACTACTCAAAGCTTTTCATGTTTATTGCGAAATCTACTTTTCACAGAGTATCCTCCTAATCCTATTCCCAGTAAACCATTCTATGTAGTATTGCTCAATAATGTTTAAATCTTTCCCCAAATCAATGATTCAAAAGTATCATGAATAAATGTTTAGGAAAATTACTACTCGTACATGTGAATGTTCAGGTAGCTAACCTAGGCTCTATACAGCGAGGATTGGGACGAGGATACTCTGGGATAAGGTGTAGAATGCCTCCCATGCGAAGGTTTAACCGACACGGTAGCGGCTAAATCAGGAAAGGTTCAGGGTCTGCGCAAGTAGTTTACGAGAGGACGGCCGTAAGGTCAAGTCGACATTGACAATGACATTTTAGAATTGAACATCCCTTTGGAAGCAAGTCGGGTAGACCCGTCGCTTCTCCATCTTCTGATAATCATGTTCATTTCTGGTGACCCTCAGGTTGACAAATCGACCTGGGCCTTCCATTGCTCAGCTCTGCCGATATTAAATGCCACTATCTACATACATGTAACAAGCACATTCTGAGTGGAGTTCAGGATAAGATGTCATCAGATCAGGCAGTGCCCAAGGAAGAGAATTTAGAAACCGGCACCGGTGGCATGTTTCTGTTGATTTCCTGTCCTTTTGTTATTTTATTTCCGGTTTTTTTTTGCTGCTAAGCCCTGAAGTTTCCATTTCAAAGGAGTGTTTTTGTGCTTGACGCTTATAACACAAGTCGAGCGTGCTTCGTGCCATAGATCCTCGCACTCAACACAAAGCCCGTCACCATTCATTCCCCTTCCTCCTGTATTCTACAAGCGGCACGATATTGGCAAACCATAGCAAGGCGAAATCACTAGATAAAATGCTATGGGAGGAAGCGCTTGTCGACGCCCAAAAAATACCATGACACAAGCTCAGGCAAGGTCCTGACTAGTGCTCACTTTGGAAATACGTAGGCCATCGCGAGGATTCGTCTCATGTTGGATATCAGTCGAGTACATGTCGCGCGACACCACCATATCAAAGTAATTGAAGCCTTCCAGATGATGCTCGCGAAATCGGCCAGTACTCACAGCATGCAAATATGAAGTTCTCCTCAACTCCTTCCTCTGAAACTGCGCGACAAGTCCATCTGAATCTGAAGCAGAAGGTGTCATTCGAAAGGTCGTAAATGTTCAGCTTGACTCCTTACCACTTCGTCGTGCTTGACACAAGTACCGGACTCTAGAAGCGCAGATGAGCGCCTTCAAATTTACCATTAAGTACGATATTCTGTCAGCTGCGAAACGGTGCTGTTACCATGATGCTGCATATGCGAGAGGACTCGAATCAGAGCATGGAATCTTATCAAAGTGGTCTCCCCCTGCAGCAAGCTCTAGCAGCATGTACATTCCAGGGACATAGCAATCTTTAGATTTGCGCTCCACCACAGCGGCATGTAGAAACTCCAGGACGCGCTTGTGCTTGAGGAGCTTATGTCGCGTTCCTTCTCGGTAGTCTGCTCCTTGATAAATATTACTTTACATGCTGCCACTCGATGGTTCTCTACATTGACAGCTCTGCAGACGCTCAAGAAGGTACCTCCACCGATTTGTTGAATGAGCTCGTGATCTACAATCACGTCATTTGTGAACCTGGCCCAACAAGAGAGAAGAATGTACGTGAAATTTTAGGGTACTTCGGAGCCACGTTGACACAAGAGGTCTCGAGCTCTGTTAAGCGTAGTCGAAGGTTTCATTTTTGACAGCTAATTGGGCAGTGACGATGACGGAGGAGTAGGGTTTGGCGGTGGCACATTCGATCGCGGATCAGATAAAGGTGTGGCGGGTCCTGGACGGCGAAGCAGAATAAGCGGCATCAGCGTGCGCCTGCGCATTGGCCCTGGCTGCCTTTATATCCTTCATTTTCTGTTTTATGGAATTCGCTCGCTGCTGCGCAACCTGAGCATCAGCCATCGCATCCATCTCCGCCTTTAACTCAGCATTCAGCTTAGCCATTTGTAATTCGTGTTTTGATTTCTCCTCTTCGCGTTGTATTTGACGTTGCAGATCCTCTTCTTTTAGTTTCTGCTCCAGTTCGAGTTCTCGTTTTCGATTCTTCCTGGCACGTCGGGCTTCCTCGACACAAACCGGGCAAGAGCGTGGCTTTGATTGATGGCATTTCCACTTCAACTTGTGATTGACAGGACACGTGCCCGAGTACGGGTGTTGACACGGCATTTTTGAATGGTCTGAGATCTGGTGACACTTTAGTGGGCAAGGATGGATGCCGCAGTTCAACGTGGTGTTACTAGAGATAGTGTGAGTAAAAACAACACTACCAATTTCCAAAATCTTACCATATTTCTGCGCATCCACCGTCCATCCACCGTCGGGACAGAAAGTATCAAATTCGGACGCAGATTTGATCAGGACCGTTCGATCCGGGTGTTGTTCACTTTTTTTTTTTCTGTGTCCAATTTTTGTCCTATTGAGAGTGTACTCTATGCAGGACATTACGTTCCAGTCTACAGGACACCCGTGTCCTAACGCATCTCCCAATTCATGAATGCCCTGATGTGAGGCGTACCCCCATCAGTCCGCCGTTCCCGCCGGCCGTTTTAGACATGCAATTGGTTTGAAGACGAGACGACTTTGTCTCAGTTTCGAAAATGTATGAGTCCGTGCTGAGGTATGTTAACGCGTACTCGGTCCGCTGGCGCGGGTAAGTACAGGAATCTTGGGGTATGCAGTAAGAGTAATATATGATGCTGGGTTATTCCAGGGTCCTGGGTAACGGGACCTTCTCTTGCTGTCTGATAACCAGTTCGAGCTGTGGATTCCATGTAGACGAGTATTTTGATGATTATGAGGTTTGTTCACATTTAATCGGGAAGCCTTCGTACATGTAGTCGCCTTTTTTAATGAGCTCGAAGAATTCCCCCCATAGCTCTTTACCCTTCCGAGCGTTGATAAATGTCTGTGAGTTCCCGATCATGATGAGTCCATCTCGAGCCCGAGAGATAAGCACGTTCAAACGTTCAGGGGAGTTCATGAAACCGATGTCATTGGATTTATTGGACCTTGTCAGACTGGCGATGACGATATCACTCTCTTCGCCCTGATAGTTATCTATTCAAACAATGTTAGCTGTCCGCTACTAGTTGAGTAGCAGATACATACCTATCGTGGCAAGCCTGATGCGCTTCTTGGACGTCTTATTGGCTGCAGGCATAAGTACGGCACGGATGAAATCATGTGAATCGAGATCATTGAGCACAGGGTCGTTGTCCCCCTTCAGGACATCTTGAAGCTGTGAGAGCTGCCCAAGGTATGGTGTGAGAACGACTAGCTCCTCCGTCCCATAGCCTTGCTGAGCGAGGTAGCGTACGATCTTCCAAACCATTTCTGCTTCATAGGTGTTCTTTTTTGACCCAGACAAAACCCCGTCGACTTTGTCTGAAATACGGGAGTCGTCATCCTCAGAATGAGTGTGGTCAATGAAGATGATGTTGTTCTGAATACCACGAATGTTGTCACGGCCCTGGGTCTTGGGAGCATCCGTGAGGTCGGGGTACGTAAGTTTCCTCACAAACGCTGATATTTCTGGACGCATACGATGTTGGGCTGTTAGAGTTTCATGAGGAAAGCCCTTGAGAACCAAGCGCTCGAATAGTGATCTGTTGAGCTCAAACCCATCACCTTTTTCAACACTTAGCTTGTAGTTTTTGACTTTAGGACGCAGTTGCCTGTAAGGAGTCAGGTTGAGCGAGATGTACTGAAGATTGACTCACATACTTGTGATCACCAATGAGAATCATCTGCCTTATACTCTGACCCATAGCGGTGAGAATGTGGCTTTCTAGGATTTCGCCAGCCTCTTCGACGAGAAGGACATCAGGACTCGCCGCACGAATGTCCTGTGCAAACATGGCTGCTCCAGTCGTCGTGCATGCGATTATTCTCTTCCCCATGAGGGTTGCCACCCTGGCTTCGCCGAATTTGCGTGTCAGTTGATCTTGGCATTCGTTGTAGTGTGTACCAAGTGTGCAAATCTCCTTGAGAATTAATGTGCGTATCTCCGACTTCCATCTCTTCATCATGTTCCGGCGAGCATCCCGAGACATTTTCCAGATATCTCGCGCCTCTAGTACATTAGGTTCGGCTTTGAACTGCCCAGCGTCAGATCCTGTGGCCCACCGAGAAATGAGTGGACGATCGCTACCTGGAGGGCCTTGGATGAGGGAAAGCCTCTGCGTAAGTCCTGCCAATAGCGATGCCGCCTGCGACTTATCGAGGACAATACTAGATGAAAGCCCTAGGAGCTGTTTCAAATCCACGGACGGATTTATAGTAAGTGGACGCGTAACCTGAGCCGTGGTCACCGCAGCGCTACCGATAATGTTCCCATCCTTCCAGAACAAGAGCTCCTCCGACAGCGGAATGACTTGCATGTTCTGCAGAGCCTTCAAGACCGGCTCGAATGCAAAAAGGGCAGTGTCGATCTGAACGAGCCGAACAGCATTGGATGATTGCAACTGAAGGAGCGTCTTTGTGATACTAGCCTCCCCTTACAGCTGAACTACAATAACAGGTGGTTTGTCCGCAAGAAGTGCCACGACGCGATGAACGCTTGCGAGACTGATAATTTTATTTCCCGAAAGTATGCACATGAGAGACTGATGTTTGAGGATTTTGACGCCCACAGGATCCTTTGTGAGATAAGTCTCGCGCTGCTCCTTGTCGGGGAGATTCTTCATCGACTCGAAATCATCTTGGCATTCGAGTTTGATGCCCCACCGAATCTTTCCATCATCTGTATCGCAGTAAACACCGCCGAGTCTGACACCGCCAATGGTGAGCCCACGGTGACGCCCTTTCTTTTTCCCTGTAACAATTTGGAGCTCTTCTTTTATCTCATATAACATGTCTTCGCGCAGCATGCGGAAGGTATTATCCAAGTAGTCAGCTATACGAGTTGCCTCGTCATCAGGATCCTCCAACACGCTGCTCGGGCGAATGAATGGAGGCTGCTGGCAGAGAATTTCGTCTGCAGTTGGAAGAATGGAGATCTCCCTAAAATCGTTGAAATCATTATCATGACGACCACCAGGTCCACCGACTGCAGCGATAGGTGTACCGGACTTGAATGTGGAAAGGATATATTGGATACGGTGGCCATTGTCTTTGACAATCCATTGCGATGAACCGAGAAGCCTCGCAAGGATACTAGACTTCTTTGCGACGTCATGGTATGATGAGGTATTTCGCGTAGGGAGGCACATGAGGCGAAAGAGAAGTATCGCGAATGCTTCCTGGGCTTGCTCATTGAGCTCGCCTTGATCAAATGCTTGGCTGAAGGCACTCCAAAAAATGGGAGGATCAACTATGGCGGTGAGTAGGCGATCCAGGACGTCACCGAGATCTGTTGCTCGGAAGAGATACAACAGAAGTGTGGTTGCAGGACCATTGAGGAACTGAGAATTAGTATTGTGCCGCATGGCAGCCTGAACGGCGCTTGAGCCATGGGAGCTCTTAACGATTTTATCAATACAGGTTGCAGGGTCTTGCTGTGCACAAATCACTTCCAAAAAGTGAGCGTAGCTCCGTGCATCCGCAGGAACTCTGCCTTGGAGAATGTTGTTAAAACGTTTCTCAAGCTGAGCTTGTCGATTCATGAGAGGCAAGTTAGGAACGATTGTGACTCGTAGGTTGTGGGTAGTTGAGTGACGAGAGCAAAACTGCGGGCGTTCATACGTGGGTACCAGGTCTATCTAGGGCCACTTTTGAATCAGCAGCGCTACAGACCTGATAATACTAACAGTGTGACTCAAGTACTAGAATATTTTGTACATGAGTCAACTAGTACACGAGATGATCCAGGGATCCACGCACCATTGGCAATTTGGCAAGAGTCTGGGTGTTATTCGCAGATGTAAAACTTGAACGCAGATATTTTCGAGTACTGCCACAGAACAAGAAATCATGATTTAGTTAATTACGGGCTCGGGGCTCAGCTGGGCTCATAGTACACACCATCATGCACCAGCCCTAGACCACCCATGATCGTGACATGACCATCCATTGATGAATGAAAACTTGGCCCACAATGAAGACACTGATATCGGTGTAACATGATATATTGCTTATCATGCAGAGGAGCATGGTGGGTGACCGTCATTGCTTCAGATAATTAAGAGTTGATGGAAAGTTGAACTTCGATGCCATCTTGTAGAACGTAGAAGGACGAGAAAGTTGATTTTACAGAATGTTTCGAAAAATAGAAAGGTCGACGTGTACAACATTCCTAATGAGGACATCATCGATGTAGACGGTCGCCTCTTCCCTCCTCTTCCCATCCTTCGACCTCACAACACCGCTAATGTTTTAATTACCTCTACCTCTTGGCATTTGGTATCATTTCTTGTTCTCCAGTACTTCAACTTCGTCAATGCTCTAAACTCCATCAATCCTTTCAACTATTTGAGAACCGCAAATTCAGCGGCAACTTGAATGTCGTTAGGCAAGATACACTCTGGGCCTATAAGAACGCTGAATCTGCATCACAAGGCCCGGTCAAGAGCAGAGGTGCCCAAGCGAACGATGCTTCAATAATAATCATCCTGTGCCATCTCGACAGCAGTGCACTGCCAACTTCTTCACGAGTGAGCATGTCGATGGCGGGTGGCATACCCTAGTACAACTAAGAGGTTCATCACAACAAAGACTCAGTGAGTGAATTTTGAAATTGATTTGAAGGTTTTTCCACCATAAAGGGCCGCCGTTATCCTGGCCACCTTCTTTCTTAGTCGGGTTTCGTGCTCTATTGAATTTAGAATTACCCGGTGTGTTATATCTCGGTTACTGTCGGGTTGGAGTTCTGCCACCCTCGCACCTGAGTTTTGCCGTGCGTCAATTAGCACAACCAGTTTTGCCAAAGCAAAACTCCTGCATTCTGCCCATCCCACGTATACGCTGCCGCAGGATTTTACACGAAATTTTGCTCCGGCCTGACCTTGCGATGCACGCTAGCAGCTAATTGTACTTCAACTACTTGTCTTTATCAGCTACAGGTACTACACTGGCTATATGACCCCCTGCAGTCAAGTGTATTTTTCCTGATGTGCAACTGCATCCCAATCCTATGCTTACACGTTTTGCCAGTTCTGCGCCATGCACTAGTGCTAGTAAAGGGGCGAGAATATCACTGTTCTAGGCCTGCCCATGGCCCACCCTGGGAGGGGGCTATACGATCTCCCCGGCATCCATCTACCGGGTAGTCCTTGGTAGAGTTTATCAGGGCTTCTCGTACGACGTGTCATTAGGCTACACGAACAAAAGTCATTCATTGACGCATGCCATATGATCGTGTCCATTTACTCATAGTAAAAGGATGCTGAGTCACAATGCGAACACGGCAAAAGCTGGCCGTCAGACTAGACCAGCGTACGTCCTTCAAGCGTATAAAGCCAGCCAGAAAATTCAGCTCAAAGGCATCAGACACCACTCACCTGTTTCTGAACCTCCTCACATAAACAAGATGCATGCTTCTTTCTTCACCGCTAGACTGGTTGCGCTTGCCGCCATTGTCTTAGTTGTTTCTGCTAAGGGTCAGTAATACTTCGAGGTTCGATTATGTCAGCACTCATAACAGCAAAACGTCTAGATCTCCTCCCTGCTGATTGTACCCGTCAGGTTACTGTCAAAGCTGGAGATACATGTGACAAAATCTCCGCAGAATACGGCGTTTCCACGTATGTACAATCAGATATCTTCTATTCACTCGTTCATCGAATGCATGTCACAGATACCAGCTGGCGGCAGTTAACAAAGATATCGTTACCCCCGATTGTTCTAATTTGTTTGCCGGTCAAGTAGGACACTTCGATTTTTGACGTCTGACAAACACTTTTGAACTCATCGTCATAGAATTTATGCATTGCAGTAAAAGACCAGGATTGCAAGGTTACCCATGTTGTGAAGGCCGGAGAAACGTGCAAAAGCGTTGCCGATAAGGCTGGTGCCTCGTACATCACGTTGCTCGCGAACAACCCGAACGTGGGCTCCGACTGCGCCAAGTTGTACCCTGGCGAGGTGAATATAATGTGATTTGTCGAAGCCATTGCTGATAAAATATTTTCAGGTTCTCTGCACTGCGAAACAGATCTATGTGAACACTGCCTGATGAAATTGGGCCAAGCTGATTGTGACATTAGTGTAGAAGCTGAATGATATGTCAAATGCAGTACATAGTTGCTATTCGAATTCAGATCTTCAAGTCTTTTGATTGACGCGTAAGTCTCCTTACCCCGGGGACGTCATATGAGTCAGCAGTGCAGAGTCACTATACTATGGGAGGGCTCCGATGAGTGTCAAATGGAGTGACTCATACGCCAAAAACCTGTAGAAATTTTCTTCAAAAGAGAAGCAAGACCTGAACTTTCTGAGCAGGCCCCGAGTCGATGAGTACTCTTGGTGGCACTGGTGAAGCTTTCTGAAAAACTGACGCATGTGACAAGTGTGCACTCATCACTTCGAATTCATACAGCAATATTAATGGACGCACAATTTAATTGCTTTGTCATCATGCTTTTGAAATAAGAAAATTCAATCAGTCAATTATTATTAGGCGTAGTCAATTCTTAAGCTGAGTTGTCAACCCGCTTGTTTGTATCATTTTAAGCGATCGGGAGTTCGATTCCAAGAAATGTTTAGAACATGACATGTCCCCGGAGTGGATACAGACTTCAAGTCGAAAATCTCGGTCTGGCCAACTCAGAGAAATCTCGAAAAAAAATTTAAAACATTCTCTCCATTGATTCAGTATATGAACTACGCGAGTCGGGGCCCGATATATAGCACACTGGCAAGTAGCACTCTGCTTGTTCTCATGAGAGAGCAGTATAATGACTGTAATCAGGAAGCGCTCGAGTTTAAGACGAGCGCGTTTTGAGATGCCCAACATGAAAGATGAGGCAGAAAGGCAGTTCACGAAACTCTCGTTTTCGTTGCATAACTACTAGGACAACGTGTCGTTATGCGATGTGAGGCTGGATTAGGCCGCGGGGTAAGCCGAACTTCGTAAGGCGGTGTCTAGCCGATCGGTAAATTTGTTTGGCTATATCGACGTCACGGTGACTTGACGTGCCAGCTAGTGTAAATAAAGTGAAAGACCTCGCACTTGTCTGGCGTGTAGTATATGGTCAACAGAATTTGCGAGGAGATACGTTGGTCTTCATGCATATATGCACCCTAAAGACGTTTTTCTGGATAGAAATTATTACAAAGCACTCCGCATCCATCTACTGGGTAGGGATCATTAGGGGTCCTGTCGCGACGTGTCATCAGGCTAAACGAACAAATATCAGACTCATTCAATTCATTCCCCCGTGAACACCGTGCGTGCCATTTGATCGTGTCCATTTACTCACAGTGGATACCGAGCCACGACGACAACACGGCAAATGCTAGCCGTCAAACGACCCATGCTCGCCAAGTTCAAGCGTATAAAGGCAGCTAGAACAATCAGCTCAAAGGCATCAAACACCACTCGCCTGTTTATCAACTTCCTCATCTGAACACCATGCACGCTTCATTCTTCACCGCCAGACTCGTTGCGCTTGCCACCATTGCCTCAGTTGTCTCTGCTCAGAGTCAGTAATGGTCTTCGTCGAGGTTCGATTATGTTGACAGTTATAACAGCAAATAGTGAACTCCCTGCTGGTTGTGACAGTGCTGTGGCTGTTCGAGCTGGAGATACATGTGACACAATCGCTGCAGAAAACAATGTTTCCACGTACGTACGATTAGATGCCTTCCATTCACTCGTTCATCGAATGTATGCCGCAGATACCAGCTGTCGGCAGTCAACAAAATCATTGATCCCGGTTGCGATAATTTGGCAGTCGGAGAGGTAAGACATTTTGATGCTTGAAAAGCACCTAAACTCATCGTCATAGGTGTTATGCCTTGGAATCAAAGGACAGGATTGCAAGGTTACCTATATTTTGAAACCCAGCGACACGTGCTTCAGCGTTGCTGAAGAGTATGGGATCCCGCTCAGCACGTTGCTCGCGAACAACCCGAACGTGGGCCCCGACTGCACTAAGGCGTATGCTGGCGAGGTGAGTAAAATGTGATTTATCGAAGCCATGGCTGATAAAAGAATTTCAGGTTCTCTGCACTGCAAGCCAGATCTATGTGAACACCACCACATCAAATTGAGCTGAGAAGCTGAAAGCAGATGTTTTTAATTTTTACATTAGTATGTCTGGGAAACTCGCCAGCTAACATAGTACATACTAGAACCTTTTCGTTTGCCTTGAACACTCGTTCTCCGTTTCCCCCCGGTCTCTTACACCCGAATGGGGGTAAGAACACATTCCTTACAGTCGTACTATAGAACTCACCCGAGTTCATTCTATTTAGACGCTCAGCTTCTTTGAATGTCAAATACATCACATTCAGATCTTTCGATCGATGTGCAAATCTCCTTACTCGAGGACGACATAGGAGTCCGTACTAGGGCAGAGTCACTATAGGGAGGGCTCAGGGAGGAAAGGGCTCGGATGGCAAATGGGAACGTCCGAGTGACTCATACGGTGTACCAAAAACCTGTGGGAAGTTTCTTCAGAAGATAACTAAGACTTGAACGTTCTGAGCAAGTACTGAGTCGGCGAGTCAATGAGTGCTCTCGGTGGCAGTGGGACGTTGGAAAAAGTGAATTCCCAACGTGGATTCGGTAGAGGATAGCTTGAGTTATGTGTAAGGCTGCTTGTGAGTTCGATAGGGAATTGATCGATAGGACGAAAAGTGCGAGACTCGTCGATTACGACGCGAAAGGCAAGGACAACGAGTAAGTTCTTTGGGAGGCTTGCTTGGAGCGGGGAATAAAGGTCTATATTCTGCTGATTAGTGTAGGTGTACATGGGCTGTATTTATACGTCTGCAGTGAGTTCTACTATACCAGAACGAGCGCAAGTAGCATGCGGAACGCGTGAAAATACTCGGTGTAGGACGGGGATGGTGAGGATGGTGCACAAGGTAAGGTACGAAAAATGACATAGAAAAGGGTATATAGGAATGTATCCACATACTCGGACGCGAAGAGTTGAACTCTTCGCGTCAATGAGTCACGTGGCTGTGTTCGACTTGTCATAAGTTCGAACTCCTTATTTCTAAGTCGGTTCGGTGCGTAGAGGACATATGGTCCTTACACCTCCTCCCCACTTTGAAATATCGACCGTTCCGCGGTCGATCTATAAACAATTAAACTAAAAAAAATACTGTGTGATGAAATGCCGAGACGCAGATTTAGTGACGTTCCGGCCCGGCTTAGGCTTGGCCTGGGGGGGCTTAGGCTTGCCATATTTCAAGCTTAGGCCGTGAGCCCAAGCCAGCCCAAAGCCGTGGCTTGAGCCGCACTAGGCCGCGGCCTCGTGGTATGCAAAACTGTAGATTCGTAGTTTAGTAGCACAAGAAAATACATGAAGTAACTAGTCAGAAAACTCGTCATCATCTAAAATCAAAGCATCCCAAGCATCCTCCTCATCTGCGACATCAGTCCTCTCCTCACTGTCAGCTTCCAATTCAGAGTCATCAAATGCCTCCGACTCCACGAGAGAGGATGGTCCAGGCTCGCGAAAGAGAAGGTCATGTTGTATCGCACATTTGACACATTGGAGAGCTTCCACAATGTCTCCTTTAAGCCGGTTCCGTCGTTTGCTGATCGTGATGCCACCTTGTGAAAATGTGCGCTCGCTTGATACTGATGTGGTAGATACACCTGGTGGTAGAGCCACCTCAACAGTCTCCAGGTAGCTCATAAATTTGGCCCTCCATGGCCGTGATGGATCGCCAATCAAAGTAGGGGTAATCGAAGTAGGGGTGGGGTTCATAAGTGAGTCATGCTCCAAATCACTGATGACTTCGCGGATGAGTGACTTGAGACCACCTGCCTTGCTTTTCTTCGATGTGGGCTGGGATGACAACAAAAACTGTAGCTTCTTCATTCAGCTCACGATAACGAGCTTTGAACTGGCGGCAAAATCAGACTATTGTGCAAAGGCAAAAAAAGCTCGACTCACCACTTCCTCCGCAGTGCTTACCATGTCATCATGCAAATTTTCTGGCCAGTGGCACTTGAAATAAGTCATTTTCCCTACTGGATCAAGCACTACATTTGCAAGCGTTAGAGTATTTATTGAATTATAATAAACAACTTACACATTGCCATTATATATGCAGGGGACTGCAGTTGTCCTCTCATAATACTCGTCTACCTTGGCAGCGGCTGCTTGAAGCGATGGAGCGAACCATGCATACTTAGACCTTTCGGCACGCGAAGACCAAGCCCTGTAGAGGGTTTCAAGCTCTGGGATTGCGAGGTGCAGAGTCGAGCCACATTCAGATGAGAATGCTTGCTGTGCGACATCGGCATACTAAAGAATTAACATGAGAAGTTAGTATAAATAAATTAGAAACTCTCATACTGAAAGAAGATCAGCGAATTGGCCGACACGTGTCCATTCACCAGCCGAGAGTTGAAGGAAGTCGATCTTGGCACATTTTGCCAAGTCACGCTCTTGACGACCTATCTCGTATACAAAAGTATCAATGTGCTAGAGCCGATAATAAGCTTGAACGAGTAGAATTATGACAATAAGAAATAACGTACCTCCCTGTTTGTCTCGGCACAATTAAGCATTATATATGTCGAGGACCACCGGACTTTCATGTCAATCAACAGTTGAGTTGGTTGAGACACTCCTGCTTTGGTCTGCACACTCCGGTACATTTCCTTTCACTTCGCGGATGACCGTTCCTGCAGGACATCAATATATCTTAGTAGTGTCATATGATTCTAACGAAAACAAATGTACCTTGACACAAATACTTCAAACAAGGGCTATTTCATCCTGAGTGGTCGGTTCATGACTTTTTGGTTCGTGCGGGTTGTAATACAGCGCTTTGCTGTACGTGCTGATTAGACTCTGCGTTGCAAGATTAATAATGTGAGCCAAGCAGCTGCACAAATAATGAGTGTCATAGCGAGTTCGGACAATGACAGGACTTACTTGATTTTGCGCTGGCGCCAGGGAAACACTTTGTTATATTTAGCCTCGTATAGGCGCACAAATTCTTGCAGTGTCGTCCCATTGTTTGCAGTGTTGTCACAGGTGACATGCCCTAGCTAAGTTATATGAGCGCTGTAAGACGTCGTAGTCAAATAAACTGATTTACCTTCTGTGCAATCTCAACACAATCAAGAATTTTGAATAAGGCCCCGCCCAGCCACTTGCCGCTATGTGCATTGTTGACTTTCGTGAAACTGAGGAGTGAGCTTTCAATTTCCCATTGCATGGGTACCTTCTCTTCAATCCAATGCCCCGTGACCGCAAAATAACCGTCGACGTTCTCCGCTTGCCATGCGTCGCACATGGTATTAATGTTTCCCTTGACAGCAGCGCTCTATGAAGCCCAATGAGACAAAATACAAACAGACAACAGACATCACTCAAGTTCAGCGTGTTCCTTAGCCTCGTAAGGTGGTTTTTAAACATTCTCATGATTTCGGCACGAGTGCCCTTCCTACCCAGAATCCTGACTCCGTTGGTTGCGCGAGAAGCAACATGAATCAGCTCTTGAAATTTAGGGTGTTCAAGCGCTTGTATAGGCTAAAAGAATAAGCCGTCAGTCATGGTTTTGAATTGAGGAAGGCAGACGTACCTGATCAGTCACGACAAGCCATTCAATGGCAGCTTGTCTGAACAACTTGTCAGAATATGGTACAACTCGTTCGGCCTTGTGTTCAGTGAGATGGGCATTGATCCTTTGCTGCGCAGCGTTCTCCTTTCGAGCCTTCATGTCGCCAGGTAACATTGATTCGAATGCATGTTGGTTTGCCCATTTGCGATACTTGCCGGAAAAATGGGCCTCAGCATGGTGACGAAGGGTGGTGATTTCATTGACGAGGACACATTTTTTCCTATGAACGAGTGAGTGAACGAGTAGTATGAGAGTACAAAGGTAGACTTACGGACAAACACTACACTTTCAGTGTTTCTTCACTTTGCTATTGGCCCCGGTTTGCTCAAACGTCACTCCAAAGAATGCGTTGATATCGGCAGTTTTGCCTCCCCGAGACGATCCTGGGTCCGCGATCAAGACATCAATGTCGATGAAAACCCCATCTCCGTCAACCAACTCGGGGGACTTCTCTGGGGCCTTCTGTTTCTTTCTATGAGGCTTAGGGTTTGTACGAGCATCCTCGCGAACCGAGTCGTGGTCTTTGTCGACAGATTCGTCGTCTTCGATGTCGACGAAGGTATCATCAGGATGCGAGCGCTTGTTGGACGAGGGAATAACTGAGGGTGGGGGAGGCACATTGGACGAGGGAATAGCTGTGGGTGGGGGAGGTACAGGCTTGGGTTGGGCAGAAACCTCCGAAGCACGCTTGGCTGCCTCTGCGGCACAGAATTCATTGATAGCTTTAGTTTGGGATGGAAGGGCGGCCTTCTCCAAGTGTTGGAGGAGGGCAGCAGTGGGTTTGATCTTGTGTATGGGACAAGGATGCACGATAGGTTCGTCTTCGTTATCTGTGTGGACTGTACCGGTCATTGTGGGCTGCTAGGTAGATACAACACATATACATGTACCACATATATAAAAAAGAACGTGATTCGAAAACAGATCAAGTTTGTGAAGGCAGCGAAGTTGAAGCGCCAGGCAAGACTGTAGAGGTGCATGGATTGCTGAATGTTTTCTTTTCAAGACCGGGGCAAATATCAGCAAGCTTTCAAAGATAAATAACATGACAACGGCGACTCACTGTGATCTCATTCTGACATACCTCATGGTATGATTGATGATCGATTGACTGAGAAGCTGATACCGATCATCAGAAAACAACATTAACATAAACAGAAACTTACATACCAAAATAGATTGCTTGCTAAGCCACGGCTTGGGCCGGCGGCTTAGGCTTCGCAAAATTGAAGCCTGGGCCAAAGCCCTGGTCAGGCCGTGTCCTAGGCCTGGGCTGGGCCTGGCTGAATCAGGCCCGGCTTGGCCTGGCCCGGGGCTTGAAGCCGAGCTGGAACATCACTACGTAGATTAGATTGAAAGAAAAAATTAAATGGTGCATCTATTAGTGTTCGGTTTCGAGGCCTGAAAGTGCTTGAGGATCGAGGTACTGAGTGACTTCTATTGAGGATTTGGAATGAGGGTGATATGGAATTAGACGGAATGCGGCAAATTTAAGCTTTGAGATGCTGCCATCGAGTTCTGCAAGACGGTAAGATCCTCCTGCTGCGTGTGAAATGACAATCATGGAGCCAAAATAGCGGGGTTTGCACTTCGCGTTTGATGTGGGTTCAATGCGTTTGTTAAGGACGAGGATGAGTGAACCATGAGCGAAATTATAGTCGTGGA